TAGATTTCCGCTGTGATTTTTTGTTTGTTGTGGTTTTTTTTACTGTTCGCACGGCGATTACGCGAGAGAGATTAGTGGAGCTTTATCGCTCGATACGCATCGATCGATCGGTCGGAATCGTAGTATGTGTACCGAGTATGAACTACAACAGGAGCTTTTACGGGCCTACAGAGGAAACGACTCGTTGGCTTATCATGCTTTCTTTTTTGTCTCGTGTTTTACGATGATACATAGGTGATGGCGCGGTTGCGCGCGTACGCAGCTCTCGAGCAAAGTAACGCTACCACCACCTGGGCACCATGGATTCGACAACGGGACATCTCTCGAAGAATTATCACGATCGACGCGCGCAATAATAGGTATAGACTAAAAGATCCACATCGCACGTACAATTAGGCGCATGCAGTTGAATTTTATTTTTCCTTTACTCGGTGTATAGCACACGAGACACTTTGAATGTTCTGAAAATGAGCATGCAGTAGCGATGCACGTTGAGACAATGATTAAGTTCAACGTTCCGAGAGGCGCGCACGCACACGCATGCTATATATCGATTGGCTGTAATATATAGGCAGGTATACGTAATGTAGCCAGCGTAAAATCCGCATATATATACGTATCAATGGAAAATAACCGAAAGCGAGTCGGTCGCGTGCGAGCGCCACTGAGAATGCGCCTGTGCTACGAACGAACGCACTTCATCAGCCCGCGCGGAGTTAATTTTAGAACTCGCGCGCGTCGTCGCCAAAGCTCTCCTGTATATAGGCTCGTTTACTGGCATGTATGATGAGTACTACAGAGAGGAGGGTGGAAGGGATCTATATCCTATCGACGTTGTCTACCTTGTGTACACCTAACAGCTTTTTTGTTGTTGTTTTACTTTTGTTTTTCGCCGTTGAACTTGTATACCCTAAATATGCTGGCGCGATGCTTAGAAAGGGTGTGTGTCTATAAGATAGTCAAAATTATCCAGGATGTCATTGCCAATGAGTAAAATCTTTCAAATTCACGACACAATCGAACCGTATAATGCACGTTACTTTGATTGCAAATTTTTCTACGTCATAAAACGAGCCTCAAAAATGCGTTTAAAAAGCGCGAAAAAACGTGTGTGCAGTCTCGTTTGAATACAATCGGCCACAGTTGAGTATATAAAAAAACAATCGCGAGCGACGCTCGAGTATAATATCACTATTCGACGAGCATCGTGCCTGGCGGACGAGCAACGCGACTGACTCGCGTGTCGAGCGGTTTGCTATACCTACTCGGGCAGTATCCGCACTGTTATTATTATGATGAGCATGTGCGTAACGATCGAACAATATCAAAATTCAAACTTGAACTTTTCAGATTTATCCGATAGTTCTCGTGTACCGATTAGCATGAAAATTTTCTACAATATGTTATCGAAATTGTCCGTATTTGACAATTGTTTTTTTAGAGCACCGTCACTTTTAACTTAGAATATCGCTCGTAGATAGAACATATGTGCTTGCATTGATTGCACTGTGCATGATATTGTTTTATGCACAAATAAATGCTAATGAGAGGGATGTTCGCATGTAAACAAATACGTCATTAAATTTGCATGCTTTCAACGCATGATGTACAATGTTGTGCTTTATACATGTCCGTGGAGGGAACTTGAATCATTGAATGCATCGTCGCCCCAGCGCAAAAACTTAATGGTGCGTTTTTATCTCTGAGTTTAGAATGATCAATTTTGTTGCGCTCAGCCAAAGATACGTACAAAATCCATGCAAAAAAGATGGTGCTTTTTTTTCGCGCATCTATCGATACGGTTTTTCCCGAAATACACGATGTAAACAAAGTCATTCTCAAATTATTGAATATTGCGGAATATTAAAAATCCCTTTCTTTTTCTTTTATTCTACGTGAGAATCAAAATATATTCCGCAATTTTTCTAAGATTATAGTTTTTACTAGAGAGGAAGAGAGATAGAGATAGAAGCCGAACGATTAAATAACAACGCTCGCTTGGCAAAAAGGGGCCAAGGGGTTATCGCGCATTATACGCGAGAAAAAGGCGAGATGACTTGAGAATCTTGAGAGACTAAATTAATGAGATGCTGTGCTTTTGCGCGCCACAAAGTCTCAATCGCTCATTGGTTGGCATATTCTGCCCCTTTCGGTAAACACAAAACTGATAAATTGTTTCGTATAAATAGTATAACTTTCGCCTGCAAGTCTCTAAAATCTCGTTCGATTCTACTGGACATGTGTGTGGGTGAGTGACGTTAACCCTTTTTTTTCTTTCCCGTTGGTTTTGTTTTGCAATTTCCTTACCTCCGTCGATCGTTCGATTGGTTTTACGAAAAAAACTTGAGATTGCTCGAGCTTTTTTGCGCGAATTTCGATTTTTTTGTGTAAGTTATTGTTTTTTTCTAACATAGTGATATTGTGGCCTATTCGATTTCAAAGGTATGAAATTAATTATTTTTAAAATTACACTTAAGCTTAAGTTGATGCCCAAGCCTCGATTTTGACCTACCGAGCATTAAAAGTGTACATTTAGATAACTTTTTTACTAGACCGATTTTCGAAAAACGGCTCTGTGGAGCCCTCCAGTTGTGAATAACTGCACCAAATTTCAGCCAATTTTATCTGGTAGTTTTTCTGGAAAACTGGATCGAAATTTTTGATTACTGTTTGCAGGATAAAAAATTTTGATCCTGTTTTCCGGGAAAACTATCCGATGAAATTGGCTAAAATTTGTCGCAGTTGTTCTCAGCAACAATACGGACGGCTACACAGAGTCGTTTTTCGAAAATCAGCCTGGAAAAACATTTTCTGTGCTTGGTCGGTAAAAATTGTGGTCAAAGCATCACCTTAATGTACAAACACAGTGTAATAATGGTTCAATCATAGTTTCGAGCAGTTATTTTAAGTAAAGTTTTGAAAATCGTGCAATTTTATGAAATGTAATTTTCTGAATGTATAATGACGGCTTATCAAAATTTACTTCTATAAATATTCAATCGCCTTTGAAAATGTAAATGTTTTATGCTGATTAAAAAATGTTATAAATCATTTTAAACTTCAACTTTTGTATTTTCGTTTAATATTGCCATGTTTAATTCAAAATCTCAAGCACCTTCGAAGGTAATATTTTTTTCTTCAAAGAGTTTAATTTTATTGAACTGAAAAGTCAAATCGGGTTTTCCGCTAAAGAATCGATAGCATTGCACAAAAATTGACCGAACTCGTTGCTTTCACAATAGAAACATGTGAGACGAGCAATCGGATTGTTATCGCGTCTCGTCCGGAAATCGCTAGCTCGATCCAGCATCTCTCAATGACGCATCGACGATGATGTATTACCCGAGATAATCCGAATCGCAAGACTGAAAAATTAGGTCGCTTATCGTTTTTCATTTACGTAGCTTTGAGATTTTGCCGAATTTCGGTTCTCATTTAGAATTTCGATGTGTTTTATATGTGTATTATATACGTAGCAAAACTGAACGATGTTTTACGTATACGGTCTATAAGATGAAAACGAAATTGATAAAACGTGAAATGTTGCAATGTTTTACAGGAGCGATCCATACTTCCGAAGTACTACACGAGGGTACCGCAGATCACGAGGAGCCAAGGGGGTAGCTCGAGCCTGGTCCAAGACTGCGCCTCGAACTCGACTCTTTTGACGAACGTCAGCCCCTTCACGAGCCAAGCGGGCTTGAGTTACGTCGACGACGACTTGGACGTCCTGAACTCGATCGCACCAGTCGAAGGAACAACCGATGAGATCGCGGCCGATAAGCCACACTATTACGCGGAAAATCTGCGAAACAATCATCAGCAGCTGGCGGTGCTGATCGATGGCTCGAAAATTTACGATCCGCTGAGGAAGGATCATCATCGCGAGATCGATTACAAGCAGGTCGTCGATCCGCTGCTGAGGCGAGACGAGGTCGCGAGCTCCGACACGAGAATACTCATGGAGTCGCAGGACTTTAAGGACCCGAAGGCGGCCATGAGGCTGACCAAGGGCATAACGCAGTTCGAGAAGGAGAAACGGACCTCGTACTTTTGGACGCAGGTAAGCGCGCGCGGTGCCGAGTACAAAAAAAAAAAAAAAAAGTATATCGGGCGCGTTGCATACGCAGTCGCCGAGTCCCAACGCAGATTTCTAAATTACCAGCATAGTTAAGCCATGCATTACGACCGTCATTGAACTAATTGTGCTGATTTTATCGCGTTCAAGGATGAGATTTGGCGCGATCGCGTAGCGAAAATTGCACGGCAAAGTATACGCGAAAGAAACTGATGCAAATAGTGCAATACCATTTTTCAAAATGACGAACGATTCATCGATAAGTACACGAGTAGCTGCCGCGAGCTCGGCTCAGCTGCTCATCTCCACCACAGCAGCAGCAGTAGAGCAGACGTACGTGCGATCGGACTCGATTCGCTCCACTCGCGACTCCCCTCCCTTCTTCTTCTTCTCTTTTATGCCACTTGTGTGTCTTTCTCGCGCGATTCCTCCTTTACAGCTGATCCACTTCTATTATTATGAGATGCATAGAGGCCAATGTCTAATTTAAGAATGCATATACTCGTATCCGCAAAATTAACTTATCATAAAGGCTGAGAGAAGACGGTCGCCGTTGCGTAATTTCGACGAATATTAACCGGACAATGACGCTTATATCACACTTCTTTTGTGTAATAGGCCAGATAAGATAGATGGCACTCCGGTGTTATTTTTTTCTTTCTCGCGCTCCTCGTCTCGCGCTCCTTTTCAATTATAATATGCTCGTCGTCGTCGTCGTTTTGTGGCTCGCCGCGCGACGTGACACGATGCCTCGACTCTGCAGCGCGCGGATCCGGATTTTCGTATAAAATCGTATCGTAATTGGAATGCCTGCAGTACGTGGATCGCCATTAATTGATTTTTGTTTACCTCTCTTTATAAATGGTATATATGTATTAATAACGTTAACGATTGCGCAAGCTACTACCTGTGCAATTTTTTTTTCTTCGATCAGATTCGTTATAAAATATTTATTTATTTATTTATTTACCTTCCTTTTTTTTACAAAGGCCTGCAGGGGGCAAACGCCCGTGCGCAGGACGGCACTTACAACTAATAATCAATCAATATATCAACATTGAACAATAACAAATATGTGACTAGATCATAGATATATTACAATTCAAATTCAAAGCCACGAAGTAAGTTTATGTATTTCTCTTTTTAACTTTACTTTGAGCGATTTCACACAATCTTCATTCTTAAGCATCACAGGTAGCTCATTGAAGCACTTGATAGCGACGTATTTGTACGTTCTGTGGCCCATCTCCGTTGAATGCAGCGGTAGCTGCAGACTCCTATTTCTGGTATTCGAAGAACTCATACTATACTCAGATTGTAGGTGACCATATTGCCTGATTAATGATTTCCACATAAACAACTTTCTAATTCCCAAAGGGCTGTCACTGTCTTCTTGTTGAATGCCAATTATTTTGCGTAGTTTCTTTTCAATGATAAGTAGTGGTTTTTGTACAATATACATTGTTTTTGACAATATACATTGTCAAATTTTCGAATCTCGTTACATACGTGTGCGACGGCGGTCACGCGAGTTCCGCGCAAAAATGCATATGCACCGCGTGCAAATGATATTTGCAAAAAGAGATACGCGTCTCTCGTTCTCAAAGAAGCTCTCGGAAACGGTCACATTCGTAATTATTATCTCAATACACACACGTACGTTACATATATAAAATACGTTCGTTTGTGCATAGCGCGCGAACCGAGTCAATGCGTAACCGCATTGTTATGAAATTTGATAAATAAAAAGAAGAAAAATGAATTCTCGGGCGGAAAAGTACTCGCGCGCGGCTGCTCTCGTCGTAATACGTCGCGTATCGTATACATTATTATATACCGATGATCCGCGAACGAATGAAAAATGTATCAAGGTTGCAATTTAGAAACGAGATATATGAATCGAAGAGTGGGATAGAGCCAGACGTGTGCGAAACGTCGCTTTTCACCTCGATCGAGCGAATTGATAAAAATTTTCGTGTTCGCGAGGCGTCGCACTCTCGTTTACGCAATAGAAAAAAAAAACTGCAGAGATAATGATGAGATCTCGATAGAGGTCTCGCGCAATCGATAGCGCATCGATTCGGTCTGGTCGGCACATGTGTTGATTCAAAGGCAGCTGTAAAATTAGCTGCCTCGTTTTTTTTGTTGTTGTCGTTTGATATAATTTCTCCGATCTCTTACACAATATCGGTAACATCGATGCCTCGGGCTAAACGCGCGAATATAATTATGCTCGGAGCCAGTTTCCGATCTGGCACAATTGTATACATGTATACAGGCCACCACCACAATGCGACTATCGTCATCGTTTTGGCCAAGGCGTCTGCTAAACTTGAAAGCACAGGTGAGCTCCGTGTACCACTAGTGTTCTGTGAGAGTTATATCTATCGATAGTGCAAATTAGGTGCCGAGAGCGCGACAATAGAAATGAAAAAAAAAAGAAAAAAAAAATTATCGATACAATTGCGGCACATTCAGACATCATCTGCGTCGATCAATAGCATTGATAATGATCGCGCGCGCGCGCGTATCGTTATGAATTTGTCGCCGCGCGCGCGAGATCGGGCATGTGGGCGGGCGGACGACCTTGCACGGAATTTCCAAAGTTGACCCCGACGAGCACCCAACGAGCGACGACGACGACGACAAAAACAGCAACCACTACTACGCTATATAGCATTGGCCGCAAGAGCTTCTGAAAGATTCAAGGTCGTGAAAAGAAAGAGCGAGAGTGAGAGAGAAAGTGAGTTATATCGTCGAGCTGCACAATGCATGCATCGGCGAATTTTCTTTTCTTTTCTCTCTCTCTCGCTCTCGGTAGTAGCAATATTTCAATCCATGCAATAGTCGATATAAGATGCGGGTTCGGAAGTGGCGCGAGAAGCAGCAGCAGCAGCAGCATCATCACGTGGATCGCGCTTGCCCTCGAGACACGTCGTATCGGCTCTAGTCTCGCCCGACGGAGGAGCGGGTTGCTTTTCCGTCTATATACCAACCGCGTGTGTATATAGCTATATAGTTTGCCGCGCGTGGGCGCGAGAAGAAAAGCGCAACATCGCCCGGCTGAAAAACAAACTCTCGTATACGTTTGCGTATGTGTATGTGCGTGCGATACAGGACACGCACACAATCTCGAATTAGACATGCGCTCTCTGGACACACAAGTATAGGAAGGAGAAAACAGGAGGAGGAGGAGGATCGGGCCACTGTGCAATTGTGCTGCACATTATATTACGCGCCGATGTTTGCTCGTCTCGCACGTATAATATGTGTGTTGTCTGCGCGTAACCGTCGAACTTAGCTACCGTTCTCCGCGTTGCTCGTATATAATAACACAAGTTAACGCGTACATCCATCTTGGCCCAGAGTAGGAGTAGCCAGCAACACGGGCGAGAAAAGGCCAACTTGCAAGCAGTGGCACTAGCAGTGGTGGAGTGGGATTTTTCGAGAATCCTGTGTATAAAAGACACCGTCGCTCGAGGAGCTCGCGCCAAAGCAACGACGTGCCGCTCGCGTGCATCTTTACACACGCGCGCATCCGTAACTTTTCCATCCCGCACGCACGCGTATCGTCGAGTATATATCGAGGATCGATCGATCGGCTCCCAACCCACGACCCCCCCGTTTCGCGCGTCAGCTCTCGTGTGCTCTCTGAGCCACAGTTAGTAGTGCGTGTGTGTGCGCGCGCGCGACGTCAACGAGTCACCGATGCTGTGCACGCTCGACCTCTCGCAAGCACGCATCTCGACCTAGCCTGCGCTGCATATCGTATCCGCTTTTGTTATTTTTGATTTCTCGAACACCCCTATCGAGTGCGTCGTCTTTTCACAAGTGTTAGAAGATAATAAAAATCAGCCAACATGAAGATTTTGATGCGAGCCGATACCCACGTGAACATCGAAGTGCCGGGAAATGCACCGGTAGCCAAGTGCACCTTTTCGCAGGTACTACGCAAACACGTAAAATCGCACGAAAGCACACGGTATCGAGGCTAATAGTAATAAAAATTCGATTGGACTCGTTGCGACGCTCTTGATATACTTAGCGGCTCGTGAAATAAAAAGTGGGCGAATTTCAATTTTGGCTTGTTTCTACTTTTTACAGGTACTAGCGGCTTTCTCGGTCTCGCTGGGCTCCATGGTGGTTGGCTTCGCCTCGTCCTACACGTCGCCGGCTTTGACGACCATGAAGAACGAAAACATCACCAGCTTCCGCGTCGACGAGGAAACCGTAAGTAACTCGCATTATTACATATATTTATTTAGCTTTAAATTGTATCGCTTCGAATCGAGTCGCGCGACTATACGTGGACGAAAAATTATTACCGATGCGACGCACGCATCTTTTCTGGATTTTTTTCATTGCCGAGCGCGGCTCGATTGAGTCAGCAGCAGCAGCAGCAGCAGCGACGAACGTTACGAGTCGCGGTGGAGCGCCGATAAATCGGCCCGCGAACGAAGGAAAAAAGAGGCGAAAGAATTTACGGTGACAAGTTGGAAAATTGCGTGTCCCGAAGCTTTACGATCGGCGCGGGCACATACACATTGACCGATAATTAATTATGCACCGCGGCGATCGTGTTTGGTATTTTTTTTCGCTGCCGCATATATCTGCAGAAATAGACGCGCGTAGTATCTTTCTCTTTTCGCGTCCGCGTAGGATAAATATCCATTTAAATCATAGAAAATTGGCTGGCAATGATGAATCGATCTTTTTCGACGACGACGTCGACGACGCCAATAGTTTGTCGATGGGACGCGCACATGTCGCGCGCGGCCGATTGATTTAGATTACGTATATATAGACGAGAAGGCAGACGAAGAAGCTGCTGCTGCTGCTGATTAGATGGAGCAGAGAGCGATTCGCGTCACTCCAGCCGCGCAGGCTCGGCGCTGAGATTCGCGCGCATAAATAAAATAGCCGATCCCCCCGCGTGTCCCTACATATACGTATAAAAAAAAAACTTGCGGCGAGTAACAAACGCGTCACGCGTTTCAATTGTCCACTGTGGCAGCTTTCGAGCTCATTGGGTTCGTTCGAATTAAATCGTATATCCATGCGTAAGCGAAACAATATATAGTCGCGAGTACAACGCGTGTACCTGTCGAGGCAATCATCGTTTCCGGCTTTGTCTCTTGACCGATCGCGACAAAATCTATATGAGAAGCAACTTTTTGACATTCGACACGCGTCTTTTTTCTCACTCTCTCTCTCTCTCTCTCTTTTATATATTGAATCGTATCGAATGTCACGCGTACATATGCACGTACGCGCACACGACGTGGTACGTGCGCAACATCGTCAGCCTCGTCGTCCGCGCCTGTGTACTTCTGCGCTAGTTATATGCATCTTTGATTTTTTTTTCTTTTTCATTTATTGCTTTATTTACCGAACCGCGCGGCTACGTATAGAGGCAGAGATGGATAAAAGAAAAAAAAAATCAGGAAAATACTGCTGCCGCGAGTTCGTTTGGAAAAATACACACTGTTGCTCTCGATCGTTGCTGGCGAGAGATTTTTTTTTCTCTCTCTCTCTCTCTCTGGCTCCATCTCCGACGCTTACGCTTACGACATGTACAAGACGACATATTTTCATTAATAAACGAAATAATTGTAATATACGCTAGTCTCGCGTAGAGAGAGAGGCTCGTCTCGTCTTATCAGCCGCGCGCGCGGGCATAATTATCCGTGTGCGTTTTTAATTAAATAGCGATCGCGTGTGTGTTATAATACGGGTCAACGCGATTAGAGATCTCCCGTGAGGATTATTAAACGGTTACGAAAAAAAAAACTTAAAAGACGCGCGGCCGAGACGGTGGAATGTCGAGTCAATAATGCAATTATACACGGCGCTTGTACCGAGCTTGTTGTTGTGTTTTTACTTGGCGCGCGGGGCAATAATAACATAAATCATCGATAAATCGTCTGTATAGATATTTATGAAAAAAGACTATAGTCGTATAGAATAAAATATGACAAAAGATCGACGAGCTGTCAATAGTTATTGCGCAATTGTCGTAAACATGCGATACTATACTACTATAGTGCCACTGTGTGTGTACATAAGTCTTCGCGCGCTACGCGTGCCAAAGAAACTCTAAACGCCGCGGATCCGCAGATATACGTAGCGGAAGAGGATAACGCGAATAAGAAGCGGCGAGATAGCCGCGAAAGTTTTCGTATATTATATACGAGGGACGAGAGTTTTGGTCGCGAGTCGCGTAATTTCAGGGACGACGTCGCCTCGGTGGGTGACGCATCCAAGGTTTTGCGATCGTCGCGTACTTGTCATTGGCAATAAAAAAAAAATACGTGCATCCTCGCGCACTATATCGAATCTATCGAATGGAAAACAACATTGACCTTTGGCATTGTTACACACAACTTATAGGGTTCATGGATCGGCTCGCTCATGCCACTGAGCGCCCTATTCGGCGGCATCGCTGGTGGACCCCTCATCGAGTACATCGGTCGAAGGAACACCATACTCTTCACGGCCTTTCCCTTCATTTTCTGTAAGTATATCACTCGATCTTTTTTCAATTAACGGCGGCTCGGCCACTGCGGAAGGCAACCGCGCGGCGCATCGCATAAATCACGAGAGTGAGAACTCGCGCTTCTTCTCAATTGTCTCTTAGGTATTTTTTTTTTTACGTAAGCAAGACGCTCGCCGATCGCACACGCTCGCACTCGTTACTCGTATATTATATGGTGCATTATTTCAAAAGCGCGATATGACATGTCTTGTTGTCGTAGCTATTAGAAAACTTTGAAAAAATGAAAACTAAGTCGGTAGAAGTTTCATTTAACAGAATTCTATCTTCCGGAACTATAAAATTTGCATAAATCACGACCACGTTGATTTGCCAGCCGGATAAACATGCAAAATGTCCCCTCCGTGACCTGTCCTGAATTCAGAATCGATTGTTTTCACTCATTAAACACATTTTTACAAATATCCAGCAATATTGTGGTACATAGGCTCTTAAGTTTTTTTACGTCACTCATCATCTTATATAGTTTAAAAACAATTGTACATAAATAACAAATGTGTCCTTAAATTATGTGAAATTTCACATCATTTTAAATAAAGGACCAGTAATAAACGTGCTAGACAGTCATTTTGACCTTTCTAACTATACGAGGGTCATCATTCAGAACTAAGGTACTCGATTTTTACCCGTAGAATATTCGAATCTTAATTGCATCTTCGCTATAACAATAGTTGCACACGAAAATTGTAATAATAAAATAAAGTGTCCCCTCCGTGAACGACGAGTTTTTGAGCTAGCACTTTTTATTTTTGAATCTGGTGGCGTAAAAACGTTCGTCTTTACAAACAATTTTTGTGCGTGATCGGAAAAAAATTTTCAACTTTGCTGTCATCATAAAACTTGATAAAAGTGCGATTTGTCCCCTCTGTGACAAATTTTCATGTTCGCAACAAGAAAATAAACGCATTAAGCGATGGCCGATAAAAAGTAAGAAATATCGCACTTTTGAAATAATGCACCATACACGCGACTCGTGACTCGGGATTTTTTTCCGACTTTCGCAAGTCCGCACGCATCTGTATATATTTAATCATTCATTTTTTATCGTCTACAGCTTGGCTACTGATCGGCCTGGCGGTGAACGTCGTGATGATCCTGCTCGGCCGCATGATCAGCGGCTTCGCCGTGGGCGTCATCTCGCTCTCGCTGCCCGTCTACCTCGGCGAGACGATCCAGCCGGAGGTGCGCGGCTCGCTCGGCCTGCTGCCCACGGCCTTCGGCAACATCGGCATACTGCTCTGCTTCACGGCTGGCATGTATCTCGACTGGTGGCGGCTCGCGCTGCTGGGAGCTCTGCTGCCGGTGCCCTTCGCCCTCTGCATGATCATCATCCCCGAGACGCCGCGCTGGTACATATCCAAGGGCAAGACGAAGCGCGCGCGCAAGTCGCTGCAGTGGCTCAGGGGCAAGCAGGCCGACGTGAGCGAGGAGCTGACCACCGTGGAGAAGATGCACGTGGAGGCCGAGCGACAGGTGAGCTCGCAGCAGGGGCCCTTCGGCGAGCTCTTCAAGGACACGAATCTCAAGCCGCTGCTCATCTCGCTCGGCCTCATGTTCTTCCAGCAGATGTCCGGCATAAACGCCGTCATCTTTTACACCGTGCAAATCTTTGAGGTATACAAAACTCATATAACATCTCCTATTATATTCGTTATCTCGTTCGGACCGCGATTGAAACGCAAATTGGGTGAATTGTGCAGGACGCGGGCAGCAAGCTCGACCCGAACATCAGCACCATCATCGTCGGCATCGTGAACTTCGGCTCGACCTTCGTCGCGACGACCCTCATCGATCGGCTGGGCCGCAAGATCCTCCTCTACACGAGCAGCGTCTCGATGATCGTCTCGCTGGCGAGCCTCGGCGCCTTCTTCTTCATGAAGAACCACCACATGGACGTGTCGGCCATCGGCTGGCTGCCGCTGACCTCCTTCGTCGTCTACGTGATCGGCTTCTCGCTGGGCTTCGGGCCGATACCCTGGCTCATGATGGGCGAGATACTGCCGGCCAAGATACGCGGCAGCGCAGCGAGCGTCGCGACGAGCTTCAACTGGACCTGCACGTTCGTCGTGACCAAGTGCTTCATGAACATCGTGGCGCTGATCGGCCAGGAGGGCACCTTCTGGCTGTTCATGATCATCTGCCTGCTGGGCCTGATCTTCGTGATCGGCTTCGTGCCCGAGACGAGCGGCAGATCGCTGGAGGAGATCGAGCGCGGACTCACCGGACCCGTCAGGCGTATGAGCGCCGTGGCCAACATCAAGCCGACGCCCATGGCTTGTTAGTAATGCGTGCGGATCGAAATTCCCAAATTTCACGATTTTACGTTTACGTTTTTGTTCGTTGCGCGCGCGACGATTGTTGATTGTTGACTACATGTGTAATAGACGTAGGTCACCTACCTATTATCACGTTCGCTACTATGTATATTAACGAAAAAAATGTACGCCTATGGCTGATCTGGAATCTGCGGGGCTGTGGATTATAATCAAAATAATTGATCCATCTTTTCTTCTTACTTTCAAATTGTATATAGTCAAGCAATATTAAGCTTACGCTATAGTTCGGATAATCTGCACGACTACCACGTTGACGCGTTTATTTTTATCCTTTTAGAATATTCTCAGTGTAGATAGATAGATTTTTATGTAAATACATCTTAGCAGAACTTTGCATTTGTCATGCAAGCGATTAGTATAGTTTTTTAAAATAGAGAAAATCAAAGTTAACATTTTTCCTTAGCGAATAGAAATTTTAGCATCGAGGAATGCTCGACTTGTACAGCTCAAAGGATGAATTTTGCACGAGTCCAAATCCATCCTAAACTATTTAAACAAAGTGATATATTTCAATGATTCCAACAAGTATTGTTTACTCAACGAAATCCATTTATTTGAAACAATACTTTTATTAATATTTTTAGTACATTAAAGAAAAAAACCAAAATAGAGGTTTTCTATTCCTTATGTAGTTGATTATATGAATAGCATAGAATTACTATACATGTTGAAAATCTATATTTTTAATGAAACTTTGCAAGAAAAAGCAATCACCTATATTTTTCTATCAAAAACCATTGATTCTTGTTTATATGCATGTATATCTTATATATATGTGTATAAGTATACCTATGTTTAGATAGATTTTATTGTATTTATATAATAATGTTCAATTTTATGCATCTATTATTAAACAAGTGTCCATTCATTTTCATTGATTCTTCAACAGTACTTATACTATCCAAGATTACGAAATCAATTTGATAAAAACAATTTTCATGTCTTTTCATAAAGTACAATTGTACTTTAATACTCATAAAGACTTGGATAATAAATAATAATATTTTGAAAAGTACTGTAAAGAAAGAAAAGATTCACCTCTGTGTAACATATAAAAAATGTTTTTACATGTGCAAGATGAAATCATCAACGAAAAACTCTAAAAAGGTTAAGAACTTGATTAATTTATGACTGTATGATTTAAACGTAGTAGCTGATTAAAAAGTAATGCTATACTTATAGTGTTATCTCAAATGTTATGTAAAATCATCAATTATTAATATGATTTTGATACCTTCATGCGTCTTTTAATAAATTGCAATAAATTTGTATTCATGCTACCAAAAATATTCCTTGAATAAAAAAATGAAACATTTTTTAAATATATATTGCTTTTCTTATCTTACTTGTCGTCCAAACGGGCTGCATGTCTATACAGTAATTAATTGAAACAATAAAATGCCCTTTTGAACTTGATACAATCTTTAAAATAGTGTCTCTAAATAACGTGCACACTTGAAATGTGCAAATTGTTAAAAATTAAATTTTTTCTTAACATTTATAATTTCTAAAACATCAAAAATATAATGAGTCCAGTGAAAAGAATCAATTGAAAACTACTCATCATAAAATTTCAACCAGTTTGTACATAAACATTACCAATGTTTACTACTTGTTGTATCAAAATATGATATTGAGTTCTATCAAAGAAATTTCGCACACAACGTATTTGTAAATAATAATCGTTTAAAGTCAGTATCATTGCTTGAAATATTAAGAAACTCGAGGTTCCAAATGAAGATTACTATTTTTTTGTTGTACCTACCCATAACTTGCACCCTACAGATCGCACACGTATCGCATTCAACGTCCCAACTCCACATAGCCACGGCGTTCCATTTCTTTAATGTAAACATTTTTTCGGATTTGTTTCCGTCTACATCTGTACTACTGGCATCTTCTTGGCTTTGAGACTTTTGTTTCTCGACTTCTGACATGTCGATTGTTATTTTTAATGAAAAAAATGGAACGAGTTGTAATCACACTTGCTTGACACGAAAAAGCGACAGAAAAACTGATTGACAGCAAACTAATTGACAGAAAACAATAATGCACAAACAATCAAACACGACCACTGACAGTAGCTGACTGACGAATCATAACCCATATAACACTTGCCAATGTTTACAGTCTCATGTATACACACTCGGTAATAAGAGTTCATTCAAATACATAGTGAGCTGTTAACAGATACAGATGTCACTACTCTCATCTGCCTCGTTCAAAAGAATTTTAATTCCCGGGCGTGCTCCAGCTCCAGCTTCCAATTAATAGTCGTCTATTCGAAATAGATAGATTTATCAAAGTTCAATGATCAATGAAGAAACTATCGACCTCGAGCTGGTAATGGTTTTGAACTACGCGAAATACTCGATTAATAAGATCAAAAGTTAAAACGGAGTGTCATTGGAACTGCTGACGTTTTGTCGGCCTGTGTATAAAGTCGATACTATTCAATCTGTGCTACCGGCGTGTCCTAACCTCAATTCATCCTCCAAAACAAACCGAGTGTTGGCTATATCATTTGTGTTAAATAATAGTAAAATTCAATAAAATGACCAAGGACGAGGTGAAAGAAAAATTTGCCTCCCACGAGGTCGAAAATGAGAGGCGTTCTGTCAGTGATGCTAGTTCGGAACCAGTGAAACATAGAGATAAAAAGGATAAACAGAATAAGCCAATGACAAAAGTAAGTCTTTTTATATATACATCATTGTTCAACTGATTTCTTTACACATATGATTGTTGGAATAACATTATGAATATCCAGTACGCTGAACAAAGAACATTTTATAGTGCTTCAATTATATATTTTTATAAATTTAATAGTTGTATTTTTAGGTAAAAAAGTATATAATTTTATTAATAATTACAAACTTATTACAATCTGTTTAGGTTGTTATAAGGAAACTTCCACCATCGATGACAGAAGAAGAATTTAAAGAACAGATATCACCCATTGCAGAAAATGATTATTTCTCTTACGAAAAACCTGATAAAACTTTGGGTCACACATATCAGTTTTGTAGGGCGTACATCAATTTCATCAATCCACAAGATGTTTTTGACTTCAAAGATAAGTTTGACGATTATGTATTTGTGGATTCAAGAGGCGTCGAGTATCCTGCAGTTGTAGAATTTGCTCCAAGTCAAAAAATACCAAAGTACCGTGTATTGCAAAAAAATAAAGATGTTGTTTCACAGATAGGTACAATAGAGCTAGATCTGGATTATATAAATTATGTGGAGAACTTGCAAAGTCAAAATATTCAAAATGAAAAACCTGCAAAAAAAGCAGAATACTCGTATCAAGTTCCTAGTGGTGAGTATCAAATTTCTAATTCTATACATCTATAATCCTTCATAAAATTCATCGCAATAAATTAAATTAAATAATTTTATTACAGTGGAGTCCAAAAATAAAATCATCACTCCTCTTGTGGGATATGTTAGGCAAATGAATCTTGAAAAACAAATGAAAAAAGAAGACAAAAAAAGACGAGATATTGAACGCAAAAAAGTTGATCTAGAACGTAAAAAGGAAACAGAAAAAATGCACTCTACAGACACAAATAATTATCGTACAATATTAGTTCAAGATTCATTAGCCCAAAATTCTTTGCAAAAGGTGAGTTTTGATGATAATTGTATCTATATTTTAATTAACAGTATTGTGAAAGATAATAAGGTGAGTGAGCTAATAGCTGGATAGGCAACCAATGGATAGACAATTGCTTGATTTAATTAATGATTAATAAAATTATTTTATAATTTTCAATGATACTAGCTGTATATTTAAATAAAATTAGAATAACTAATTGTCTATCCACTGGTTTTCCATCCATTTATTAGCTTGGATACTGTAATATTTAGAAAAAATGCAATTTAAATTCAATGTGAATTTAAAACTAATTTATTTGTAAAATGACTACAATATTTTTCATGAATGTATTATAATATTCATCCTTGTTGAATTTCTTATTGTATTGTTCACAGGATGAAACGAAAAAGAATACAGAATCTAAACATGAAAAGGAAAAAACTTATCAAAAAGACACCAAAGGTAAATCGAAAAAAGAAGATAGGCCAAATAAAAGTAACAAAGACAAAGATGTTAAAAACACGTCAAAACAACAAAAAATTCGAGAGGACAGAGCAAAAAAAACTGAGGTACCCAAAGAACAAAATGAACCTACTGAACGGAAAACAGAAGAAAAACGTGGTAAAAGCTACTTGAGAATGAGGCAAGAAAAAATGAAGTTGGCTGAAAAAAAGAACGCAAATGAATCTACTTCAAAAGCTGCGGAAAAAATTACGGCGGATGAAAAGAAAACAACTGATGTGGAAAGCTCGAGTATTTCAAGTGAGGAGCAGACAAAAAAAATTCTGAAGCGACCAAATGTTCAGGATAAAAATTTGGAAACAACAGATGGTTTGTATTTATATAAAAATAATTTGTGTAGTAAGCTTATGTTGATAATTGAATGTGTAATAAATTTGAAATTATTCCAGATTCTGCCTGCAATAAAATAAAACAATCTATGAGCGATAGTGATAAAGACGAAAAAGCAATAGAAAATGCTAGTCATAGAATATCTAAGAGGCGTAGTTCACTGGAAAGTGGTGGAGATTCATGTTCGAGCCTTAAATCTAGTAGTAGTGGCAATGCAAAAGATAATAACTCAGAAGATAGGTTGAGAAGGCACAAATCACTGGACGGTTCTAACAAAGGAAATTTACAAAAAACAGAAGTCGAAGGGGATGGAGATAAAGAGAAGAAAGATCCGCGTTTAGAACGACGAATTCGCAATAAAGTTAGTTTTAATAAAATGAATATGAGGCATGCTATGAATAAGCATTCGCCTTTAATTGCTTTTAAGTTTTGAAACTTGGAGCTTATTTTCGGCTTTTTTTTGTAGGATCGTCCAGCTATGGAAATATATCGTCCCGGCATGGGTAAATTTAGCAAACAGCGCATAGAGCGGGAAAAAGGTGAAGAACGAGTGACGCCGTCACAGAGTCCAACTCCCACGTCGTCGAGCTCCTCTAGCGGCTTCAAATCGAATAGATCTAACAGCGTCGAAGTTCGCTCGATGACTTTCAAAAGGAGTGTACATCGAGAGTGAATTAGTAAGTTAAAGTTAATTAATATCGACATTAAGAAAATGTTGTTAGAAAGTAAGAAAGTTTTTATAAGCTTTATCAAACTGTAATTCGATTTTATACGGTACATAAACGATGTCAATAACGCCTAGATATAATTATAATTGGAAAAGTTACGATGTAAATGTGATGAATAAATTTAAAAATGCACGACTATTTGTCTATGTATGATTCTTTCGCATGATACAAAAACAAACCAGCAGCAAAAGTGTATAGTAGAGGTATGGTGGATAACTTTAAATTTTAAGATCAACCTTGGAAACCCATAAACCGAATAATTTAAAACTACACATTCCAAAGCGTATATCAATGGTTTGTGGAGCATGCGTTGCCTGGCCGATGAAAAGAGCAGGTTCGATACTTTAAAAAGAAATTACCCTGCGGAGGTAAGTTACTTGTTTGTTATTTCATCGAAATTTTTATAGATAGAGCAGTGGGTGAAGTGACAAGACCAATCAATTGCTTTTTGTACCGAAGATCAGGATTTGCTTTCCGCTCTTGGCATTAACGCTCAACTGTTGCTAAAGAAAATCAACATTCAGCAGACGAGCCAATGAAAGATTCAAAAGTTTAACATTGATTCTACGTATGAACGAAGTCACTCTTCCAGCACTTTCACGTATAAAGTCACTCGACTTAATTATTATCCCTTAATCATTTACAAAAAACAATAATTATTTTTTTGGGATGTACCACGAAAAACGAACAAAGACTCATAAAATTATCATTTCACGAATATCCATAAAAAGTAAAAAAACTAGAATCCTTAGTATGTAAAATCTGAGGTAGCTATTGGGAAATTTTTCAAGCTCTATTTTATTTGTTTCCGATATTGAATTGAAATCGTAAGGTTCAATACTTCAAAATTTTAAGGTTTTAAAATGAGATTTATTAATTTGTGTGGAATTTGATCAAAGTTCCACTTTAAGCCGATGTTTTCATTTTTATTTCTTAATTGCTCGACGAGTTTTTCAAAACACGGAAAAAATAGCGCCACATAGAGCAAGAAGCAGGAATAAACCAAAAGTTGAGCCGCAGTCGCGAGCATCGTTTATCGGACGACATTAAATAGATAAGTACAATAAGGCGCAATAGCGGCAACTGCACGCGCTGCTTTGTGATTTTTTTTTGTTCTTCTAAGCCGCGCGATTGTTTCACAGTAGATCCTTGACGATGCGGCGAAGTAGTCGTCGTTCGGCGGCAGCTCCTCAACGTCGAGAATCAAGATGCCAAGACGGACCGTCGAAGCTCGTACTCGCAAACTCGTTCAAAGGCAACTGTGAGCCGTGCGCCAGAAAACATGGTAAATTGCCCACGTGATTTTTGTCAGATCGGCATTCGGCGGAAGTCGAGCGAGCGCTAACTCGAGTCCGCATGCGTATATTATATAGTCAATAGAGAATAGCTGCGCGTACGCAACAATCGAGTCGTCTGTGCTCGCGAGACAGACGCGCAAACTGTGTTACATATATATTATATATAGATGCATGTCGATCGATCCTCGCTAATCGACTGGCGAGAGAACGGATTATCGTATAGTGGGCGAGGCGCGAGTCGCAGCACGAATACACGTCCGATCGTAATCGATCCGTTTGGTGAATCGGTTGCATCGGTGTTGTTTATAACTGCAACAGCAGAAGTAAAGAGAAAAAAAGTAAAAAGAAATCGGCTACGTGGACGCGTTAAAAGTGAAAAATTGGTCACGCCTCGGATGTCGACGAAAACGCTACTCGTGCCTTTCGGTGAGTAAATTACAAAATTACCGATGTATTTTCCAGCCGCGCGGATCGATGACATAATACACGCGCTTGCTTGCTTATGCGCTATCGAGCGCGTAATTCAGCGATAAGAAAGCTCTAACTTGGCTCTTTTTTTTTGTCAATGATAATCGTGTGGTCGAGCTCGGAGCCGACAATTGTTCTAATCGAGCGCCTGTTATCGGCGAGACCTTTTATTATTATTCGTCCCGCAAGGCCAGCAGCGGCGGCCTCGATCGTTTATCAATTATTCGCTCGCGTGCTCGAGAGGCTCGACCACGATTATTATTAGCGAGTACCTATTACTACTTGTTGCGTAGGGCGCGAGAAATTCGAGATCCAGTACAGGATACAGGATAATCGAGCTCGATGCCAGCTCCGAGGTGCCGATCAATTCAGCCTCTTTTGCCCGAAATCGCATCGTCACGAGCAAAGTAAGTCGATGCGGCAATTGGCAGCTGAATTAGCTGCGACGTAATTGATAATCATTGCTGCAGTACACCCTGTGGAACTTTGCGCCGAAAAATCTGTTCGAGCAGTTCCGGCGACTAGGCAACTTTTACTTCCTGGTCTCGGCGCTGGTTGCAGTCAGCATCGAGTCGCCGATCTCGCCACTGACCACCTGGCTGCCCCTGGTCTTCGTCATCCTGGTCACGGCCTGCAAGCAGGGCTACGAGGATCTGCTGCGCTATCGGGCCGATCGTCGCGTCAACAACAAGCCCTGCACCGTCATTCGTCGCAAATGCTGCCAGGTTGATTCGTATTATGAACCATTGAGTCCCAAGAGGACGTTTTTTTGGTGAAAATGGGGGTGAAAATAATATGCGAGTAACCATGAAGTCCAATGTAAAATTTAATGACCCTTTCAGAATCTGATCTCGGAGTTTCGAAAAAATGTTCGAGTGAAAAGTTAAACTTAATTTGATCCAAAAAGACGTGATTTTTTATTTTCCGATTTTTCAAATGAAAAATGAAAAATAAAGAAAAGAAATTATTTGAAATCTCAGGGTTTTTGTATATCGCGTCCTCAATGTCTAAACTAAAAGTTAGCGGGTTTTCGAGTAGAAATATTAATGTTCAAACACACTAAATGGAGGTAAAAACGCGAAAAAATGAACGAAAAATTCTAGAATTTTTACCCGACATTAAAGGGCCCCAGAAAAAAATGTATTTTCTAACTTTATTTTCTCCAATCTAAACCCCACTAACTTTTAGTTTAGGTATCGAGTACGCGATATTTGCACGAAACCCCTAAGATTTCTAATGGTTTCCATTTTGGAAATTAAAAAAATAAGAAAATTTTTTTTCAAAATCACGTTTTTTCGGATAAAATCACGTTTAACTTTTGACCTGATCATATTTTTGAAAATCCGAGATCAGATTCCGAAAGGGCATTAAATTTTACATTAGAATTGGGTACTTGCATATTTTTTTCGACCTCATTTTCACCAAAAATACAGCGGCCGAATGAAGTGTCGAAAAAATGTCATCTTGGAACACAATGGGTTAATTCATTTATCGTTAGCCAATTCCAACTCGACTTCGAATCATGGAATACGCGGCCTTATATTTTAGGAGATAAGCTGCCAGCAAATCATGGTCGGCGATCTGGTCAAGGTGAATCGAGACGAGGACGTGCCGTGCGACCTGCTGCTGCTGCACAGCAGCGAGGCCGGTAAATGCTACGTGACCACGTCGAACCTCGACGGCGAGTCCAATCTCAAGTGCCTGCGGGTGCCGCGAGTCGTGCGCGAGCTCGACCTGCCGAGGCTCGTCTCCGCGAGAGCCACGATCGAGTGCCAAGCGCCCGTGGCCGGCCTCTACAGCTTCGAGGGTCGCATCAGGCTCATCGACAGCGCTGAAGACCAACGAGACGACGACGAGGAGGATGGCGGCATTATTTCGCCGAGCAGCAGCAGCAGCAGCAGTAGCGAAAGCCTCGGCATCGACAATCTTCTGCTCAGGGGCTCTAGGCTGAAGGACACGGATTTCGTGATCGGATGCGCCGTCTACACCGGCGACGACACCAAACTCTCGCTCAACTCCAAGCTCAGCGTCAACAAATTCTCCACCGTCGAGAAGTAAAATGCGGCCAAATAAGCAGCTATTGTTTAGCATTATTTGATTGATGATATAATTGACTTATTCTCAGATCGATCAACAAGTACCTCTTGGTGTTTGTGATCTTTTTGCTGCTGGAAGTGCTCGCTTGCACGGCCATGAAAGCCGTCAAGGAGAAAAAAGAAAAGTGGGACTTTTATCTGGGCGGCTCGAGCTCGTTCCACATCGGGGGCCTGGCCAACGACGTGCTGTCCTTCGCCATCCTCTTCAACTACGTCGTGCCCATCTCTCTCTACGTGACCATCGGTAATAATCAACCTATTATATAAGTTTCGTTGCCTCGAGTACAAAAATTGGAGTCACGAGACCAGCTCAATCTTCTGAGCTTAGCTTATGTACCCAGGTGAAAATAGTATGTAAGATCTGACTTTAGATCTAATGTCAGATCTGAAGTGATTGTATTGCCTCTAATTAATTAAACAATAAGTTTATTAATGATTAAAATTTTATAACAAATTTAGTTATATTTATAATCACATCGATAATAACTTTAAGAAAAATTCCTACAATATTTAGGTTTCTGATAATGTGAATTTAAATTGATTCAACAACTTTTATTATTAAGATTTATTGTTGTTATTCTTTTTCTTCTTCTTGTTTTATTATTAAGTTCTCCCTGGTGAAAATGGTATGTTAGGTCTGACCGCAGATCTGATCTAAGTTTTGGTGAAAACACATCAGATCTTATGCCAGATCTTATATCAGAATTTGTATACGATAATCGACATCAGAACTTACATCAGATCTAATGTCAGATCTGAAACGACTGTATCGCCCCTAATTGTTTAAACAATAAATTTATTAATGAATAAAATTTAATAATAAATTAAGTTTTATTTTAATAATCTTATTGATAATATCTTTAAGAATAATTCCTCCAATGTTTGGGTTTTTGATAAAGCGAATTTAAATTGATTTAGTAACTTTTATTATTTAAGATTTGTTATTTAATTTTAATTATTAATAAACTAAATTAAAGGTGTCATGGTCACTTCAGATCTGACATTAGATTTGATATCAGATCTTATGTGAGTTCTGATGTCGATTATCGTATTCAAATTCTGATATAAGATTTGGCATAAGATCTGATGTGCATTCACCAGAACTTATACCAGATCTGACATCAGATCTGGAGTTAGATCTGATATACTATTTTTACCTGGGCTGATATCGATTATCGATTACAATATCTGGCGTACATTTGTCAGATCTTATACCAGAGTCAGATCTTGCATACTATTTTCACCCGGGTATACATCGGTAGTCCTACCAAATATAACAATATTTTTTTCCCGCAGAGATGCAAAAGTTTTTAGGTGCTCTGTTCTTCGGATGGGATGCGGCGATGTACGACGCGGCCACGGAACAGCCGGCCCTGGCCAACACGTCGGACCTCAACGAGGACCTGGGCCAGATCGAGTATCTGTTCAGCGACAAGACGGGCACGCTGACCGACAACCTCATGATATTTCGGCGCTGCTACGTCGACGGCGCCACCTACTCGGAGCGTGACTGCGACGGCTATCTCTACCTGTTGCCCGCGGACGGCGACGAGAGCCGAGCCGAGAGAACGAGCCCGTGGACGGCCTCGGTCTGGCACTTCTTTCTCGGCGTGTCGATCTGCCACACGGTGCAGCTGGCCTCGGCGCCCCAGAGGGCCAAAGCCCAGCTCAAGCGCAGCGAGTACCGCGAGAGCTTCCGCACCAAGAGGATAACCAGATTGAACAGCTCGCTGATGATGGATCCCAAGCTGCCCGAGTACGAGGTAGAACAAAATTCAATAGAGGTAAAACAAAGCCAAACGACAATTGCAATATTCTGGGGTGCAGGCAGCTTCGGCGGACGAGAAGGCACTGGTCGAGGCGGCCGCTCGTTGCGGCGTCGTGTTCCTCGGCGAGAACGACGTCGACAACGACGTCATTGACATCGACGCGCAGGGGACCGATCTCCGATATCGACGCCTCGACACTCTGGAATTCACTTCGGGTATATATATAGTTGTCAAGTCGGGTATATATATATGGTAGGCTATAGAGCCGTTTGTAATCGAGCGTATTCGAGTTGCAGATAGAAAGCGCATGTCGGTGCTCGTGGAGGACGCCGCCGGCGACATATGGCTCTACTGCAAAGGCGCCGACTCGGCCCTGCTGCCGCTCCTCAGCAGCGCCGACGAGCGCCAGCAGGCGATGCATCGCGTGGCTGACTTTTCTAGGGTTCGTGCGACGCTTTTCTCCCCGACGGAAATTCATCACCGCTCTAATTCTAAATAAGTCTTAAGAAATTCTTATAAATGTTCGGATTTCGTACCATGATTTTTCAGAGTTAACAAAACTTTATGAGAGTTTTAATTTATATAAAATTTGGTTTCCGAAATATTCAGACGGGTAAGGCAATCGCTTATTTAATTTAAAAAATGAGTTACCAAGTGTTGATAAAAGTTTTTAATATTTATAAAAACTTTTTTGATCGGTATCCACGCTTGCCAAAAGTCATGGTGAAAAAACTTTACGAGTGGCCATATGAACAATTTAGAAAACATGAAAAAAAAATCGAGTCTCCACAAGGTTTTATGAATTTTTAAAAACTCTTATTAGCTTTTTAAAATCATTAATCAGGTGTACGAACTCCGCACATTCGTAAGACTTTTTAAGTCTTTTCTAGACTTTATAACACTTTCTCATAAGAAAAATTTTCGTCGGGGCAGTCGTAACGCGCACAGTTGCTATTATTATTATTATTTTTTTTTTACTATGTTCTGTTTTCAGCGAGGCTTGAGGACGCTCGTGCTCGGATTCCGCAAGTACAGCCGATCCGAGTACGCGGAGCTGAGCGCGAAGCTGAAGCGGGCCCGAGAGAAGCTCGGCGACGACGATCGGCTCGGCTCCGTCCAGGAGGCCGCGAGCCAGCTGGAGAGCGGCTTGACGCTGCTGGGGGTCAGCGCGGTCGAGGATCGTCTCCAGGAAGCCGTGCCCGAGACCCTGGAAAAGTTGCGCAGGGCCGGCCTCAAGGTCTGGGTACTGACCGGCGACCAGGCCGAGACGGCCGAGAACATCGCCTCGTTCTGCGGACACTTTCGCCCCGGCATCGACGTCTTGAGGCTGATAAATCTCACGGATTCGCGCCAGTGTCGCAACTATCTCACGAGCTTCGAGTATACGCGGCAGCTTATTACGCTTTAAATTTATCTTTATTGAAAATACTCAACGACTTATTTTGCAGACGCAAAATGAAGCTCGATCCAGTTGGCTCTTACGGCTTGCTCATGGACGGTACGAGCATCGGTATAGCCCTGAAGAATCATCCGAGGCTACTTCGGAGCGTCTCGATGGCCTGCGATGCCGTCGTCGGCTGTCGCATGTCGCCCCTGCAAAAGAGTCAGGTTTGACTTTTTTTGTCTTTTTCTCGTCGCTTTGCTAGTGCGTCATTTTGCTCGATCCTAAACCGTGCCCGACAGATGGTGCAGCTGGTAAAACGAGCCCGAGACTCGCCACTGACGGCCGCGGTGGGCGACGGCGGCAACGACGTCTCCATGATCAAGGAGGCCCAAGTCGGCATCGGCATCATCGGCAGGGAGGGCCGCCAGGCCGCCATGAGCGCCGACTTCGCCATCCACAAATTTCAGCATCTCGAGCGGGCTCTGCTGGTCCACGGCCACTGGTACTACCTGCGAATAGCCCAGCTGGCTCAGTACTTCTTTTACAAAAATTTGGTCTTCATCACGCCCCAGCTGTTTTTCGCCGCTTACAATGGCTTCTCCGGACAAGTGAGTCGAGAGAAAGAGAGTAAAGATTATATACAGTAATATCAATTGTAATTGTAATTGTACATAGGCATTGTACGACAGTATATTCCTCATGGGCTTCAACATGGTATTCTCGTCGGCTCCGATTCTCGTGTTCGGCTGTTCCGAGCAAGACTTTTCGGAGCGACGGCTGCTCGCCGCTCCCGAGCTCTACCGATTGCACCGGAAAAATTACCTGCTCGCTTGGAGGCAGTTCGTCGAGTGGACGCTCGTAGGTAAATTATATTGTTAGCACAAGCCCAAAGACGAGATGTAGTCGTTAAAAATGGTTGATTTTGTCTGCGCGGGGCAGCCTTGTGGCAAACGAGCGTCATCTACTTTGCCAGCCACGCGTTCTGGCAGGCGAATCCGGTGAACCTGTACGACGGCACCGCCGCGGACCACTGGTGCTTCAGCACCTGCATATTTCATCTGGTCACGCTTGTCATCAATCTGCAGCTGCTGATCCAGAGCTCCTACTGGACCGTGCCGCTCCTCGCGAGCATCGCCCTCACCGAGATCCTCTTTTTCTTCTGCACCTTCGTCTACTCGTTCTGGAACTTGTATATATAAATATCGCCGCCTTTGATACGCCAATATAGATATAGATGATCTCAATTCGTCGATTTTTCTGTTTCGCAGAGAGTACGACGGCAGCATGTTCTGGGTGTACCCGAAGCTGCTGCTCTCGCCGAGCTTCTGGCTGCTGTCGTTGCTGATCGTCGTCGCCTGTTTGGCGCCCGTCTCGATACTCGGGATCTGTCGAGCCGCCCGAGCCTCGAGATTGTTGCGCAGCCGCCGATCGTCGTACTCGTCGTCGTCCGACGACGCTGCTGCGATGGCTTACTCGCCGATCGATCCGAGCTCGCCCGATTTGCCTGTAAGACATCGAGTCCCGATACTGACGTTCTTGCGAGCTTTTTATTAACCGCGATCGTTTTAATTTTTCATTGCCGCGACAGAACCGCGAGAGGCGGAGCAGCTTGATCCCGTGGAGAGGCGATTTCACCTTCTACGACAACTTGGCTTTTTGATACAGCATACCAACATCGATATACCAACGTTCAATAAAACAATCATTATTTCAATTCGACCGAGTAGTAGCACTGCAGTCATTTAATCTCGCTCCTGCATTATATCCAGCTTTATTATTTTGATGATTATTTTTTTTGTGTTTCTCACACGGCACATACACGATTGAAATTTAGAAAGCCCGAGTGGGTGCCGTTACGCTCGTTGTATATACATACATATAGTCACTTGCTGCACGCGCCTCGCGTAAATGACCGCATGCTATACGGTATGTATGTATACCTTTGGGGTGCGAGCGAGCGAGCCGAGCCCCTCTTTCTTCTCGTTCGGCCGTCTCGTCTTGCTTTATACGCGGGGCGACGAATGCACGGCCGTGTATATACGCATTTACAATTGGTCCATGTAAGCTCGCCCATGTACTTTTCTCGTTCGGCTTTTGAGTGTTGTGTATGCCGTGCGAGCTACTCTACACGAAATTCGCATTGATGCACAATTACCGTTAGTGCGACCGTCGCATTGTATTAGAGAAAAAAGCTTCGTGTATATTGGGCACGCGCGCACGCACGCCGCCGACATAATACGGTTTGTTTTCGACGTTGTGTTTTACGACCGTGTCGCGCACCGACAAAAATTATATACACACATACTCGCGCGTTATATTATATTTTACGTCTCTGCAACGACTTCGCTTTTTAAAACATTTTTTCCAAAATCCGATGTGGATCAATGCATGTATGTATACGCGCCTATGAGTGTGTGTCTTCTTAAAGAAATCGACTTTATGTGAATGCTCGATGCATTATGTTAATATTTTAATTCGTCAATAAATAATTTTAAAAACCCTTTAAAATACTATGGTTCAAAATTTATCTAGAATAAATAAAAAAATACAAAAATTAAATCATCTTACAAATCAATTGACAAATCAATCAAGTAGGTAACAACAAAAAATTGAGAAGACTTTGATAAATTAAATTAAACAATGATAAAAATTAGAAAAAATTCGCGAATATAATTAACGAGATCACTTGCTTTCTTGCGCACAGCTGCCTAACACTGGCGTCGCGAAATTTTTGGGGGAAGCACCAACCATTTATCCGAGAGCACAAGCTCATAGTGATAGTCTTTGCTTTCAAGTAATTTTCCTGCCTTCTCGGGTGGTAAACGGATCAGGTCGTAGTGCGACAGACTCGAAGTAATCATCAAATGCTTCGACTTGTTCGCGAACAATCGATCAATTACCTGATTGTTTTGATATCACGTTGATTCAATTTGTATCCTCTTTTTTTCAAACACTTCACAACGGCTCATGTCCCAGAAGCTATTCTCGATTTATTTCAATGAACCGATGTTTTATCAAACAAGTAATAGTCAAAACAAAAAACCAACCTATCATAGCTCATTAAACAATTGTTCAATAGTAGATTGATATTCAACTATTCCAAAATTAGAAAAATAAAAGATTCGTGAGTTAGATTTGAATTGGGATAAGAGTGTCATACTTGCACTCATTTAATCTTTTGAAAAAAGTATTAACACAATTTTAAATTACTGCATGGTAAACTTTTTAATTTGGTATAGTATTTGCCAAATAAAAATTTCAGGTATGCTGAATAATTGTTAGAATATAGTTGATTTCATTCATATCATATTATCATATACTTTTCCTTTAATACCCTCTTCTATAATTTCTCGCTCGCACGATCATCGCGTCAATAATTGTGTTATAATGTCACGGGTTACGTTTTCGAATAATTTAAATTGGAACGAAATTCATTTCTTTTTACGGATAGCTGGTAGTCAAACACTCGCTTTCTTTAATCTTTTTCAATTTAAAGATCTACAACTGTGTAGAATAACTAGATTGACCGACCATGATCCATAGTAGGAGTGTGCCATTACCCAAAAAAAAAACGGCTGAATCAAGTTTCTTTTCGAGTTCCTCAATTAAGAAAAAAAAACAAAAACTCATTCGATGATCTATGCGCCGAGTTATGTATGGAAGCAGCCTAGTTGCAGTGTCTCTGAATAATTTCTACTTTCTCCTAGGCTTCTTTTAAAGCTTAATGTCTTATGCACAAGTGGCCCCCCACTAAGATGGATTCAAGTTTTCTAATTGTTTCCAAAAAGTACTGATACATTGCATAGCTACTATTTTAGTTTTTTGGAGAAATTATAGGTCATATACTGGCTGTATAGTTAGTACACGTTACGACGTCGCATCGTGAACATCAAACCGAAGCAGCAGCAATTGCAGCTAGTGATTGTCTTAAAAAAAAGAATAAAAAATATCTCAAGTTTTAAGCGATTGTGAGTTGTGTTTGAGTGAGTCCAACGATGGATATGTCAATGAAAGATTTTGGTAGACTAAAAAACTTAGAAACATTACTGAAGAACTTGCAAGAAAATATGAATTGGGAGATTGTAGATGAGCGACGCAGGTTTATTCGTAAGATTTATCCTTCAATTAAACTGGCGTACTACGCTCGATTCTCACCTCCAAACATCCAAGACGTTTTTCGTACCGAAGACATCGAACGTCTTGCCATGGATTACATCAACTTTGTGGCCGAAGACAAAAAGTATAGACTTGAACTTGAAGTGTTCATCTTCTTCGTGACTTGCAGCGGCTACAAAGACAAGCCCAAACTCGATACAGACGGTAGGCCATCGTCGCGTCGCACAACACCATTGCATCGTGTGGCCAAACAAAATTGTAATATAATGAAAAATATGATCCTCCTACTATTTGAGATTTACAACCGTTACGACGTCAATTACACCGACGAATCTGGACTGTCGCATTTCCATGTGGCCTGCATGTATGGCTTGGACGACGAAATCGAGAAATTCCTCGAGTCAGGGCATGATCCTAATTGCCTCTGGCCAGAAACAGGAGATTCGCCACTACACTTGTATCTGATTGGTAAGTACCAACACTTTTGCAATAGGAGAATGACCAAACCACTGATGAGAAAAAGTGTCAATCTTAATATGGTCAACAAGGATGGATTGACATTTTTGCACTTGTTGATAAGCAAGAAATATGATTACAATATGTTGAAGCCGTTATTCGAGATCGCCGAGGAAAAACAACAACCGTTGCAGGTCGATGCTCGTGATAAGCTCGGTAACACACCATTGCACTTGGCTATGCTCGACAACAACAATCGTGTTACTGAAATGTTGCTGAGAAGAGGCGCGGATCCGAACTCGGCCAACGACGAGGGATCCACATCTTTGCACCTATTTTACATGAGAAAGATTATTTATGAAGGCATGGGTTTATTGAAGCTATTTTTCAAGATATGCGACGAATTAAATCATACGATTCAGGTAGATGCAAAGGACAAATTGGGCCGGACACCACTGCAGTTGGCTGTGGCGAATCTCTGGCCAGATTGCATTGATATTCTTTTCGAACGTGGCGCTGATCTGTCAAATTTCATTTTTCCCACTGACAGTTATTTCGCCGAAAGATATAAATCGTGGCCCTTTTCAGTTAAGTTCTTGGGCAGACTGAGACTAGCGTCCGGTGCTTTGGCTGTCGTCGAAAAAATTGAGGAAAGAGGATATCAACTGAAGCAAAGTGACGCTTTGACGATCATGACATTTTTCGCCGAGTACAAATTGTTCGAGAATTCAGCTGATCTTACAAAATGTTGGTAAGACGACGAGAAGTTCATAACTAAAGCAAAAGAGATACGGATAAGTCCGGATCTATCGCTCGATGAAGTGGTTCGATTGCGACCTGAAGATGCGGCAAAACTACTCACATACGAGGATTACTGGAAATTTGCTTGCTCGTCTAATTCGATACCCTATTGGTACAGATGCGAGAAAGAATATGAAAAACTTAGTGTATTACATCTGTGCCAGAAACTGTCGAGAGGATTTTTCCAGAGCTGGGCACTGCATATTTTCATGGAGTTGATACGCGATCGACTACCGATTCTCTGCTGTAAGATGATCATCGAACACCTATCGAACGAAGATTTATGCAATATTTGCTTGGCAGCTAAAGTACAAAGCTCGTGATGTCGACATAAGCTTTTTTGCAGAATTTTTTTTATTGTTTGTAATTAAATGCTGCTTTGTTTACATGTTATACAAATAAATAAATTTGAAAGAATAAGTTACGATTTTTTTATTGACAAGTACACGATCGTTTGAAGTATAAAATAATTTATTTTATTACAGAACCAAATATTTCAGTCTTTTTTTCAATTTTTTTTATTCTTATAACATAATGTTTGAAGACGATTCATTTTTTATGCAGTGTATTCATTACATTAATTACATCATGCACTAACTCTTTATCAATTTATAAACTCATGTCCTCCAATAAGCTTTTCTTATCAAAAGGAAAAAATATTCCACATGCTATCCAAAAATATTGGAATAAAAAATTTTTTTAGATGTTAAAGAATCATTTATAGCAATAATAACTGATATTAAATTTTCAGTATAAATTGCCTTTTCTTATTAAATTCATGACGAAGGCGAACGTCTTGATTTCGATTGAGACGGCCGGGCAAGTAGAATCATAAATAGGGTTTTTTTTATACAAAATAGGTGTTAAAAATCACGTACTGAATTATTTTTCAGACTTTTAGTATATTTAGAGTTTGAAAAAGAAAATTTCATTTTGCGTGTGAATAGTTGTCAGAATGTGTTTTATATCATTACTATCATAGCTCATTAAATAATTGTTCAATAGTAGATTGATATTCAACTATTCCAAAATTAGAAAAATAAAAGATTGGTGAGTTAGATTTGAATTGGGATAAGAGTGTCATACTTGCACTCATTTAATCTTTTGAAAAAAGTATTAACACAATTTTAAATTACTGTATGGTAAACTTTTTAATTTGGTATAGTATTTGACATCATAAGCATCAGTTGAAAAACAATAAAAATTACGAAGATCTTTATAATATGCAATCAATCTATCACAGAACTTGAACAAGGACAAAGAGTTATGAATGATGATTATTATGTAGCAGAGCTCGTTCGACCCTATTCGGAACACGAAATTCACTCCTCGAGATTACAAGTTGAATAGTTGATTTTAAACACATATGCCACGAACGATGAAATACGTATCGATGAAATTTGTCGAGAATCTTTCTCTCTTTTTCTATGGGTCGTATATTAGATTTTGATCAAAAATGACTTTTGAATGGTCCATTTCGCCGGTCGATTAATCATTCACGGTATACATATGAGATACATATTGGCCGATTCGATACCGATCTATGGATATGAAAAAGCAATAATGGTCAGTGATAAATTTTTGAAAATATCATGCTTACAGCAGATCGCAGATCCCCCGAGAGAAAGATAGAGAGAGACGCGAGGAGAGTAGTGGACTCGAGGGTGCACGAGCCTATATAGATGACCATAGAGAAACAATCGACACCGATGTACGTAATGTCGCGAAAAAGTGGACAGTGGCCAGTCGGCAGCAGGGGTGGTATTGTTATAGTACAAGCTTCCATGGGGCGTGAATAGAAAATATATATGACGGAATCTGCCTAGAGTTGGCTTTGTAAGTTTACTCGGATGAACTCGAAGAAATAAGTTTCTACGCTCGAACGAGTTTGATAATTTGTGGCAAAAGATGACGAAATCTCGAAAGTCTCCTTTCGCCGCGAATTTGCTTGTTGCTGGCAACTCGAGCTATCGTTGCAGTTAGAAAAAAAAATGAATTTCGATATGCCATTTGACTATAGGAAGCGGAATAAGAAAATAGTGTCAAAAACGCGCAGGTATAATATTGCAACGACAGGACGAGGAGCGAAGAAGAAATAAGGCGAACTCGAGTGGAATCGTCCACGTAGATGCGACTGCGGAGGAAGATGTCTCGCGGACGCGTATACAAACACAACGACACGGCATATAGGTTGCGTGGGGTGCGTGGCGATACGTACAGAGGCACAATAACAACCGATGCGTCCGAATAAGTACGGAGAATAACAGAAAGGCTGCTGCTGCTGCTGCTGGCAGAAAGAACAAGCGGTACATGATCATGTACGTGCGTGCAATTATCGACAAGTGCGTGCGCGCGCGTGTGCCTATATATACTAGCGGTGACTTTTGCGGCCCAACTGTCGTATACCAAAGTGCACGCGCATAATATCGCTTACGTGCACTACTGGCCAGTTGCGGGTAGTAATCGATCGCGGCCCAGTAATAGGTATCGATATCTCTCGTCGCTCGCGTGGCTTATTATGTACCCAACAAAGCTCCCGAAAGCTCCGCGCGACACGTGCTGCGCGCGTTATTGCTCTTTCGTCTTTTCTCGACGGCAATATACCGCTCGATCATTTTTTTTTTTTTTCACTCGCGAAGAAAGCTCGCGAGCTCGAAAAAAGCCGTCCAATGGATTGATAAAGTCGACGCAGCGAGGATGGCTTTTAAAATAATTCGCGCGACATTCGGGAGCAAAGACAGATATGCTCGCGACGTCGAATGTTTTTCATTGTAAACCGCGCGCGTCGATCGGCAAACGAGTGATCGATGAGCTTTGTATGTACATATATACATGGGAAAGGCGCGTGGCCAGCCGATGCGTGACGCGTGCGAAAGTACACAGGCTGATAGCTGATTGCGCTCGTAGTTCTCTCTCTCTCTCTCTGGTCGGGCTGGTCGCGTGCCGAGTCATCGAAAAATCGGGGGTGGGCGTCTCGCAGAAGCTGCACTGCAGCTCTCACGCTCGCTCGGGGAGCTCGTTACGCCAACGCCAATTGTGTATATATATATAGTCTCGCGGAGACAAACAAGCTATAGCTGCGCAGCAAAGATCATCATCGGTTCGAGTCGGATGTATGTATGTGTGCGTGTGTGTGCACAGAGGTGGAATTAGCAAAGAGAAGAAACGGGCGATATTCGCGCGAGTTCATATGTATAGTTCCCACGGTGTGCTGCTGCTGTACACGGAGTCGGGGGGTGCTCTCGCGAGTTCGAGTCGGGGGGCTGTGTGGGGTGGGGGCTGCTGCTGGTATAGTCGATGATCCTGCACCCCCTTGGCTCGAAAGCTACGTGTAGCAAGCTCAGCAAGCACAGGAGAGTATCCGGGGTGGTGGAAGGGGCTCGCTCGCTCGCTCGCTGGCTCGTGTGTGCGCCGATCGCGCGACTCGAACGGCGGCCGAGCGCGTGCACACACGCCACACGTTGGCCGGCACGCGACCGGAGCGCACGTCGCGCTCAAAGCACACACACACACCACACGCGCGCGCACACGACCACCACGTTCTTCTTCTACGGAGCTTTAGGCTTTAGGTCGAGCTTTCGCCTCGCTCTCTCTTGTGTCACTGTGTCTCTCTGTGTGTTTATAACTGCGACACCAGTTAGTGCGCGATCGCGGTGCATCATCGCTGCTGACTGACCGATAACGTCGCGCGCCACACGTGCGCGCCTCCACGTGCCTGTGCGTTAATAAAGCTTACTCGAGCTCGCTCTCATGTGGCGAGTCGTCGTGGCTCGGCCCGAGGAGAGCAGCTCCGGGGCCACCCTACTCTCCTCCGAGTTTCCAGCCGGTAGTGCCTCTGTCGGCTCGGTGCATCATCCCGTCAACCAACAGCAGCAGCAACATCCGCACGCGCCATCCAACATCCAACCGCATCACCAGCAGCATCACCAGCAGCACCATTGGGCCGCGCATCATCATTACCCTCCACCCCCTCCGCCACCGCCACCACCGCCTCCTCCTCTTCCTCCGTCGAGCCTGGCCCATCTGCACCAGAGGAGCCCACCCACGAGCTATCCCGCGCACTTGGAGCCGTCGACGGCCGAGCAGCCGATCGTCGCTCAGACGGCGGGCTCCCACGAGGCCCGCCAGAGTCATCATCATCTCAAGCGAGCCCTGAGCGACTCGGACTGCGACGACGTCTTCTCCGAGGAGAGCGGCAAAGAACCGTAAGTGCGCTAATCGTTCATTATACCGAACAACAGCCTGTCGAGCTGGAAAAATTTCAATCTCTTTTCAACGCACGCAAAAAAAAAAGATGCAATTCACCGGGTGGCGACTCTTCGGGCTGTCATCACACGTCGCGGAAGCGGCGCAGGGGCATGATCGAGAAGAAGCGCCGTGACCGCATCAACGCGTCGCTGGGCGAGCTTCGCCGACTGGTGCCTGCGGCGGCGCGCGATCCCCACAGCGGAAAGCTCGAGAAGGCCGAGATTCTCCAGCTGACGGTCGAGCATCTGAGGACGCTTCGTAGCAAAGGTAGGCCAACAATAATAATGATTTGTCATTTTTTTTTTTTTTTATCATTTGGCATCCTCTCGAAGGGCACGTACCGATAATTACGTATACATAAACGATAGCTTCGATGCATTTTTTCTATGTATTGTGGGTTCGCGGTTACATATCACACAGAGAGGAGGCGCAGCTCGCGAAGCGCAGCGTTTACAAACAGCTCTGTTTACAAACACAACATGTGCGCGCGGATCGTGTGAAAGCGTGTATATAGAGGTATAGGTATAGGTAGTTGCGCGCATGACCGAAAGCTCGACTCGAAGCGCAGCAGGGAGGGAGCGATCAGGGAGGGAGCCAGCGTACTGCTTGCAGTATACCGTGCATGCGAGACACCTGTTGGTGGTCACGGCCTCTCTCTCTCTCTCTCTCTCTCTCTTTCTTGCTGCACACGCGTGAGACACGTCTCGATCGCGAGGGCTATAGATGCTCTTATCTATTATGTCGTATACATTAACGCGCCAGCTCGTGGCATTTGCCGAATTTGTCTCTTCCATTGATAAGATTAAAAATGGAGAGAGAGAAAGACAGAGAGAGAGAGAGAGAGAGAGAGAGAGAATCGGAGCAATCATCCCCCCGAGGGAGTCGAATTCAATTCTTATCGGCTTCTCGATCGGCATCTGGACCGATTGTAAAACGTCATGATCGAGCACCCGATGACAGATCGATTGTCATTGGCTCGAATCGATTCTGACACTTTTTCCATCTCTTACACTCGCACACACATACACACACAGATAGAAGCAAGACAAGACATCATCTATGGATGAAGGTGAAGCGATCGGTAAGCGAGCTGCCAAGAGAGCCAACGAGAAGAAGGGGGTAGTACTACGAGAGGTCGTGAGAGAGTCGAGCAGGTGCAAGCTGCTGGCCGCGTCGTTCATCGCCGATTATAATCCCCAACGGCGGCGGCGGCGGGCGGGCGGCTCCGGCTATATTATAAGCACGCAGGAAGTCAACGACGAGACTCACGAGTTCCGAGTTCGTTCCCACGATTTTTACGCGCAAAAGTAAAACTACTATAGCCACGTGATACTACTCGTAATATAATGTGTGTGTGTGTGTGCTGCCCCTACTCTACTCGCTACCGCGTAAAATCCGACTACGCACATGCGTGTATACTACCCCCTCCGCGTTCGATCGTTTTTGGCGCTTGGAGCTTCCTGCGAGAGCAGCTCGCTGCGGAGAGGGGAGAGAATATAGGGCCTGTATATAATACGGATTCAAGAGCAGCAGCAGCAGCAGCAGCAGCCTTAAAGGAGGAGAGGAGACGAGTGAAAGAGCTGCTATATATGTTATACACGCGAGCAAGGTGTCTCGACAGACAGATGTGCCACCACTGTGGGAACCCAGACTCGGCTTCGTCTCCCGCGATCTATCTCGACCGCTTTACCTACATATACATACACACACACACACACACACACAGACCCATACCAATATATATCGACGACGCGCAAATGTTACACATTTTCCAAAGTACCGATGTACTTATTGCGGACTGCGAACCTCCTCCTTCTCTCTTCCTCGTGCGCGCAAACCTCCACTTTTCGAAAACCGCACGTGTGTATCGTGCTGTAAACTCACTTTTGTACAAATATCCGTAGTAGCGGTTCGTTGTGTGTATACATATATCGACGCGCTCCGGCTTGGCTGCAGTTACATCATGCGTCTTATATACATCGCAAGGCCAAAGCCAGCTCTAATTGCTCTTCCCTTCCTTGCGATTGTCTTTCCTCGTGGTGTTAATATATGATTTTTGCACTCGATATAGCGCGAAAGATCACGCATATAACGATACACCGAGGGACCTGTCGCGCTATAAAAATGCCGCGGCTAATTATATTTCTTGAAGAGTTTCACCGCGTCATAGAAAAATTGTACGATCATCGTGATTGACGTCGCGATGTATGTCTTCGCGTTAATCCAACTCGATTTTTTTTCTCAAAATGTAAATATTTTGATGTGGGCTTTCAAATTTTTTTGAGGAGATTATAAATCCCAAAATATAAATCCTCTCGAGATTCAATGGCTTATTATATGTTTACTTGTGTCTATGATGCGGCGAGCCGCTATCTTCACTACTCGTGTTCATCGCGATAAGAATATTACGGTATTTTCTAAGCGAAATAATTTGAAAATGATGAGTCATCGGGTGCGAATTACGTTTAGCCACGGAATAAAATTCATTCGGTTCAGGTTTGCGATGCGAGACACGCATATATATAAAATAATAAAAGCTCGACCGGAAGAGTCCGGCTCTCTTATATATGCATATTCATTTAATTCGAATCGATCGAAGATGTGTCGCCGAAATCTCTCAATGACGCGTTTATTATGTGTACACACACAACACTTTTTTAATAAACATAGTCGAGTGTATAGCGGAGAGTATCGTATTATACGTGTAATAATCGAGGCAAGGGCTAAATCACTTTCCCACGGGCCGTTGCTGCTGCTGTTATTATATACACTATGCTGCGTGTGTGTATATGTGTATTACCTGTGAGCGCCGATCGACCATCTGCCGGCCTGAGAATTTCGGCTTCGCCGCGGCGCGAGAGATCGAGAGAGCGAAAAAAAACACCATCACTCCTCCTCCTCCTCCTTCTTCTTCTTCTTCTTTTTTACCTCGTGCATCGAAAATGTCAGAATGCCTCGTTAGTCTACCGCTTTTTCTTGTATTAAAAAATACGCGTTAATAATTGTAAAAATTATTATTTTTGCAGGCGGTGATGGTTACGACAGCACGAAACTCGCTATGGATTATCACGCGGTCGGCTGGGGGGAGTGCGTGGCCGAGGTCGGCCGCTACCTCGTCACCATGGAGGGCCTCGACGAGAGGGACCCACTGAGGCTGCGGCTTCTGTCGCATCTGCAGAGCTTCCATCGCGAGCAGCCCCAACCCAACGGTCAGACGACTCCGCATCAGCAGCAGCAGCAACAGCAGCAACAGCAGCAACAACAACAACAACAACAACAACAGCAACAACAACATCAGCAGCAGCAACAACAACAACAACAACATCAGTCGAGCTACGAGCAACAGCATCATCAGCATCCGAGCGCGGCGACGACGGCGTCGAGCTTGCAGCTTCAAGCCGCGGCCGTCTGGCCACCTCCGCTCGCGGCCCAGTATTCCGGCCCGGTGGGCCAGTACCAGTCCTCGGCGGCGGCGGCCGCAGCCGCAGCAGCAGCAGCCGCGGCGGCCGCGAGTCAGTACAGTCAGCAGCAGCACGGCAAGCCCTATCGGCCCTGGGGTGCCGAGCTCGCTTACTGAGCTCCCTTTGCTGCTCTAGTAGCTTCTCCCTCGCCACGATATCACGAATAAGTTAAACAAACTCTATACCAAATGGCCCAGTCCAACCGAACCAAATTGCCGAAGAGCAACACACGATTAACGAGATTTTAACGCAAAGTCTGCGCGCGCAAGTAGTTTAGAGAACGAAACAATTTTCAACGAGCATGATCGAGGGTCGCGCGAATCCGTCTATATGTATGGCTCGACCAGATTAGATCAGCTTTGCCTGATATTACCGATTATTGTTAAAATTAATCTTCATTATGTAAGTGAAAAAAAGTCGAGCGAACGAAAGTAAAGAGAAACGTTGGATTGTGAACGCTCGACGCACAATCGATAGTCATTAACTTGTGTACCTTGTACTTTTTTCAGAGTGTGATATTATTATCTACCGTAATTTTTAAAACTGTAAACTAGTGCGGCATATATTTATATTTTTACCTTAGTGCTTTAATCTGTATAGTGTAAATAATACTTTTTGTTTTTTCGGGGTGCAAATGAAAAAAAAAGAAAAGAAAAGAAAAAGAAATGAACGCATCGATCGAGATGTGCTTGACAAAAAATTAACGACAGCACTCGACGACGATCTTTGTACATATTTTACGTATATTTTTTGTAAGTTATATTACAAGGGAATCTCGAACGAGACTGAGAAGCCGTTTAGACCCACAACTCAAAGACATATTTTTGTACAAAACGGGGACAATTTTGAAGGATTCGTCTGTAGTCAAGATTATGCTAATGACCACAGGCGCGAATGACCAATGATAATTTACCAATTTTTTTGCGCTTTTATCGATGAAAGATTGTATTAGAAGCCGACGCTTGACTGATGCAAAGATGTATGCCAAAACACGTAGTAGTCGTATATTATTAATTAAAATGCATCTATACACAAGGAGCATCAACACGATTGATTACGAGATTCTTTCGAGTATTTTTGATAAAACGTGAGTTTTCGAGAATTAATAAAAAAACCACTTCAAAAAAGTACGAAAATTCTTTTCCCCCCCTTTTCCCCCTTCCAAATATATATAATCTCATCTTTTCTTACAATGATTTTTTCCTTTTTTTCCTAACGCGCGTGGATTCTACAAAACCAAACAAAACGAGAGACACAAGAATGAAGAGGGATTACGCGTTTCGATAAACCAAGTATTTGCTACTTCATTGTTTTACCGCACCCCCCGTCCAGTGACGATCCTCTCTCGAAGCTTTTGGTCAGTATCTGCGAAAAAAAAAGATGAAAAAGAAAGAAAAAAAAACAATAGGCGAAAGACAAAGGGCCTTGGGTGGCGCGCACGCGTCTCTCTTTCACCACGGACATCGAGTGCTTTGACACCGCAATTGTTGAAAAATAAATGTAAAAGCTATAGGCCGTCTCGTTGTCGCGCGCACGTGTGCCTCATTAAGTACTCTGCCATAATGTTCATCTTTGCTCGCTTCGTTTCTTTTCCCTCGCGTAAATATACACATAAGCGATTCTACGGTCTTTTGTTCTATGCATATTATCGAACGATAATTCATTTTTTACCTAATTATCGAGTGCCATTAAAAAAAAAAATAAAATCGGACAAGAACCGGTACATTTGCAAAATATTGTTTCTTTTTATAATCCAAACAGACGCGACAGTTTGTGCCATTAATAGCAATGATGTCTTTGTAACGCTCAAAGCAACTCCCCTTTACTGTACTTTTACGCGTGCATTATACATTTCTTTCATACGCGTGCTGCATTTTTTGTTATGTATTCATGTTTTATTTTTTCACAAAGAACGGGTATAGGTGGTCATGATTAAGTAGACAGTGAGTAAGTTTGATTATTAGATCGTTTTTTATTCTTATTCATGATAATATCACAGATATTTTTTTTCTCAATTTCGTTTATACGAAATACACTCGGCTCTCAAAGCGATAGTTTGCACATTAGCTTGGTAAGTAATGTCTCTCTCGCTATAGAGGCATTCGAAACTGTTACATCGATATAATATGTACAACATTCGTTCGTGCACGCACAGGTGCTTAAAGCTAAACATCGAAGTTTGAAATCACATGGCTTGGTTTATACATAGTCGGTGGCACACGAAAAAAATAAATTTTTTCTCGAATACTTTTATAAAAAAAAAAAAAACATTGGAAAACTTAAGAGTAATCAAACTAAAATTAATGGAAGACAATAATCGACGCGAGGTCAAATCATATATCGATATAATCACTACGACGTAACATCATGTAGGGTAGTAGTGGTATTTCGCCGGGTGGCTCGTGCAAAAACGAGACACACTCGGCTAGTCTACACACAACCGTAGTTATAGTTTGGCGGTGGTGGCTTGTTGTAGTCGACGCGCGCAATGTTACGTATCTACTATCACAGAGACGAGATTATAATTATCGTAGTAGTCGGTCGCTCGACGTTTTTTCTCCTTTTTTGCTTTTCACACCGACCCTCCTGGTGGACGTTGGTGGTCGATGTCGTTGAGCCGCTCCTCGGGGCCCAAATATCCGAAAATAGTCGTCGTCGAGACTCGAGATCAATCGGAACTTGTATAGTGCTGCTGCTGCTTCGTGTATATAGCTGCGGGACGGACACAATGACACACATACTGTGCACGATAAATCACTGGGCCTGCCACTCGGTTGCAGTCATCATCACTGGGCACGAAAATCAAAGGGCCGACGATCAATCGGCTGGATTCGCAAATGCTGCACTCTCAGCGCATCATCTCGTTCTCCAAATTCTCATTTAGCTGATTCTCGTCGCGCTCGTCGCAGCAGTAGCAGCAGCAGCAGCTCGAGTACTCGGCCTCGGCCTGCACGTAAGTCACGTAGGTGTCGACGCTCTTCGCCTCGTCCTCGAACTGGAACGATCGCGTGTCGTAGTCGAACTCGTAAAGCATCGTCTGCAGGCTCAGATTGGCCTGCTGTTGTTGTGGCTGGGCTTTTTGCTGCTCTTGCGCCGCTGCCGCCAACTTTTTGTCCAAGCGAGCTCTCGACATCTTCCTCAAAGCCTGCAATTAGAAATGATAACCGTTCGTTAGATCAATCGTTACTTTTCTATTTATCTTTGCATTCATCGTGCCTCCATGTGTGCGATATAAAATTTAATCGAGTGTCAAAACGATGCCTACCTTGAGGATGCTCTTTCCGGATTTAGCCAAGATTTTCTTAATGGTAACCATTGTCGATGATTGATTTGTTGTTTGGTAGTTGTTTTTGGAACGAAACTCGCACAAACACACTTGAATATATATTCACAGATAACAACAATTTGTGAACACAACACACTGCACGATTTTTACTGAACGTAGTGTATGGACACAAAGCACACGAAAAGTGTATGGATGCTTGGTGTAGGGCGTTTGGTAGCGCAATGATTCTCCACTCGGTGTCTACTCCGCTTTTATAATCGAAGCGAGAAGCGGCGGCGGCGGTGGCGGACCCATTGAATCACCCCCGCCACCGTCGCTCCTGTATATTAAATACGCTATACACAGCAGCAGCAGAGACTGTATACGAGGCATCCGTCTGCGCGCCTGACTGCGTATAGCGCGTATAGTAGTTCCCCCTTCTCCCAAAGGGGCTCTCTACTACTACTCTCGCTGCACGCAACAACTACCTGCCGCTTTCTTTCTCCCACGGTCGCAAGTGAGCAGCTGCAGCTGCTTCTCTCTCTCTCTCTCTCTCTCTCTCTTTGCTCTCTGCTTCTTCTTCTTCTTCTTCTTCTTGAAGACGCGAGGACGAGCCACCCCCATTTTTCTTGGCTTTGGCCGAGAGTGTGTATAATATAATACGTGCGTGCAAGATGCCCGCAGATGCCGCGATGCCATGGGAACTTTTTCTCGAGCGCAGCTTGGGGTTGGCGTGTCTCGTGTATACATAATGCGCGTCTTGGTCCTCCTCTCCTTTTCTTGCACATATTCTTCTTCTTCTTCTTCTGCTTCTTCGTCGCGTCTTGGCCAATATATATATGCTATGGTATGCGTATATAGGTACATACGAGGGGCTTCTCTTATTCACACATAATAATCGCATATATATACCGCGTGGAGCTGAGGGTATTATGTACGGGCCCCGCCGCGATCGCCCGAAGACCAGCACATATAAGAGAGGGTGTCTTCGCGATTCCTTTGTATACGCGAGAGCTTTTGCCTAGGAACCTCGACACGCCATCGATAGAATATATGCCAATAAGAGCATGCTTCCTTCGCAATACCTTTCCTATATGCTCCTTCCAAAGGCTGCCTTTATTATTCGCTGTTATTATAACGACAGCGAGCGGCCCAACGTTTATTTTTTTTTTCTTTTCTCGACGTACTATACTTTTATTTTACTTTTCGGCGCAGACAGGCTCGGACCTGCACAGATATTCCTCTCTCGCCTCTCGAATCTCGAGCTCGCTCTTGCTCCTTTACCACATCGGTACCTATATATCTATATACTTTCTTCGAGTATTCTTCGAGCTCGCCGGACTCGTTCGATCCTGTTACGACTCCCGGCCGGCTCGAGACCTTTTTTTTCTTCTTCTCTCATTATCTTTTGCTCCTTTAATCTCTTTCTCTCCGAGAGTTATATTATATAGCTGCGAGCTCCGCACACGTGTGCGCGATTACGTGACTCATGCTGCCTCGCTCAGCAGCGGCACTGGCCACTATACTCCGACTACCTATATAATACATGTAATATAAGGCCAATTTATATTCGGCGCGTCGTCGCTGCCGCTGGCTTTTTTTTCTCTCTTTTGTCTTAAAAATGAGCGAAGCCAAATTCCTCGGCTCGGACACGCTCGGATGAATTCTCGATCGAATTAGATCTCTGCGTGCGTTTGGTATATACATTATTAAGGAAAAGCCGCATTCCATTGTGCTTTGGGACGTGATCGCGCACAAACCGCAGGCAGCTCACCAATGTCGTGGCCGGAATGCAAGACGCTGATAACCACGCGCTCATCACAATTTGTGGCCGCTTCCATGAAAAACGGAAGGAAAAGAAGTCAACCCCTTTTCATGTCATCACGTTCTGCCTGTCAAAACAACGTATACGAAAGCCAATGTATATACGAGTAAAACAGGCCCGCCAAGGCATTACAGATGATTTGCATTGTTTCGCGCACGCTCCGCTTTTTTCCTTCTGTTGTTATTATTATTGTATGCCTATATATAGCTGGTAAGTTTGGATTTATAGTATGGAAAGCCGTCCTTAAGTGACGCGCACGTGTGCACCTTAAAACCGTCTCTTGTCGAGGCAGGTATGAACCGGCAAGTGTACACAATATATATCGCCGGGTCTATTTTACGCCGCTCCTATATATACCTATACATAATGGCCCATTCGTCTGTGTGTACTAGTTGAATTTCACTCTTGCGACTTGCTATTGATTGATTTTCAAATGAAATCCCATAGTCGTTTTCCGGTCTTAAGTATATATACCTTTATATACATGTGGGCATTTATACCTGTGCACGTTACAAAAATTATATTACCCATTGATTTATTCATCTTTCACGCGGTCTAATTATCAATTTCTATTCACGTCGACATTGTGAAAAAAAACGATTATTTGCATAATTCTGCAAGACGCGCGGCGCGCACCAGCGTCGACGATTTTACACTTGGCTTTTTTTTCCTTTTATCGAGTCCAGAAGGATCAAAGAGCTTATTTTATTGCGCAGGCATAAATTTTAACAGCCGATATTGCGCGATCATATTTTTCCGTAAATTTGAATAAGAAAGAAACGAGCGTTCGAGTCAAGACGCCAAGACACCGCGCAATAATTGACTTTTGAACGATCGAAGTTAAGATTTGTTGACGCAGACAGACTACCTGGCGCCAATCGAATTCTTTGCAGGCAGATGCTAACCTGGATTTATTCGTCTCAAATTGGTCAACTAATAAATACCGATATTAATACCTGTTCGCTTGGCGCGACACCGATTCCTTTTGATTTTTCCTATATGCTTTATCGATGCGTAAGAATCCAAATGTTGAGACGAAAAACACACAAAAAGAAGTAATAAAATTTAAATAACTTGAAAATGTGTAGTGCTAGAAAATTTATCATAGGCTAAACAACAGGTTGGATGTTGCACTAATGATTGCTACAAGTACACATACCTCACGAACACGCCTTTGTTATAAATTTACCTCGAGACAATATTAGCCGCGCGTTCAAACATTCAAATATACTTTTCTCGTTTCTTTAGCTCTTTACCTCGAAATGGACCATAGTATACTTACTTTTCAAGTCTGTTTGATCTGCTCGTTAGCATTTATAATATTGCGGCCTAAGCTTTGAGTACGATCGACACAGAGATAATAAACGTTTTTTTTTCTTCAATATTTTGGAAATTAATATTTCGTAAAGAAAATAGAGCAAAGTAACTCTTATCACCGGCTTATATAGTGTTATACACGTGTTTATTCAAGAGAGATTACAAGTGAAGCACGTTTGAATACTCATCGCCTCGTTCAAGAACGCCTCGGAGCATCTATTTCTTTTAAAGAAAAACAAAGTATCGGATGTATACACTTGTAAAGAAAACTTTAGCGATCTCTTGGATGCTTTCTTGTTACGTTTTAATAAGGAGCTTTTGAGAAAGTGCTAAAAAGCAAGGAGAGAAAAAAAAATCCTGGAAACGAAATTTCGTCATTGAGTGATCGCCTCGAGATGCAGTTACGCGTAAGCAAAGGTTTCCCTTGTAGCCTCTGTTGTAATAGTAATGTATCAAAGCAAGGTAGGCGATACATAATCGACGCGCAGAGAGAGAAAGAGATTTGGTCGAATCCGTGTAAAGAAGCAACAACAATAGGGTGGGCCGCTACTTAGAGAAATTCGAGCGCGTTTTAACAGGTATATGCCGTATAACCGTGGCCCATTCAATATTTCGCCGAAGTTGTGTGCCGTGCTGTACCGGAAAAAGCGTAAACGCGACTAAATAGGCAAGTATATAGCAATACATATAGCACCCGTGATATATACGTAATGCGAAGATGAAGAAGAAGAAGAAAAGGGGAAACACAGTGGAGGCTTAGCGTGAAAAACGGCGGCTCAACCAAAGCTCATCTTTTCATTTTTTTTCGTCGTTGTATAATAGAAAAGAAAAGAAAAAAAAATTACTGACGGATTGATGCAATTGAATTGGCTTTCGAGTTTTGGTCGGTTGTTATTGTTGTGGCACAAATAGACTGCTTATAAAATAGACGCTGCCTATGTGTACGTGGACAAGCTCGAACAGGACAGGTAAGAATCGCTTTGCGTAGGAGTATAGAGAGTTTACGAGAGTACATACATCTTGACCCAGTGGTCACAGTTTTGGTTTGTCCGATTCTCTGGAAAAAAGTCGCGAGTGTCAAGTAGAGAATTACGCGCCGATGAATGAATCTCATAAGATAGTGAACGAAGATAGCATTGATTGATCACGTTCAAAGCTGCTTTACGATAAGCGCAAGAAGCAAAATATGCAATAAACCTTTCAATCGTTATGTGGAATATTATGGAGTAAGTTGAAGTGCATCGAGTTAAAGCGCGCATGTGAATTTTGCAACGCGCGAAGCATGAATGGTGCGCGAGGTTCGTTCGATACATATATAAGTACGATATGGAGAAGGAAGCGGGGGGCAACGATGCAAACTCGAGCACGTGTTTACTACTATATACGCTGCAGTTGCACGCGGGGCTCGCACAACTCGTTCTCACGCGTGTGCCGCGCGTACTTTGGCTACATATATAGTAGTAAGTTTAGCACGCGCCCATAATAATGCTGCCGCCTGCACGCGTGCACGTATGAATTTTCGGTCGCGTCCAATGCGCCCCACGAGCCTCGTGTAGGTATATATATATATATATGTGGCGCTTTAATCCAAGCACACGATATATACCCTGTCTGTTTTTTTTGTTGTCTTTTTTCGCACGCGTTTGATACATCTCGCGCGGTTTGTATATAACAAAGTTGACGACGAGTCGAGAGGCTATCATCCTATATTAAAGGTACTTTGGTCCGCAAGACGAAAATTGTAAGAAACGCGCAATTTGTTTCGCGCAGCGCCAAAAGCTTTGCGATGTAAACAGGCGCGGGTGCTCGAGTACAAGTATACTTACGCGCATCATCGAATCTTTATCGATTCTCTCCTATCGACCTCTTCTTCTTCTTTTATTTTCCCAAGAAAAGGATACTCGACACCGCAGCTCGACGACACTCGTTTAATGAAAACGTCATGTTGTATAAACGATCGAGCGCGTGTTAAATGTCGATGCGAGCGCATCATATACATATATGTCCCCCGCTACGCCACTTGTAATACACACACACACACACACTCCGCGCAGTCCTAAAAAACACGATAATTTTCTCATGAGGTTCGATCGAGGCTGCAGCAGCTAAAGATAGTCGTCGATATTCGAGCTGTGTACGTGCTGCATTACATATGTACATTTATACTCGCGCTATTTTTCGTTCGATTTGACGTTTATTATGTATACCTCGTTTTACAAAAGTCGCGCGCGTCCCGCGGATCGTCTTTCACTCGTGCGTATTATATATATCGAATGGCCGATGATCGCGCGTGCGAGCGCCGCTTTATTTACGTTTATGATCATTTAAACCAGGGCCCCCGTAACGAAAGCCATTAGCGCGATTAATATCACGCATCGCTCCGTGTAATGGGCGTAAGTATAGTAAGTGTACAGCGAGGCCCAATTATCAATTACGCGAGCCAGGATCATCGTCGTTTTTGGAGTCGTCGTCTCGAACTCGTAATTTTCTCCATTTTTCCTCTCGACGAATGACCGCAGTATAACGATGATTCGCTCGCCGACGAGCCAATGCAATTATCTCGAGTCCTCGCAGCAGCTGCGCGACTTTATTACTCGTGCACATTGGACGCAGCTTTTTTTTTAAATGACCCAGAATGATCGTGCGACTTTGAGCCGAATTAACGAACGCGTGTATATTCGCTTTAAAAGGTCGCGAGCTGTGGTCTTTCTGCGCGATATGTGCGAATTATAGTTATAGGCGAGCCCCCTCGAATGAGGCCTCGCGCGCCGAGATGTTTAGTTCAATATGGGACTAATCCCCGTGTTTTTGCTGCCGATCAATTGTCATGCAGCTCTTGGCTCTTGCTCGAGTCTCGCTTATACTTATAGGGCTCGTGTAGAAGAGGTCTCCTTAGAATTTCGTGCACACTTTTACGCGCATTTGCCTGTATATACGGTAACTGTATCTCTGTATGGTCTGCGGAGTTTGTATACGCATGTGTATACGCGACACCAACACCAAAACGAGTCGTGTGCATATGTATATATGTGCTCGGCAAGAAAGGAGCAGTGGTAGAAATCGAGAGAATACGAGCCTCATGTGTTTGTGTGTGTACGTGTGCGTGTGTACGCCACGACTCGTATATAAAGAGTGCGTCAGTACACAAATACTACTACAGTGCTGTATATATACGAGAGGTGGGGGACAGCTGGGGCCACCGGCTGCCGGCTGTGCCGGGGCTCCCTTGCGTGGGAATCGCCGAAACTTGCGCCTCTCACACGCGACCAACACGCACTGCGTATATATACGCTATATGGTCGAGGCCTGCCACCTTGCGAGCCAGCTCGAGCGCTGCGATGCACGCACACAACACACGACACGGCTTGCGCTCGATATAGCTATATAACACACAATGCCCATATAGCTTATCTTTTGCTGCTTCGAGATATTATGAATGTGTGTGCTACCTGGGCTTACCTTGGCGCAGCTCCTTCGTATTACTACTACTACTCGCGATTCTTCCGCTTTCGGCTATACCTATATTTATATATATATGCTATTTTAGCAGCCTTTGTTGTGATACATGTAGTATACTTTTTGCGCGCGCCAAAACTCCGCGCCGGCATGCGTCGCTCAACACGTGGCCGCGCGTCACGCGTGTCGCTCCGCTTCTTCTTCTTCTTGTTCTTCTTATACCTTACTTACATCTTGTACTCGTGTTATTTACATTCACGACTTGACCCCTTGCATCTTATAAACTGCACTATCATAAACTCGATTGATAAAAATTGATCTAGTTTTATCAACCTGCAATTTCGTTCGCATTTTCATTACTGATCATCGCCCGCCGTGCAATGTCTATTCCGCAATCGTAACCATTTCAACGGCGCAAGCAAAGTTGCTATTTTTTATTCGTCTAGTCGCTTTTCGATTCGGCGTAATTTTATAATTTTTCCAATGTTCCTCGTTAACGAGAATCACACCCTCGATCTCCTGCTGATATCTCTTCGTTTACAAAAAAAGAAGACATCTGTCGCGACTCCTTTTTTTTTTTAATTATTATTACTCATAATCGCATGAATTAAATGGTGGGTGGTATTTTTAGATATGTCACCGATAGACAAGAGCTTTGAGCAAGGGTAGGCGTCGAAAACCGAGAAATGGCACGCGCTCGACGTCGCGCTAACGTGTTATATTTATAGCTAGAACACACATAATCCGTATCCATGGGGTATAGTTATTATTCGATAAGTGCACGCAAGTTTTCTCGCTAAGCGCCTTCTTCTCCGAAAGCTTCGAGTGTGCCGCAAGTGAATTATCCACGAAATCAATACGTACTTATCGTTTCCATTTATCGTTTCTATTTTCGCGCTTAATCGTAAAAATAAGCGCGCATTATGTTCGATTATTAGTAAACAAGCCGAGTATATGCATCGATCAGTGTGTATCAATCGTGTAAACGAATTATTAATTAGAATTCGGATCTCGCGGGCTATTGCCATGGAAAATTTCGACATTACGCAGCTAGATCTAAATTAATCTCGATTAATTAGCAATCGCGTTGCGAAGAGCACCCGATTTGAATATATTTACATGAAAAGTAACTGCTAAAGCTAAGACTTTTAATTCGATCGTGTACGCGCGGATATCGTTGATTTTTCAACTTGATTACGCGAGATCCGATCGTCACGAATGGGCTACTCGTTGTGAATAATCAAAAAAACGTACGAAAATTACGCACTACGCGCTCGTGCGTGGGAAATTGAAGCGAAACACGTTCGAACAAAAATCATCACGTATAAAAAGTTTGTTTGTATTTGCTATACATAATATAATGCGTAGACGAGGTAAGTAATATAGAAAGAAAAAGAGACTCTTCGTATGTGTGCCGCGTCGACTCAATGATATTTTTCAAGTGTTACAGTGTGCATTCGAATGTTTGCCGTGTAAATAAAACAACAAAAAGAAAACGCTCGGTCGACGTATAGCGAGAAAACTTCGGAGATTTTCTTGGGATTTAAAACTCTTTGAATGCTTGAGACAATGAGCGAACAAGCTTATTTAGAAAGACAAACACAAAACATCTCGAACCCAATGACTGTCCATATTCGGAATCTCTCACGATTTTGTTTCTTCCAATGAGTCTAATGTATATAACGATGATTAGTCATTAGGTGGAATTTGTGGATCAAAGACGAAGCGCGATCTTGATGCCGCGTAGCGAATCCGCGCATGAGCTGGCTCAATTTAATATAGGATTAATTTCTTTGCGATGCGTGTCGAGCAAAGGGCACATAGCTACCTCCTTGTACCGTTACAATCGAGCTTTTTTCAAGTGTCTAAAATGACATATAATACGACACGCGCGTGATATATGTAAATTTCAATGTAGCACAGGTCGCACGGATTTTGGCTCTTTTATTATTTTTACATTGGGGATAGGTGTCACGCTTATCGGCGCGCACCTGATGCCGCTCGACAACAATGAAAAAATTGTCTTCTCCTTATGAACCCGATCATATATATATTTATACCTACTCGTTAGAGAATAGAAAAAAACATTATTTTTCAATTCATTCAATCTTCGTTTTCCTCTATTTGCGTTACTTAAACAACTTACAACCAACAGTTGTATTATTCGTAGTAATGTAACTACACAATTATTTTATTTTCAACCGGAAAAATCAAAGTTCTCATTTCAATGCTATAGATAACGTTAAAACATTGATTTATTCTCTATAATTATTGATCAAGATGGTTTCTGACCTATTGGCCACCTATTGATTATTTTACGAATGCACAACGAAACATTTTTTTACAAAAGTAACCGTATCTCTTTTCTAACAAATCTTCCAAGTGAAAAAATACAATAAACCCATTATAACATTTGAGTGCATCGTTCCCTTTTTTTCACTAACTGATATGAAATTCAATGTTAGTCATCAAGAGCGCATATTGTAAACATCATGTTGAAAAAAAAAAGATTTTCTTACCGATACTATATGTATCTCTCTATGAAACTTAGGACGATGACAGAAGTCTCGACTCGAGTTGTGACAGCTGCCAGTTCGAAGCACATGGGTAGTTTCACGATCGCAACGAAAACATAGGTCGCTAACATGCTTCAACTTGTTAACAGTACCGGCAAAAAGCCGGTAGTGTTATGACTTGCAGCGCCACCGACGACCGACGACTCCTTTACGAGTCATTCTTCGCTCTGTCGCAAATTTTATATTGGGCGTCGAATTTTATGTATATAGATATAGTAATAGCGTACGAAAATGGCTTACCCCTGGGGATAAGCATGGGCTAATATGGAGTCGTAATGTTAATCCACGGGGGTACGCCGCCATGACTTCGACGCCCAGTATAACATGTTTATTGGTACCACCGTCGGCTATTTTGCATGCTGCTAGCATTTCTTATCCAGCGCAGATAACAAACAAATATTTATAGTCCGTTATGATGTTTGTATACAGTGGCACAATCGATTACACTCAAGACGCCGCTAGTTCAACGGCTATCTTTCACTTAGTTTCTGTGATAATTGTGAAATTCAAAAGCTTACTCTTGTTTTGATAATTAAAATTTTAGTCATGACTGACTCCAACTCAGATAGGACCGACGTTCACTTCCCGAAAATATTTAAAGCTTACGAATTTCAATTTCTCGGATTGTCGCCAGAAATTGAAAAAAAGTACTGTAAGATAGTTACGGTAATAAATTTAAAACTTTATACAACAATTATACAACAATTTGCTTCTCACATTAAATTATTGGAGTTTAATTTTTGTAAACAATTATTTCAAGGATCTTGGAGGAAAAGTTTCCAATCAAAGTGGTTATGCACTTACTACCAGAGATCACGTTTTAAAACTTATCAAATCTACAAAAAATAATAACAATTTACTCAATGTTACACGAATGTATAAAATCTTATATCTTCTTCATTCGATAGAAGCTAGAAGGCCTTTACCAATAGACTTATACAGGTATTTAACTTTTTCTTGAATTTTACTCATAATCTTTTCTCAGTTAGTTATCATTAATTTATTCCCACAGATTTGAAAGTGTAAAAAAACAAGCTGAAGAAAAAACAAATAGACAAAGTTTTCAACAACTCCTGCAGGAAGAACAGCAAGAAAAATTTACTCAAAAACCACACAAGAGATTGAAAATTGATAGTAGTAGTTCTAGTGAAGAAGAAGAACTCCTTCAGGAAGAACAGCAAGAAAAATTTACTAAAAAATCACACAAGAGATTAAGAATTGAAAGTAGTAGTTCCAGTGAAGAAGATATCATACCTTCTTTAAATAATTCACCTATTGAATCTAAAATAGAACTTACTTGCAATGGAACCGCAAATGATCATAGCATAAATGTTGAGAGCATAAGCGAGAGTTTGGAATCAGAGGCAAGACTTAGGCACAATACTATCGCAAAAACAATAAGCGAGAGTAGTGATGATTGCATTGAAAATAATAGTAGTGATGATGATGACAGTTTAATTGAGAATAGGTATTGACTTTTTTTTTAAAGAAATATTATGAACATTGAATGAACATATTATAATTTACAGATCCAAATGGTGGATTAGTCAAGATATCCCAGAAAAAGCTAGATGTAAACAAGTTCTATGTACTTTTTCACCAGAAATACATAGATCACATGGGCGACCACAGTAAAACAACTTAATTAAATTCAAATAATATTATATTTAGAGTAATTATGTAATCAATTTTTTACCTTTACAGGTACACAATGACCATGTTCGAGCAAAGAATTATGATTGCATTTATAATTAAATTCAATGTAATAGATAAAATCAAAGGAGCAAAAATTTATAAAGATATGGGAAAATTTGGGGTATGTATTATTATCTTATTACAAAATTGGATGAATACATGACATTTTCTTTACAGTATTTAACCCATCGTACATATGAGACTTTGAGGAATAATATGAGGAGATCAATAATGCCTAAAATTAATACATTTGGGTTACCAGAAAATATTTTGAAGCAATTCGAAGATTTCAGATAATTAATGGTGCATAAAAAATACTAAATGAACTTTTTTCAGTATTTGGTGGATCTATTTTTTTTTACTTTTAATATTTTAACTGGCTTGAAAATCTAACGCGTTTAAATCTTTAAGGATTCAAACTATCATTTTGAATTAAATAGCGATAAAAAAAAATTGTCTTCTTGTAATTTCTAAACCATCAGATTTACAAAAAAAAAATAAGAGAATATAAATCATTGTAGTGGATTATGGTACTTGTGATAGTGGATTTTTTGGCTATTGGCAATGGAGAAACTAAATCTTTTAAAATATTAACATGTAAAGCTTTAAATTTGTAATAATTATTGTTTATCCTATATACATTTAATCATTTTTACAAACTTTATTAACATGTAAAGCTTTAAATTTGTAAGAATTATTGTTTATCCTATATACATTTAATCAAAGTTTGTTATGCATTAAAGAACGTAAAGTGATTCATTTTCGTAAATAACTTGAGCTTACAACTTCATTCAAAAATCAAAAATACAAGACTTGAAAAAACAAATCATCGGACAGTGTGTACTATTAGAGCCGTCATTGGGGGCGCGCACTACCTTGAGTATCGTGACAGCAGGTTGTGTGTATGATAATAATACCGTCTGCTATTAAGTGCGATTGTTGTAGATTGATAAACACAATATCACGTCGAGTTTTTTCCGATGTGGCCATCGTGTGCAGGTAAACTGGCACGATTTTTTGCATCATTACAGCCGCTGCCGTTTGTTCGAATTGTCTCTGTTCGTTGAATAATTGAAAAAGTTTCGCCGGCTGCTCGTTTGACGGTAAGAGTGCCGAGTTTTCATAAATGAGTGCCAATGCAGATGAGAAATTTTTCGCTTAACAGAACGAATTTTGTAGGTGTACAGAATTTAATAAATTCTTATTTATACTAATGATAGTTTTTATTGAAATATAGCAATGTAACCAAACAAATTAATTACTGTCAACGAATCTTTGATTTTGAACATATGTCATAAAAATTAATATTGATACTGTTGATATTCAGGTGCCCCAATAAAAAGGATTTAAAAAGAAAGAATGAAATTTAATTCAACTTTTCAATGAAATGTTTAAATTGGAATCATATATTACTCCTGTTATACTCAGCTATGTTGAAAAATATGTCAAAAACTTTAAACCAGAGCAGTCTCAGGTACTTGTTTATTTTGAATTTATTTATTTTACGATGATAAGTTTACTAATAAAAATATTTGATGAAGGTTTCCTTGTGGGGTGGAGATGCATCCTTTCAAAATCTTGATTTACGATTGGAAGTGTTGGAAGAGCAACTTAATCTTCCATTCACGTTCGTCAGTGGACATATTCATGAACTACTTATTCATGTCCCCTGGGTAAAAATTACATCAGAGCCAATTGTAGTGACCATTAACACCATTGGTAAAATAATGTTGTTTTAATGTCATTTATTTTTAAATCATGTAATGATAAATTTGAATTATTTTAGAATGTATTTTAAAACTTAAAGAAGAAAATCAATGCGACAATGTTAATAAATCATCTCCTCAGAAAGAAATTGCTGTTTCAGAGTAAGGTTTAGTTTATGTTTATTAAAGGCATTCAATACTTAGTAGTAATTTTTTATTATTTTAAACATAGAGAAGAAGCCCCACCTGGATATATAAGCAGTATAGTGAATAAAGTCATTAACAATATAACAATAAATTGTAATAATTTAATTTTAAAATATGTAGAAGAAGATATTGTTCTTAGTATGAATGTTAGATTTTTATCCATGCAAAGTGTTAACAAAAAATGGGAGCCAGCTTTCACAGGTATGACATGAATGATATAAGGTAATTAAAAAAATCTGAAATTATACCTGTCTCATTTGTTACAGATATGAGCAGCTATGAAGTTAGACTACAAAAAATTATCACTATTCAGGATTTAACTCTGTGTTTAGACAAAATGGATACATCAGGGAAAATTGAAATATATCAGGTAAACATCACTAGATGCCTATATGCCACATTCTTTATAATAAATAATGTAACAAATGTAACTTCATGCAGGATCCAGTATTATATCGCTGTTCGTTAACTATAAGACTGATTATGAGTTATCATAGTCAAATGGCTAAAAGAGCATCGATAACTAGGTTTGATGTACATTGTCAAAAAATGGAGTTCAGTATAACCGAGCAACAAATTCCCATGATCTTAAGGCTGCTTGCATTGGTCACCACTTTGCAATCGCGTCAGTTTCCTGTAGCTAAAGAAAAGTCAAGCATGCCAGAAGAAGAGAATGACAATATTGCTAGTAAATCTACAGAATTCTGTAAAAATATTAAAATTGATACTTAATTTGTAATTAATTCATGTCACGCTCTTTGTAGATGATTTAGCACAAGTGACCAAAGCAGCCGGAGAAGCGGGTTGGGGTATGTGGGCTTGGAACACCGTCTCATCGATCATTCCAATGGATTGGGAAAACAATTGGTCGGACGAGCTGTTGGACTACTCTGGACACATTGTGCATTTTGGATTCTTTATCGACGATGCCACTATAACATTCAAAGTATAGAAAGCTGTTTTTAATTTAAATTACATTCGCACACCCGTGCTTATAACTTTGGTCAAATTTGGCAGGCCGTCGAGAGCGTCAAGGAGCAGTTGTTTTACAAGTCTCGTAAAATCAAGTACAAACCGTTTCTTTCGATTCACTTTTCCGAGGCAGTGATGGACGGGGTCTTGCAAGGAATCTCAATGACCAACGTTTACATGGGCGTCGGTACCATTCAATTGTATCCGCGAGAAGCTTGCAGCTGTGAATTTCCCGAGGTCTCGGATGGAGTACAGGTACATTTGTCCGATCATATTGTCCCTAGAATCGTTAATCATTGAAGTTATCGGTATTTCAGCCTCCTCTTTATCTGACCGCCGGGCTGAAAAAGGACGAATACCTCAAAAACACGCTGTTTGACGATGAAGCCGTGGAAAATCAAGGGAAAAAGAGAGAATACAAAAAGGACGTTTCTCATTACCTCAGCAAAAATTCCGGTACAATTTTGAATTACGTACAGCGCGAATAATTTATTTTGGCAAGATCACAAAGCTCACGCTGTCAACCATCAGTTTCAGAATTATTAGAAAGATGTCCAGCCGTCTCGCTGGATTACGTACATTACGCCGAAATCCCGGAGGACGTGACGCCTCAGCAATTGGCAGAGCTGAGCTCGGGTTTCGAGTACAGCAATTTTCGCGAGGAGAGACACATCAGATATACGTTCGGCGACATAACTCTGCGCGTCTGTTCGGGACTGCTGCACCGTATCGACACCATCAGACAGGCGGCGGAAAAATACGACTACAATCCCTACATCGTTCCCAAGACCTTGCCCAAGTTCGACGAGCTGCCGCCTGTTACGGTGGAGGAGTACGAAGCTCTGCGAGAAAATATACCGATTTTAACGACGTACCTGTACGTGAAAAAAGTCGCCGTACAATTGCAACTGGCCGATCATTATTCAGCCGGTCTGCCCAGACAGAGGAATCTCGTTAAGCAGCAGCAGCAACACGACGAGACTCTGTCGCCGTGCCTGAGCGAAGAGCCGCACGTCAGTCTCGAGGCGGGCACGATCGAGGCCAGCCTGGAAGAGCCCATCTATCCGTTCAGGCTGATCGCGTGCGCCTCGAAGCAAACGGAGATACCCGCCGAGATGCTGACTCGGTGCTACCGCAAGCTCAAGTTCCGACTCAACGGAGTCGGCAGTCAGGTCTTTTTGAAGTCCGAGCGTCGTCGAACGCCGCTGGTACTGCCGTGCAACGTCGAGGGCAATCTGCGCACGATACTCTATCCCGATTACTGGAAGGAGGCGCACAGGATACACGGCTCGCACGAGCTGAGCGTCGACTCGATCACGATTACGGGCACCAAGAGGAAGATCGCGGTCGCAGCGGCGATCGTTTCGTCGCTGCTCTGCGCGCGGGACGACGACGATCTCGGCCGACTCGTGTCCTGCTCCAGCATCTGCAACGATTCGCGCGACGAAAAGAGCCCGATCTATCTGGAGCTCTGCCTCGACAATATCCAGCTGAAGGGAGTCGCGTCCTTGTGCACGAGGTCCTACACGGCCGATCTGGCGTCGATGAAGATTTTCGCCCACAGCGAGACCGAGCAGGCGTTCATATTGTCCGGCCCGGAGCACGAAGAAGCTCACAGGTACGGTCCATCGAACGAGGCCTTCTCTCGTTTTCGATCGTTGATTTTTGTTGTTTCTTTGTTACAGTAATCGGGAAACGCGACCATTGGTAAGTGCCATCGTGCAGTTTTCAAACGATCTCGTCGACAATCCTCAGCATCCGACGATACTGTCCTTTCGGATGGCTCCCATGAAGGCTTGCTTGGATCCTCTTTTGCTCAAGTGGCTGGACTATCAGGTTAACAAAGGTAAATGCGCTTACTCAGCGCCACAAAACGTCGGTGGTCGACCCGAACAAAACCTGACTCAAGCCGGCACCGAGAGCATCGTCTCGGATCCGAGCGTCACCAGGAAGAGAAGCAGCTTCGTTCACGAGAGCGTTCACAGCTCGTCCGACAAGGACAAGCGCAAAATCGACGAAGCCGTCGTCGCGGACAATAAATCGGCGAAAAAATCGACCACCAAGACCTACGACTCCGACGCGGTTTTGACTCAGAGCGAGTCGCTGCAACAGAAGCAACAACAGCGTCTGCATCATCAGCAGGAGCAACTCGAGCAGGGGGCCTCGTCTCCCGACTCGAGCTACGGTTTGTGGGCACGATTGACTCAATTGTCGCCGTGGTGGTCGACGCTGATTCTCGACGCTCGAGTGGATCACACGATCGTTTACGTGCCTACGCGTACGATGAGCGGCATCGATTTGGAAGGTAAATTTTGCTTACGAAATTATTCATAAACATCTCTCGTGGAAACCTGCATATGTATCGGATTTTGACAATATTCACAGGCATCGAAGAGGCGAAAGATGCAGCCTTGAAATCGGATGAAAATCTGCGTATTCTCGTAGTGAAATTGCCCGTCATTGGTATAACGTCTTCGAATACAAATGCCGAGCCGTCGAATTATTTATCAAAGTATGCGCATGAATTGCCGATAAGACTTCCTAAAAATATTTGGGCTGCGAGTAAGTAAACATCCATCTGGTTCGAGTCATCTCGATCCATAATGAATCTTTCAATATCGAAATTTCAGAAACTCACAGCTTTCCTTGGACTTTGGAAATATCGGATCTGGAAATGTTCACTCTGAAAGGTAGCGCGCGACAGAATTTCGTCAAGAAAATTCGCTTCAAAGCCACGCTGGACCTCGTGACGAAAAGTACGGAATCCACTACGGCGATCAACGAATCGGCCGCCACTCTGAGCCTGTGCTTGTACATCGACACATCGCCGATCATCGTGTCGCTGAACGAGGAGCAGGTATATATTATAGAAAATCCATAATCGAAGCTGTTATACCGAGCTCTTTGTATCATCGTTTGTGTGCTGCGCGCAGGTGAGCTTTTTGCACGCTCTAACGAACGACATCGCGAGCGTGACCATTGCGGCGGGTCCCGCGAGCCAAACGCATTCCTCGAGTATCGGCGAGGCGCGAGATTCGAAAGACTTGCCCGCGGCGCTGAGGAGAAGCTCGTCCAGTCCGACGCAGCAGCAGTACTTGGAGGACGCTACCACGACTTCCACGATGTCCGCCGTGAAAAAGGAGAACACCGCGCAGGGTATGCTTATTTACAACAATTTTGACCAGCGACGCATAAGTATATACATATAGCTAAGCACTTGGCACAACGATCGTTTCAGCAGCCGACGCTTCGCACGTGAGCGCCTGCATTCAGTGGACCATCGCTAAGATCTCGGTAAAACTTTACGTTTTGGCGGACGACGACACTTACGCTAATTCCAAGCTGGCCCTGGAACTGGAAGATATCATAACTTCGATCGACGTGCAACCGGTTTACTTCAAGCTAAAGCACAAGATAACTACGGCCACGATTTTTCATTACGTGAGGTATCATCGTCACGCTTATATCCGGTTACTAATAATAAATCCGACGATTTGTGATCTTTTAAATATACACCGATTTGTAGATCGTCGCAATCGCAGCAATGGGACTTGGGTGAGTACGCGGGTATACTCATGAGCGGCCGAGAAGGACAGATGGAAAAAAACGAGGATTCGGGATTCTTGTGCCTTACGTTGACCGTGGCCAAGTCCGGCAACGTGCACACTCGCTGGGGAGCCAGAAAATCCTACAAATTGCCGAGGGTTCGAAATAATATTTAATAGACCTACATCCGACTCGTAGATTTTACGGAAAAATACATCTTCTCTTTTATCGTTGCAGAAAGATTCGCGCATGGAGGTGCTGCAACCGAGCGACACTTACATCACCGAGGCTCTAGTGAAGATCCAACCGATCGACCTGACCGTGGCGCCGAGCGTGCTCGGCAAGTACGTCGGGATCGCGAGACCGCTGCTGCTGAGCGACGACGCAGCGAGCCGCGAGTCTCGAGCCAGCGACGACGACGCGAAGATCATGCCGCCGTTCATTGGAATCGCCAAGCTGCGCAGCGAGTCTCTGCCTCTGGTGTACTTCGACTTGAAGGGACTGCGTATAATGCTGCCGACGACCATGGACGATCCGGACAACGACTCGACTCACGATCTGCTGATGTTGCAGGTATCGTCGTTATTTGCTACTTTATCTTTACAGCTGCGCATTCTATCTCCTATGATGATGTATAATACGTGCTGATAGGTCGACGGTGTTCGAATAACGCCGCACGCCGAGAATCCCATCTGCAGGGTACCCCTGCGGCCGGATATCTATCAACTGGCCGGTCAGGCTAATATTCTGAATGTGCCGGGCTCGGCGGTCGAGGATCGACAGTATCAGATCAACGTCGACGGTATCAGTGCCTTCACGACGACTTGGAAGGGCTATCAGAGGAGCGTCATGAAGCGAGTGTCGCAGTCGTACTTGTACACGATGAACGAGAATCCTGCCGTGGAGTGGAATAAGCTTGGCAACGGTAGCAGTCTCGAGCCGCACTTACCTACGCTTCCTATCGTGACGAGGTATGTCGATTAAAGCCCTTGGAATTATCTTTGTGGATCGTGAATTTGGCGCTCCTCCCTTTCAGATTCGATTTCTGCTTCATCGTGGCACCCGTCATTATCTTCAAACCCGACACGATCGTTTGCGCCAGCGCCGCCGAGCTCAATTGCCTCACGGATCTAGAACTGATGTTCAATCCCGGACAGATCAAACTGGTCGCTTGGCTGTTGAATCAACTGCAGGGTCTTGTGCCGAGCGGTGGCAAGTCGGATCGATCGGACATTTTCGAAACACCGAGAAGTCAATTGAGAAACCAACCTTCGTTCACGAGCAGTCTGAAGGGATCTCACTTGATCAAACAAACGATCCCGGAGTTCGAGCTGGATGTCGCCAAGGATAGCGGGGTCGATTTCGACTCTTGCAGCTTGACTTCTTCCTACATCGCAAGTTTAATTAACAATTTTCATAATTAATAATTCGACAATATTTGTAATGTACTGTCGTTCGATAAACAGGGAAAAACTTGCGCTCGATCGAACGAGCTTACACCCTTCGAGTGCCTGATGAACTGTGGAAAAGTAACGATAGTCTTTTACGACGTCGTTCGCGAGCCAGTTTCACCGAGACTATCTGTACGTAATAAGGAAACGCATAAATAAATCGGTCGACTTCTATGTAATTGAGTATAAAGTTTATTTGTGCATTGCAGACGCGAACAGAGAATGAGAAAGGAGACGAAGCTAACAATACGTTAAAGTCACCCCTCGTTTACGCCGTCATCGACCAACCAAATTTGTACTTTTATCAACAACAATCGGATCAAAGGATTCAGGTAAAAGCAGTCCAATAAAAAAAACTAACATTTAGGCATCAATGATCGTTGACGAAGAATAATGCTTTTTTCAGTTCTCGTGTTTCGATGTCTCGCTGCTTCTCGGCAATGAAACAGGCAAGAGATCGACGTCCATTCCATCGGCCAGCGACTTTACCACGTTCATTCTGGAAACGAAGAGCGGCGAGGCTCACCTGGACACGGGCATCCCGCCGTCCTTCCTGGTCGTCAAGTGGGACGCGTGCAAAAATTCCCAGATGAGCATCAACATGGGCCGACCGACCAAGGTGCACTTTTCTCTCGCGAGGCTCGACAAGCTGCTGCGGATACGCGACCAACTGATCGATTGTCTGGACGACGGTCGAGCGCATACAGTCGTCGGCGCGGATCGTTGCAACGTTTACAACAACAGCACGAGTAGCAGTCCCGACAGCGGCAGCTCAGCGGCGCAACAACAGCAGCAGCAGCAGGTCAGCAGCTCCAACAAGTATCGCGTACCCGACACGAACCTGTCCACGAAGCAATTGGTCTTTTCCCTGGAAACGAGCGACGGCACGAGCGAGCTCCTGCTGAGTCTGGCCTCGTTCTCGGCCAGCGCCAGCAATTCCTCGAGGCCCGAGAGGATCTTCGGCAGCTTCAGTTGGGACTCGCTCGTCGTGTCGATCAGGGATCATCTGAGTCGGGCGGACGCGAGTGCCCAAAAGGCTACCACGATGCTGTTGAATCCGTGCTCGTGCAGCGTCAGCGTGTGCCTGCTCTGGGAGCCTTGGCAACAGAAGGCCGAGCCGCCCCAGATACAGGTGCAGGCCGAGTGCGACTGTCTGCATTTGGATCTCGGACCGCGACACATACTCGCTTGTCAATCGGGCCTCGGCGACCTAACGAAGATATTGTCGAGGACGACCGAAGCAAACTCGACTAGCAACGAACTCGATCGTTCCCATCATCATCGGCAGCAGCAACAGCGGCGGCCCACGAAGCACGAGCAGCACTACCAGGACGATCTGAAATCCGGAGCCTTTCAATTCGTCGACGGCACCACGGACGAGCTGCCGTTCCCCTACCAGGTGGTGTTTCACTCGCAGCCGCAGCGAGCCATGGCCTGGCGATACCCGCACCCGAGGACCCTGACGCGCATCCACGTGAGTCCGGTGCCCATGGAGGAGGCCAGCAGCAGCGAGACCGGCGACGACGACGACGACGACGACGGGCCCGGCCAGAGGCTCGGCTGCGCCATCGAGTACTGGAGCGAGAGCCAGACGACCTATCAGCGCTACGTGGACTTTTACCTGTCGGAGCAGGAGAGCTACCGGCTGGACCTGCCGGAGCACGCGCCCCTGCAAGCCGTGGCCTGCGTCTGGCGCATCGTCCTGCTTAACGGCGCCTCGAGATCATCTCGTCGTCGGCTGTCGAGCAAGGCCCTGCTGGCCTGTCTGCGCATCGACTCGTACTTCAATCCGCGCATAGTGCCGAGTCTGCAGGCGGCCGTCAGCCTCGGCTGCGTCCAACTGCGCCTGTTCAATCAGCTGGAGGACGAGGAAGACGAGGAGCAGCAGCAGAAGCAGAAGCGCGACCTACCGGCACCTCTGGCCCGTTACGAGCTCGCCGGCCAGGTGCCCGCGAACCAGTGCTTCGCCGTGCTCGAGCTCAGCCGCGCCCAGCTCGCCCTCAGCAGGTGGTCCAGCACGGAGGTCGCGCTCGTGCGCGCCAACGCCGCGCTGGGACTGCGCCTGCTCGACTACGGCCTGCTGCTCAGCCAGGAGGTCGTCGAGCCGGCCGAGTGGCAGCTGCGGCTCTCGCGCGGGCCCTCGCCCGACCTCGCGCTCGATCTGTCGCTGGCCTGCGAGCCGTTCGACGTCAGGCTCAGCCCGGCGAGCTTTCACGCCTTGTCGCTGGCCGCTCAGCTCTGGGCCGCTCGCTTGTTGTCCGCCTCCCCGGCGGCGGCCGCTGCAACGGCTCCGACGACGACGACGACTCTGCGGCCGCTCACGACCAGGTACGTCGTGGCCAACGACACCAACGTGCCCTTGAGATTCGGCCAAGACGCCACCAACGACAGCATAATGCTCGAGAGCGGCCAGTGCCACTTTTATTCCTGGCGACACGCTACCAACCAGGTAATTCCATTATTTCTCTTTCTCTCTCCCCAGGTGAAATTGGTATATCTTATGACAGATCTTATTTGCATAGAATTTGCATAAGATAATTATCAGAACTTACATCAAATCGAATAATATCATATCTAACATTAGATCTGAAGTGACTGCATCGCTTATAATTATTTAACCAATAAATGTATTAATAATTAAAATTTAATTATAAATTTAGTTTGGGTTTTTGATAAAGTGAATTTAAATTGATTTAATAACTTTTATTATTGAATTTCAATAATTAATAAATGTATTGTTTAGATAATTTAAGGCGATAAAGTCATCTCAGATCTGGTGCAAGTTTTGATGTCTATAATCGTATGTAAATTCTGATGTAAGATCTGACATAAGATCTAATGTGCGTTCACCAGAACTTTTTTATCAGATCTGATGAACTGTTTTTAATCTGGGTCTCTCTCTCTCTCTCTCAAGGCTTTGAAGGTGGGCATGGAGGACGCCAACGGATGGCACTGGAGCAAGCCTTTCTCCATCAAGGAGGACGCCTGCTTCGACTTGGAACTCTCGGGCTCGGTCGAGCAGCCGAGCGTCGTCCTCAGCTGTCGGGTCTCCGCGCTCTCGGCCTCGCAGAAGCTCGTCACCTTCGTGGCGCAATTCGTCGTCAGCAATCAGCTGCAGGACGGCTTCGAGATGCGACTCATCAAGTACGACGCACTGGGCAAGAGTCGCGCCAGCCTCTACCCGGAGAGCTTCTTCCTGGCGCCGAGGAGCCGGCCGGCCTCCATCGTGCTGGCCGACCCGACCAACGTGGCCATGAGGCTGCGATTCTCCAGCGTGCCGAATCTCGCCTGGACCGGTGACATTCCGCTCCAGCCGAACGCGCGCTGGGGTCAGCCCTGGCTCGTCAAGGTGCCGCTCCAGGAGCGAGGACAGTTCATCAGCATATGGGTGCGAATGATCACGGAAACGATCGACGGGGTCGTCAAGATTCTCGTGAGTTTTTTTTATCCAACTTATTTTTGGAAATTAAGAACCAAGATCGAAGACGTTTGTCTTAAATAATATAATGCTGTTTTTTTTTGACATAGGCGGTCACAAGCCCCTTGTACATGATAAGGTCGTACCTTCCTGTACCGGCGAAAGTTCAAATAGAAACGCCGTCGCTAGGTGTATCTTTGCAAACGGTCATCAACGGCAGAGGCGAGAGGCAACAAATGTATTGCCCCGGCACATTCGAGCACGCTCATCAATTGACTTTCCAAATCGAGTACGTTCAGCATATTAAGTAAAATCGATTAAGTAGTAATAAACCGCTGCCAATGTATTGGCAAGTAGCTTCCTCATACTTTTTTTTTAACTTAAAAATAATTTGAAAATATTAATATCATCTTTCTAATTACGAAAGCGAAACGAAAGCGCCTCTCAGCTTTATCGGGTATCTCAAACAAACAATGCAAAAAAAAAAAATTTTTTTCTTAAATAGAAAAAAAAACGTTACGTTTATCGATAAATGAATTTTTCTGGCTTCGTCCCTATGTCATAACGAAAAAAATAAGCCCTCCCCCGTCACGATACGTGCTACCGTTATCAAGGAATCACTCTACACAGCCATACAGCCGCATACACCCACATACATTCCAAAATGTGTCAAAAATTCGATCTAGTATATAGAAATATCATTAAATATATCCTACGATAATTATATACGAAAGCCTAAATGTATCCCATCACAAAACTTCCTATATGAGGGAGCAAAAGGAAGAAAACGACAATTTCCCGCAAAAAAAATTTTTCCCGTAAAAAAAAATTTTTAAAAATCGAAAAAAAAATTTTTTTTCTTCGTTTATCGCTAAATACAATTTTCTGGCTTCATCCTTACATCATAACGAACAAAAAAAGCCCTCCCCCGTCACGATACGTGCTACCGTTATCGAGGAATCACTCTACACAGACATAAAAAAATTTCCAAAAATTTTTAAAAATCGAAAAAAAATTTTTTTTTCTTCCTTTATCGCTAAATACAATTTTCTGGCTTCATCCTTACATAATAACGAACAAAATAAGCCAAACCCCGTCACGATACGTGCTACCGTTATCGAGGAATCACTCTACACAGACATACAGCCGCACACACACACACACACACACACACATACATACCAACATGTGTCAGAAATTCGATCTAGTATATAGAAATATCATTAAATATACCCTACGATTACTCTATAAAAAAGCCGAAATGGAGCCCATCACAAAGCTTCCTCTATGAGGAAGCAATAATAAATATTCGTTCGCTCGTTCCATGTAGATCCGGAGTGTCGGCGTCGGATCCGTTCGTGCCGTTGTCGTACGCCTCGGTCGATCAGCGCAAGTTTTTCAAGCGGCCCGACAAGGAGAGCATCCGGGACATCTTGGAGGCGCTCGAGGCCGTCGACAAGGACGAGGAGGCCGCTTGGCCCTTCTTCCAGCAGAGCGACGGCGACGGGGACGAGTTGTTCCAGTGGGTGGCCGGCGACCAGCCGCAGACCCACGTCCAGGTCAGGTACGAGGACGCCGGCCTGGTGTCGAGCACGCTGCTGCTCGAGCTGCAGCCCTGGTGCTTCGTGCTCAACTCGCTGGGCTGCGAGGTGTCGATAGTGGCCCAGCAGCAGCAGCAGCAGCAGGTCGAGCTGTGCCGTGTGCCCCATTATGGCATCGTCGCGCCCCCCAAACTGGAGGGCAGCTTTTACCTGGGCGTGCGCCAGGCTGACACCTTTTTCATGTCCGCGGCCCTGCAGTTCGATCGGCCCGAGTGGAGCCAGAGCTTTTACAAGCCTCGGGTGCAGGGATCGATCCCGCTGGAAGGCAATCTCAAAGTCTGCGTCGATCTTTCTTCCAGTGTAAGTGTCCAAAAAGATCGCTCTCTCGACTCTTTGTTCAAACATAACTCTTTTGTATTTTCGTTTTCTCAGCTAACGCAGATCAGCATCAATTCGAGCCTGCACAAAGATATGCGCGTTCTGCGCATCGGCAGCAACTACGTGATCGGCAACATGACGGGCCACGATTTTTGGGCCGCCGCGCTGGCCGTGCCGGCCTCGGCGAGAAATCTGCAACTGCACGATCACGCGCCCACCGACAAGAGCATCAAAATCTCAGCTGCAACCGAACGAAGGTATTTAATATCTCGTTGCAATGCATTTTTTTTTTTTACCTAAGACATGTAAACGAGCCGTTGTTGGTTTGCAGATACGCGGTACCGATCGTCCAGTGGCACAAGATATCGGACGCAACCGATGGCCCCTTCGTTTTTTACGTCGCACTGCGCCTGAGCGAAAACAAGTGGTCTTGTCCCATTCGGGTCGATCAAGGCCTCGCTCGGCGATGTATCGCGCTCCCGGTAAGTTGTTTTCACTTTTGTGCAAGAAAATTAAAGCTTGTTGTAATTAATCTTCGATCTGCCTATAAAGAGGGGCCGCGAATCGTTGCCATTGGTCGTTACGACGCAAGAAGACAAGGGCACCGTATACGTTACCATACACGAAGACAAGCAGCCGCAGCTGCTCATCGATAACGTCTGCCCCTACGGAATCGTCGTTGGCCAGAGCGACCAAGAACGAGGTAATCATTGTATTATACAACTGTAAATACACGCTGTCGCACAAAGAACCGATGATTATAGCGGAGAAATATTTGCAGATAACGTGATCCCGGACGCCGAACACTTCGATTGGAAATGCTGCATCGAGAGCAAGAGCAGCTGTTACTACTCGATGCCGAGCATCGGCAGCAACCTGCCGGACTTGCCGATCAGCTCCGAAGCGACGAGCGTCTCGATGCTGGTGGCCGGCCTCGTCGACGACAGATCGAGCTCCTCCTACACCTCCGTTTCGGATGGCTCGATCCAATGGTCCAAGAGCGTCGAGCTAAGCGACAAACTGTCGGACCATCTGCTGCGCTTGCCCGCGCGCGGCGACGTGAAGATCTCGACGCGAGCCCAGTGCTACACGATCCGCGTGCGCTTCAGTCCGGTCTCGCAGTACGAGATATCGGCCCAAGACATACGCAGCAAAATCGAAAGGAAGAGCAACCTGCAGCAGCAGCAGCAGCGAGCCAGCAGCCCTGATCCGTCCCAGCACGAAAACAACAACGCGTCGTGGCTCGCCGCCGCCGATCTGGACAACCGCGTGAACAGCCAGTGCAGCTCCGCGTCCAACGCGACGACCTACGTCTCGGCCCAAGACGACGATGCCGAAGCAGCTGCAGCCCGACCGACTAGCCGAAGCGGTAACAACAACGACGACGAGCACGACGACGACGACGACGACTACAATACGCGCAATACCAGTAGCAGCTCGAGTCACGCCTCGGCGACGCTTCACTTCCGCGGCATCTCGTTCGTCCTCATGAAGGACGTGAACGAGCAGGGCCAGCGCATCGAGGTGCTGTCGCTCAGCACCACGGACACGATACTGCAGCTGGAGCGCGACTCGCGGGGCGAGTCGCAGGTCAGCCTGCACGTGGGCGATCTGCAGCTCGACAATCAGATGTTCGAGTCGGGCGGCTACGACTTTCCCGTGGTGCTGGTCAGCCAGAGGCCGCTCGTGCGCAAGGACACGAACGCCAACGCCACCGCGACGCCGCCCGTGTTCCTCAGCACGAGCCCGAAGAAAAATCTCGAGGACATCGTCGACAATTGCCTGCTCGGCGTCCAACTGAGCCTCCAGGAGGGCGTCTACAAGGAGATCGCCGTGAAGCTGGCCCCGGTCAGCGCGTACGTCGAGGGCGCCTTCGTCACGCTTCTCATGGATTTCGTGACTGCGACTCTGCCGGCCTGTCTGTCCTCCACGAGTAGCGGTCAGCAGCAGCAGCAGCAGCAGGTCAACGCGAGGAGCAGCGAGAAGAACTCGAGTCATTCCATTGCCGTTCCGTTGCCCGACCACGTGCTCGTCGACGCGAGGATACTGAGCCAGCCGCTGCGCCTCCAGAGCTTCCTCATCGAGCCGGTCTCGATACTTCTGAGCGTGCACACCTCCGTGCACCTGTACGTGGCCTTCGATCACTCGCCCCTGTTCTTCGAGGCCTTCGACAAGCGCAATCTCGTCACGACGCCCTATCGTCTCGGCAACGCCCTGGCGATGCACTACCTGTCGGGGGCGATCTTCGGCGTCGGCTGGGTCGTCGGCTCGCTCGAGATCCTCGGCTCGCTGGGCGGGCTCGCGCAGGCCCTCGGCAGCGGCCTCAAGGACTTCGTCTCGCTGCCGTTCCAGGGACTGCTGCAGGGGCCCTGGGGCTTCGTCGTCGGCGTGACCCACGGCAGCGCGAGCCTCGTCAAGCACGTCACGGCCGGCACCGTCAACAGCGTCACGAAGCTCGCCTCGAGCGTCGCCAGGAACCTCGATCGGCTCACCCTCGACGAGGAGCACCTGCAGCGCCAGGAGGAGTTCAGGCGGACCAGGCCCCAGGGCGTGGCTCAGGGTCTCTATCAAGGACTCACCGGCCTCGGCATGAGTTTGCTCGGTAAGCAACTATATAATAAGGATGAAAGAAGCGAACGAATCGAGTAAAACGATGTATCGGGCAAATTTTTTGCAGCTGCGGTGGCTGGGCTGGCGCATCACCCGTTGCAGCAGGTCTGGTCGGGCGAGGCGTCGACTCGGGGTCTCGTCAGCGGCGTGGGCCGAGGCCTCGTCGGCGTCGTCACGAAACCACTGAGCGGCGCCGCCGAGCTCGTCGCCCTTACCGGCCAAGGACTGCTCCAAGGCACCGGCTGGAGCTCTCTGCCAGAGGTAATTCATTTAAACAGCAATCGATGAGAACCGATCGCGATCGTGTTAACGCTCGTGCTTTGTATCTTTTAGCCTCGTCAGCGAGCCGTGGTCCAATACCCGACGGAGCGCGCGGCCGAGAGCAGCAGTTGTCTGCGCTACGCCTGGAGACTCATGCCCTTGTTGCAGGCTAACCAGGACAACATTCTGTACGTGTGCCAGGCCGAGCGGGTACTGCAGCAGCAGCAGCAAGTCAGCAGCGACAAGCATCCGGTGAGCCTCGTGCTGACCCGCCAGATGCTGCTCATCGTCAGCCTAGCCGAAGACAGCCTGGAGAAGGTACTACCCATAAAAGATCTGCTGATGAGCTCGAGCGAACACGAGCCGACTCAGCTGCGTCTTTATTACTCTACCGCTGCTACCGTTGCCGCCGCCAACGCTGCTGCAGCTGCTGCTGCCGCTGCCGCTGCTACGAGGCAGCAGTTGGAGCAGTCGAATCACAGTAGACCTGGTTCACCCCTCGAAACGAGTGCTCCGATTCATGTAACTGACGCATACTTTTTTCATATTTTTAAAACTAATTTCGCATCCTAAATTGCTTGGAATTTTATTTTTTTTTTTACAACCAGATGGACCGAGAAATTAGAGCGAGAGTCGCGGAATTTTTGCGGACGAGCAGCGCGGGCATCACGAGCGTATCCAGCAACAGCGACACGGCCTCGGAGAATTGCGAGGCGTCGACCCTGCCCGACCCGGACAACTGCTACACATTCCACCTGAGCGCGGACTCGCGCGCTTACTTTATCGCGCTCTTGAGTCTTCTGCGGCGACAGTGCCGTGGACACGGATTCGCCGTAGTGTAGAAAATGAAACTTTTGTATTTAGCGTAATGTCACTGCGATCTTGTGTCGCATCACAAAAAAGTGTTCAAGCCTATATGATTTTTTAATATTCTTGTTTAATAAATTTATATATATATATATTATGTAAAATGACGACGTGTGAATATTCGCGTAGAAAACATGAATTTTTTAAGATATCTTGGAATACTTAATTTTTATCGATGTGAACTAGAACTTTCCACGAATTTTCGTGTCGATAAAAATATTTTTAACAAAGATTTAAATATTTTTAAATATTTTTATAAAAAAATTTATTGTTAAACCCAATATTGCTCGTGAACTTATAAAATTTCTACAGTAACAATATACACGTATAAATTAATCTATTGCATAGAATAAGTAACAAAAAGTTGCTAAAGGAAAAATCCAATATTAAAAAATATATTGTACAAAATTTTAATCATCTACAGAATTAAAAACTACTTTGGCTATCCCAAATATAGAAGTAAAACTTTCAGAAACTTATACTCCATTTTGATTTTTAAATGACATAAAATTAAAAAATAGATCAAATAGATTAACTTCTCTTCATGCTTTCTTGAGTTGGTTGAGTTGTACGATTTGAAACAACCCATTGGTGATCTAGAATACCATCCAATGATAACCTTTTTTCCGGCGCCACAACGAGAAGCTAAAATCAAATATGATTAAATTTTTCAGTCACTAGCAATGAGAGATAATTTTCAAAACATAAACATTACTTTTGCTATAAGGTCTCTGGCTCCAGAACTCATATGATCTGGGACGGTATATTTTACTTTTTTTATTCTATGGTAGGTCTCATCGTAAGTTTTGGCTAAAAATGGTGGTTGACCAACCAAAAATTCGTAAGTCAAAATTCCAACGCCCCACAAATCAACAGTATGATCATGCGTTTGACCATTGACCATTTCTGGTGGTAAATAATCTAAGGTACCACACACAGTTTCCCTGCGTGAAGATGGGGCATGAACAGACCAACCAAAGTCAGCCATTTTCAATTCTCCGTTAACACCAAGAAGTAAATTTTCTGGTTTTATATCTCTATGAATAACTTTCCTTGCATGACAATATTTCAAGGCATCAGCCAGTTGCGAAATGTAAGTGGCGGTCCTGCATACATTATATTAATAAAAATATTTCTTTTCTAACACTTTCTAAAATTGATAAAAATGAGATACAATTCTAAGTTACCTCACTTCATCAAAACGTTTATTAGGTTGAGCATTAAGTTCCTTAAATACTTCTCCCTTAGGAGCAAATTCCAAAATTAAATAAACTCTAGTATCATCATGAAAATATCCATACATCCTTAGTATATTAGGGTGCCTGAAATAACGTTTATTTTGTGTCAATACAAAAAATAGATAAAAAACGTTTTTCTAGAATGCAGTAAAAATGATTGATTCATTACAATTTGTTACTAAGCAGTTTTTACCTTAAATGAGTTTGAATTTCAATTTCTCGCCTGACTTGATGCTCAATGTCAGCCTTTAAAATCTGAGCCTTAAACAATACTTTCATTGCAACAATAAACTTTGATTGTTTTTCTCGTGCCAAGTATACATTTCCAAATTTGCCTTTACCGAGTGCACGTCCAATATCAAAATCTGTGATAGCCCATTGTTTTTTCTTTTCCTTTTGGTTTCCAGTCTTTGATTGTGGGATTGAGCTTGTTGAACTCTCTTGTTTTTTTGGTTTAGAATCTGTCACAGTGTCCTTATGATGAGAGTTTTGTGAATGATGAGTTTGATCTGGTTTTTTCACTGCACGGACTTCTGTAGAATTTAAAGGTAGTTTTGGCGGAGGCATAAGTTCTTGGGATTTATTTGCAGTGTTGGTTTCTTCTGATTTTTTAGCAATGCTTTTAGAACTTGCAGTAGTTGACTGAAACTTACTTTCTTTCAAGATATCTGTCTTACCCATTTGATGTTTTTGTTGACTTTGACTCAAATTTTCTTTTCCTTTCATCATTTTGCTAATCTTGAAAACTAAAAGATATTATCGATTAGGTATGATTTTATTTTAAATTGACACGCGAAAAAAAAAAGCGAAATATCCTTACCTTAATATTATTATTAATTAGTATGTAAAAACCAATAGGTTAGAAATAAAAATTAAAAACTACTGGACGTGGAAAAATCAACAGCACTACAGTGTATCGTATTATAGGATCAAGATCCGACTTGAAAGCTCGTTAGTTAAAGGTGCCTTTTAACTTTTTGATCGAGAAATCTCTTTTTTTATTATTTATCAATAATCAGCCGAGTAATCTACTATCTACCAATTTATCTTAATCCTGTAATTGTCAACATTCGCAGGACACACGGAGGGCGCAATTTTTGAGTCCCGAACCTAGTGTTAAACACATGCATCTGAATTTAGCGAGTTGGTGATTCAAAATTTAACGAATCTTTGCAGCAGACCGCACGATTGGTTGCCGCTCTCGTGTCTCTCTTTAACCTTAATCCTCGTCTGCAATGTCGATACCGCAAAATTTCTCGCCTCTCATAACGGAACAACTTTTAGAATATAAATCGTTCGATGATCAACTTGTGCAACAGTGGCATTGATAAAAGCTTTCTGTATGGAATTTCGCCCGAATTCATAAAGGTAAATAAATCGATTTTTCACAGATCTACGTTTAGCAATTTGGGTAGAATTTCAGACTTGGCTTCACTGTTTTGATGTGTTGACGTTTTCGTATGTATACATACAAACGCGTGACTCGCACACAAACAACAGATGCGCGCACGCACGCTAATTTCCAATGATTGACCAGTTTCAGCAACTGCCATGGTACGATTTGGACATCGTACTAAACGCACACACACATTAATATTCATAAGGACTTATTGAGATGCCAGTTTTTTAACTCAGCGTGCTCATGTTTGGTCACCCATGCCTCGCGTATTACCATAAAAGAACTACACACGTCGTTACTCTCGAGTAATGATGGATAACTGACGATATTTAGATCATCTGAATGTACACTTTCTCAGCAGATACATAATCGAGAATATTGTTGGCCAAACGAATATATTTAATAAATTGCTCTTACTTACTTGTTTTAAAATAAAAATCAAGAGAAAATAATAATGACTCGATCTCGTTAATTGTTGATGGTAATTATTCAACTTTAATTACATGACTATCGATTGCTACTTTCTCTCAATAATTTTACAATTGATCTTATTTTTTACTATTTATATTAATATCAAGTTTTTAAGCGATGTGTTAAATATATAAACAACTTTATTTATTTATAAGTTATTTTTTTCATCTTTGTATTTTTACATTTTCTTTCTTCTTATCAGTTCAATTAGTTTGATGCATGCTGCAATATCCATGGTGCTGTTGCATTAGGCTTACAATCTGGTTGGTATTCATGAATAGCAGGTCTAAATTAAACTGATACAATGTCAGTCGCAAAGAAGAATGTCACCAACAATAATAGCAGAAAATCACCAAGAATTGCTCATGTAATTTTGATATTTTATGTTTTTATTTTCCACTTAATCAGACAAGATAAATACTTAAGCTTTCAACAAATAAGCACCAATCGGCTAAACTTATCACTTTATTTTTTTGTTTATCTTATCTGCCTCGAGTACATCTTGAACATTTTTAAATGAGATATTATCAATTAACAGGCAAAACCCTCAGCAGCTTTATTGGCTGCCAAACGAGAAGGTGCTGAACGTAAAAGAAATCTTGGAAATATTTCAACAATTATTAGAGACATTTATCAAAAAGCTATAGACGCCAAAGACATGATTCGTCACAATACAGGAGTTATCTATGAACCTTCAATGGTTGAGCATAAATGTCTGTGGGATCCAAATTATCCAGAATGCCCAGAAAGGCTAAGTAGAGTGCTTGACAGATGCCAGCAATTGGGTTTACTAGAGAGATGTAAATATATTGCTCCACGTAAAGCAGAAGCATCAGAACTTTTATTAAAACATACACCTGGTCATTTGGAGATAATCAAATCTACTGACAATGTTAATGATGTTGAAAAATTGGAAAAATTATCTTCTAATTATGACGCAGTTTATTTTCATCCAGTATGAATAATTTTTTAACTTTATTGAAATTTAAATATCATCTTTTCATTTTACTAATATTAATTATATTTGCAGAAAACATATGAATTATCTCTTCTAGCAACTGGTTCAACTATTGATTTAGTGAAAAACATTTGCTTAGGAAATATTCAAAATGGCATGGCAATCATAAGGTACAATCTTGATGAATATTTTTCTCCAGTTCAAGCATTTTTCTTAAAATTAAATTTTTTAGGCCCCCAGGACATCATGCTATGAAATCTGAATACTGTGGATATTGCTTCTTTAATAATGTAGCTATAGCTGCAGAGGTCGCTTTGAAAAATAATTTGGCAAAAAAAATTTTGATTGTTGATTGGGATGTTCACCATGGACAAGCTACACAACAAATGTTTTATAATGATTCAAGGTAAATTATGAAAAAAAGATAGTTGAAGTACAAGCAATCATGTAAAAAAATGTATTTTCAGAGTTGTATATTTTTCTATACATCGTTATGAACATGGAGAGTTTTGGCCCAATTTGAAAGAGTCAGATTACCACTACATTGGAGAGGGTCCAGGAGAAGGGTACAATTTTAATGTGCCTCTCAACAAAACTGGCATGACCAATGCAGATTATATCGCAATTTTCCAACAAATTTTACTTCCAATGGCATACGAAGTAAAATTATTATTTCACATTAACAGAGCATAAAGCAGAATAATTTATAAAATTAACTTATTTTAGTTTCAACCGGATCTCATCATAGTCTCAGCTGGTTATGATGCAGCTCTTGGTTGCCCAGAGGTAATCCTGACTGATGTTTATTAATTTTTGTTTGTTTTTTTTTACTTTAGTTAAACCCTGATCTCATTCTTGTCTCATCTGGATTTGATGCAGCAATGGGAGATGAGAAGGTTGTTTAATTAGGTTTACTTTGTAAATTTAAATGTAAATTTTAGCCCATGGCAATTATTTCCATTCATCTTCTTAGACTTACAATTGTGATACTGGAATACTAGAATACTTCTTAAAACATTGACTATGCGCTAAGATTTACGCATACTTTCCTTTAAAAATTTTCAAACCAACAGCTGATTCCTTTATAAATAAAAAAAAACGAACGTTTTTAGGGTCAAATGAACATCACTCCAGCTTGTTATTCTCATTTACTTAATATGTTGATGGGCTTAGCTAACGGTAAAGTTGCTGTAATTTTAGAGGTCAGTCATAATTAAAAAGATAATTATAAAATTTTTAATAGTTTTAGTTGAAAATAAATTCTTTTTCATTTTGAAGGGCGGCTATTGTCTAAGGTCTTTAGCCGAAAGCGCAGCTCTTACTCTAAGAAGACTTTTAGGAGATCCTTGCCCAATGTTAGAAAATTTGGAACCTCCTTGCGAAAGGTAAATATTACATTATTATTTTTATATTTATACAATTGATAATATAACGATCCGAATGTCAAGATTTAACGTGTGTTTCGTTTTAGTATTCAGGAAACTATTTTAAATGTGATATACTCACATAGATCCCATTGGAAATGTTATCAATTTCAAGATACCTTTAATGTGAATGGATACAATACCAATTCCAAACAAAAGAAGCATCTACCTAATGTCATCTACAAGTATGATACCGTCATAGTAAAATTAAAATAGTTTCGCACAATTATTCGATGATTTTTTTCAGAGGCCCTGAAGAATTTCCGACGGTATTCGAAACACGCAATTGTTATCCCGTTCAAAATAGATCGGAGGTATTGCAAATAAACAAAAAATTGGACCATCTTGCAAAAAGTAAGTATCCGTGTTGAGCCAAACGAGAAGCAATATTTATTTTGAATTAAACGATTCTCGTCTTCAGTTACGAAACTCAGTAAAGCTCAGCATCAAGTCGGCATCGTCTACGACGAGAGAATGTTGAAACATTACAACGTCGTCGATGAGTCGCATCCCGAGCGGCCCAGCAGAATAAGCAGCATATACTCCAAACACAAAGATTATGGCTTATTAACAAGATGTCATACCTTCCAAGTAAGATTTTCTCGCATAATCCGTATCCGTCGCTTTGGAGCTAAATATCGAAGCATCTCTCTCGATTTCAGGGAAGACTCGGAAGCGATCAAGAAATTTTACTGGCTCACACGCAAGAGTATCTCGATAGCATCAAAAAAACCAGCGAGACGAAATTACGAGACCTGGCGAAGCAAGCCGGTGAACTGAACTCGGTCTACTTTCATCCGGAGACTTGGGACAGCGCTCGAGTCGCCGTCGGTTCGCTCTTGGAAATCGTCGACAAGGTCTTGAACGAGGAGTGCCAGAGCGGCGTGGCCATTATTCGACCACCGGGACATCATGCAGCTGACGATGCGGCCTGCGGTTTTTGCATCTTCAACAATATCGCCATTGCCGCCAAGTATGCAGTGTCCAAATACGGCTTGAACAGGTGAATATTCATAGAACAATATACTATTCGATATTCGACTAGTCAGAGAAAAAAAAGCTAATATCGTCGATCGGTTTTTCAGAGTTATGGTACTCGACTGGGACGTGCATCATGGTAACGGCACGCAGTCGATACTCGAGGACGATCCAAACATACTGTACATGTCGTTGCATCGCTACGACAACGGTAACTTTTTCCCTCATTCCAAGGCAGCGGATTACACGGTGGTGGGCACGGGCAAGGGAGAAGGTTTCAACGTCAATATTCCCTTTAACAAGGTAATTATACATTGGAATCGATAAAACAAACGATCGACATTTAACTCACTTCAACCCGTATCTTGGTATTTGTAGAAAGGCATGGGCGACGTAGAGTACACAGCGGCTTTTCAACAAGTAGTCATGCCGATCGCCTACCAGTTCAATCCGGAATTGGTTTTGGTTTCCGCTGGATTCGACGCCTGCATCGGAGATCCCCTCGGAGGTGAGTGTTTTCTTTTTTTTTATCGTCGCACGAAAAACAGCGCTGCTGCAGCTCCAGATTCAAAAACTCGCGCTCATCAAATTCAAATCAGGTTTCAAATTGAGCCCGGAGATGTACGGGCACATGACGCACTGGCTGTCGGCGCTGGCGAACGGCCGAGTGGTGCTGAGCCTCGAGGGCGGCTACAACGTCAACTCGATCGCCAACGCGATGAGCATGTGCACCAAGGCGCTGCTGGGCGATCCGCTGCCGGCGCTCGACCCGCCCAAGGATCCGTGCTGCCCGAGCGCGGTCCAGAGTCTGCGCCTGGTCATCGAGACGCAGCGCCAGTACTGGCCGAATCTCGTCTTCTCGGATCGCGCCCTGCCGCTCGAGTCGGCGGGCTTGCTGCCGAAGGCGCGAGTGCCGCGCGCCAAGCCCACTCAGCGCCTCCTCGACGGTCCACCCGCGGAGCTAACGACGATCCAAAAGTCCGCCGAGCCACCTCGTCCGCCGTCTCCTTTTTTACCAGGCAGCACGACCAGTTTGGAGGAGGGTCTAAAGAAACTGAGCGTGCGAGATTGTATCAATCCAGACCAGCAGCAGCGGCAGAACACCAGCAACGAAGGAGCACCCGGTCGGGAGGAGGAGCAGCAGAATCAATCCTCGGCCAGCTCGAGCAGCCAAGCTCCAGCAGGAGCAGCCGCCGCCACGACCCTCCAAGATTACCTTCAGAGCAACCTTCGAGCTCTGGTGGAGGAGCAGATGTTCGCGGTGGTGCCGCTGCGCGACTGTCCGCACCTGCGCGCCGCGGTCAGGCCCGTGCCGACGACTGGGATCGATTGCGCGACACCCTGCGCCGAGTGCGCCAGCACCGCCGAGAACTGGGTGTGCCTGACCTGCTATTCCGTGCACTGCGCTCGAAGCGTAAATCAACACGCCCTGGATCATGAGAGCGTCCATCAGCACCCGCTGGCTCTGAGCTTCAGCGACCTGTCGGTCTGGTGTTACGCCTGCGAGGCGTACATCGACAATCCGGTGAGTCGTTGTTGTTGTTTTTTTCTCGATGCTCTTCATCACTGAGATTACCTACTTACTTTTGCTTTCGTTCAGGTCCTTTACGACGCTCGCAACGCGGTGCATCTAAGTAAATTCAAGTACGTGATGCCCTGGACTTACGACACACCCAGAAATCACAGTGACAGCGATTGAATCACATCTTGGCAAAATATTAATCGCATAATTTCTTTGCTATAGTGTACAGATTTCAAAATCACCTCGTTAAATCTACGCATTTTTTATAAAAATATATATTATATTATGATAGAATCCGTTGTATTTAAATAATATGAAAAATAGAAATTGTATATTGTTAAGCCGTTAAAAGGAAAGATTTGATATAAAGAATATATTTTCATAAAATGAAAATTTTTTATGTGGACTTGTTATAATCAATCGCTTATTACTAATACATTTTAAATAAAAAAAAATCATATCTGTTCAATTTTGTACATACTGTGTAATAAATATAGCTCGTTCATATAAATTTAAGTGATTGCAAACATCGATAAATATTATTACAATTAACAATTAGATTTATATGCAAAATTTTCGATGATCAATTTACTTTATCAGGCTATAATTTAACAGAATTCGTCTTGCATGTCATCTTATTCGTGGATGTTCAATCTGAAGTAATGTCAAACTGAACTGACTTGAATAGTTCGATACGAGAGTGACGAATTGTTGAAATGGATCATTAAAATCTAGCATTGTTCTAGGTTTCAAATACTGCCATAATATATCCGTTGTAGGGGGTTTTTCCAGAGAAATATGTGGTGAAAATTCTTTGTAAATTTTATAAGTAAACTGTTGTGAATTATTGCGAGATACATATTGCGTAAATTCAACTAAAAAACTCGTGGGTAAGGCGTAGTAAAATCTGTATGGAATATTTTTACTTTCCCAATTTTCTTCGCATTGACGCAGAGTCGACACTATCTCATTAACGATAATATCAACATCTTTAGAGCCCATTTCAGAGAAATGAAAATCCTTCGTCAACTTGTATTTATGGCCTGTATTACTGGTGTAAGTTCTTCCTGTGTTTCTCAATTGAAGAATTCCAGTTGGTAATGGATATGAATGAGAACTCATGTAATAAACATGAGTGAGATCAGGCTTTGATTTCAGTTCTTTGGCTAAATGACTAGCCACTGGCAATATACCTCCTTGATGTATAAAGCCATAAAATATTGTCAAAAGTACATTGCTTACATACCAAAAGTATAACATTTTTGAATTTTTTTTCTTAACTTCTCTTGAAGAAATATTTTGTGCATTATTTGTAACATTTATTACATTAACAGTTGGACTCTTGATATTATGACTAAATAAGAATATTATTGGTAGTAATGCAGGTATAATAAATCTTGGTTCTTGATGGGGAAATATGGACAATACTAACACTGGTACCACATATGAAGCAAACATTAAACTTTCAACACTCTGTATACGAGGTAGTTCTAGCCACTTGCCTTTTAATCCACTGAAAATTATATATTACTAGTTAATTAACTTTCTGTTAATGAATATGAATAAAAAGTGGAAAAATTACCTATTAAACATTTTTATGCAAGTAAGCAAGCTCAAAATTCCAAGAATACTAAAGAGCAATGGTACATTTACAATAAAATGTAGAAACCGAGGATGCAGTCCATGATTTTTAAGATTATCACTCATAGAATTGTATTTCACAAAGTTGAGCGGTGTTACCACAAAGTTGTTCATGCTTATCTCAAATTTTCCTATTTCTTCCATTGTTAAATATTTAAAATACATACTGTCATAGAGAATCAAAGCTAATGCTGTTGGAATACCAAAGACTATGAAAGTGAATATCCTTATATGAAAATCTAAAAATCCAACACTAATAGATCCAAGTCCTCTTTGTAGCCAAAAAAAGATTGGAGAAAATGCATAAGCAACAAATGTTGGTCGGTTAAATATTCCAACAACAGTTATAGTTGCTAGCAACAAACAGTCGTTAAGTGAATGAGAAGGTAAAGTCATACGTAATTTGTATATTTTTGTGCGTTCAACCCCATTTTTAGCTTTGTAGTATTTTTTTGTTAAGTAGTCGCTCTGTAAAACAACCTGTGAATAAAAAAAATTTCTTCATTTAGATGGAATTAATTTATTTAATACCTTCTACTGAACAATCAATATTTTTACCTTATTAGAAAATTCCATACACCTAGATACATAGTAGATCAATACTGATGTTAATACCATTTCAATAGAATTAGAAAAAGTTCGAGTACAATATGTAAACATGATATAGGAACTAGCAAAAAGAGTCATTCTGACTAAATATGGTTCATTGAGTATAACACATATTTTATATAGACAACAGTCACAAACAAATGATAAAAGGGTCATTAATATTCTTGGAAATAAGACTAGAAAGTATGGAGTGTTGAGAGTAAAACCAAAATAGGTTTCCACATAAGGCGACAGTTGGTCCAGTATCAAGTATGGAAATCGCACGCATACTTGTGGAAACAGGGAGTTTCTCACTGGAAAAGAAATATTGAATTCCCATGGTCTGTAAACATCAATATCAAAACTGTCACCTGAAATTCAAGAAATAAATACTTTTAATTTTCGTAATAAAATTTATCCTTTATATAAAAAAGTAAAAGTTTACCTGCAGCTACTTCAATAAATTGAAAATATTCATCAGGATGGATGTATCCGGTTTGTGGAATAAAAGTAAGTACAATTCTGAGAATAGCTAAGGCCCAGTATGGACTCCTTTTTTTACAAAAATGAAAAACATTGTTTTTTTCATTATTTGGACAGCAAAAAACCAACTGTGACATTTCTTATTCGTTTCACCAAGAAACATAATCAAACCATGAGAGTAATGGGGTATTTTTTACTTATTTTTAAGAAGACAGAGTAAACATCTTTGGTATTTAATCATTGCACTATTTTTACTGTTTATTGTTCAATTTTTTTCATAGCCATTAAGTTTTAAAAGTGCAACGATGATTGGACGATGATCATCGTTGCAGTTTAAAAAAGAGAAGAGGAGGTAACTTTTCACTCACACGATATTAACTTTTTGTTTCACAACTAAGAATTGTGTTTTACAAAAGACAAGCGTGTTTCGAAGATTTCGTTATGTTTGTGTATACACCGACGTTCTAGCATCAATTCAATGCAGCAGAAGCAATTGCAATTCTGTCATACGCGAGTACTTACTGCTGCAGATACTACTAGTGCTGCGCTGAACAATCACAAGTCAAAAGCTCCAACACCCACGCGGCGACACGTTTTGACTTGTCAGTTTACGCATTATAACTGACACTTTTTATTGTCACGTCAATATAAGCAAATGCATTTTTGCCCTTACCTTTCTAAAGTTCTGCTGAATAATTTGTAACTATTGCACGCAGATTGTGTGCTGAAATTTTAAAAACGTTACACTCATTTAATTTCGAATTTTAAATAATATAATCATTTATAGTTCAATGCAAATCCAACACGATTTTATCAAGTAGCACACAATTATAAGAATAACATCTAGTCTTGTTTTCACTCCAGTTTTATTCTAATCAGTTGACAATGAGAAGGAAATTTGCGTATAATACTTGAAGATTTCAGACTATTTTCTTTGCAATTAAAAGTTGCGCCATAATTTAGTGCGGTAGGTATAGTTATCAGTAGAGAGAAGACCGTGCGGTGTGAATTACACTACACTGCATTTTATCTTGTCTGCTTCAGATTAAGTTTATAAACTCTTAACTCACGTCACGTTGTTGTTGAGTAAATTGAAAATTTTGGAATATCGATATTCTAATTGGCAATATTCGAAGGAATATTTGAATTTTTCTATCCGTTTAAAAACCTGCCAAGTTTGTAATACAGTTTAAATGTCGAATAAATAACGAGGTGATAATCGGTGCAGTATAATTAAAATTTGATTTTAATAAGTTTCATTTTTTATAACTCTTAACTGTTGTGGCAATTTTTTTTACAGAATACAACTTTATTTTTATCCAATTGACCATAGTATTATGCAAAAAGAAACCAGTCAGGTGCAACTGAACTACCTCAAAAGAATTGTGGACAATTGTAAATATAGACGTAAAATATCCAAAAAACAGAATGAGAAAGTATTATCAAGCGTTCTTGCTTGTAACAGCAATTTTCAGTGTAATAACTCTTTTATTTTACCGACATGAGTATTATAAATTGCGATATGTTCTTGAAGTATTCAATTACTTTGGAAAACCACACCAAGATGGTGTAAAAACAAATTGTCTCAAAACAGTTAATGATGTGAAAAAAATTTCATTGGGACTCAGTGAACCATTATCTTCTTGGCAAAGGCTGGATGAAGATTTGTATTTATATTCATCATTTGTTACTAACAGCAATAAAATACAGACTATTAGCTATGGAAGATTAGACAACCTAGATTTGAACTGTTTTATATTCTTCAATGAACTATTGACTCCAATACCAGGAAAATTTTCATTCTCAGTCATAGGAAATACAAGCGATATCCCTGGCAAAACTGCTTACAGGGGATATAGATTAGTTTGTGAATACACTGAAAATATGATTCCTGTTGGTGTGAGCTATCAACCGAAAGATCAACTTTTATTTAATTCTAAGAGCCCTATTTTATCAGTAAAAGTTCAAGACAAACAATTGCAATACAATGGCAGTGCAATATGTGTATCTCCACCATTACACATACCAATGTCTAATGCAGATATGATCAGTTTTCTCAACTATCATGACTTAGTTGGCATGACTCATTTTATTGTTTATGACTATGGAATCCCAAATTCTTTTCATAAAGCAATTAAAAATTTAATTGATGATGCAGATAAAGGCTGGAATTTTACCTATGAAATTATACCTTGGAACTTTCCTATTAGAGATATTCATCCTAATGTGATTAGGAAGATTATTGAATGCGATTGTTTGTACAGAACATATCATAAAGTAATGTATGCTACTACAATGTCATGGGAAGAATACCTAGTACTAAAATATCATGCTATTGTGTCTGATTTGTTGGTGGATTATGAAAGAACAAAAATGTACGGAAATCGTTACGTTGTATCTTCTCAAACATTTTGTACAGAACAAAAAGACCATGAGCGATCAAAGAATTCAACTCCAATTATTTTGAAGAAGATATTCTCATCACCTAATGCATTGGATCTTAACTTGCTTCACATTTATAAACCACATGAATCAGTAGATTTGAAAAATGTAAAATCTTTAAAAGCAGCTTCTAATTTAATTATTTTGAATCGTTATGTTTCCTGTAGTGATTACAATCCCATGAATAAATCAAATAATAATGAAACTTCCATTTTGCGGTTGGCTGGTGATATAATAAATTCACCAATACATAAGAAATTCATAAAAGGCAATATGTTTGATGATCAGTAAACATGACCAAAAAATTAATTTTTTACCACTAAAATGAGAAAGATTGGGAAAAAATGTGATAGTTTATTTACTTTTAATTTGTTATAAATAGAGTGAATATTCCTTGTGCTATCAATTTTTATAATTTTTTAAGAAAGTAAAGTAGATAATAAGTATATAATCAAATAACTTGTTGAAAGACTGCATGCAAACCAACTATTAAAAGTTCATTATTTATAAGTAACAAGAAATCAAAATGATTTTTATGTAAATCTAATGCTATTAAAAAAAGAAGAAAAAAAAAGATGATGCAGTAGCTCATGAATAGTAATAGAATTTTAATATCAACTTAGTTTGAGCCTGTTCAAGTATCTTTGTAATGTATTTTTGTATTAAATGTCAATGTGAATTGATCACAAAAAATAATCAAATAATATGAACTTTCTGAAAAACTTGATATGTCAACTATGCATGAAATAAAAATACCTAAACTATGCTTAATGAAAAATTATATTTGTACATAAAATTAAAGAAATACAATCGTTTATTATTTTTTCTCTTGACCACTATTAAGAATATACAAACATTCAAAATTATGAATCTTTGGAAAAATAAAAGTATAAAATGTTTTTAATTAAACTCCAAGATTTTTTACTAATTGTTAATTCATAGACACTAACAAATTCAATATTTGAAAAAAGAAATAATTGCTAATTTATTTCAGCCTTTGCATGATTGCAGAATTTTGAAGATTCAGTTCTTCAATAGTTTTACCTTCCTCCGAAAGTTCTTTTGTTGGAAACGTTGTATTCAAAGTAAAAGGTCTGAGTGCATATTGAGGCCTCATACTACATTAATAATTGTTAAGAAAATTATGATACACATTCACCTTTTTTTAAAACATAAAAAATGAGACATTTTTTAGAATAATTGTATTGGAAAAAGGATACTTTACGATGTAGTTTCTCACATCTGCAATTGTGTGTGTCAAATTAAATTGAGCTCTCACATTACTTCCGTCAGCTAATCTAATTTGTAATGATGTAACTGGTAAATCTGTATTAAGATTGAGTTGAGTTCTTGCCATTGTCTCATTAGCAGCTTGATCGGCTGGATCTACAGGTAATGTCATTCCAACAGTGGCTGGAGATGGACTATGAATAAATTATTATCAATCATTAAAAGTATGATAAATCAATTATTTTTCATAACAGAACTTTGTGATTATATATTTCATATAAAACATACCTTCCAAGCATATGGCCTTTACCAGTAAATGCCTTAAGTTTATCTTTTTGTGGAGCATAATCCTCAAGCCTATGATCTTCCATTTCTAAATGTAACACACTACCTGCTACCTCAGAGCGTATTTCTTCAGGAATTACACCCCGTTTTATTGTATCAAGAAATTCTTGATTGGCTGGATCATCGTATCTCCTAAGCTCCCTATTATTTACAGTAAATCCATTTTTCCAGAGCTTCAGAGACACAGCACCAGAAGACGAGGCTTGATCGTCAGATGATGGTGTTCCAACAACTTGCATAATTAAAATCAATCTGATTATATATAAATCTTGATGTATTTGAAAAAAATGTATATGAATGTTAAGTTTTACCTTCTGTATCGTTGCTAGTCATACCCAACTTATAGCCTGTCCCTCCAAATGTACTAGGCCTGCTCTGAGCACTGGGTCTGCTTGATTCTCCAGCCGTAGCACCTTGTTCTTCCTTACACGCTTTGAACATGTCTGATATGATGTCTTTTTTTTTACCTGGTCCCAAAATTTGTTGACCACTCGAGTCAGAACCCCCAGCATAAAATGCTTGTCCTTCTTCTTCATCCGAACTGCTAGCATTGTCTTTGAAGTCCCTTATTGTGCCAAAATTTGCCTTTTTCTTTGGTTTAGACTTGGATGCTTTTGCCTGCACCAATGGTTCCATGGGTGGTCTAACTTGTTCATTAGTAACCATTTCACTCAAATTTTGAAGAACTGGTCTCTGATCATCGTGTTCTTCCATATTAAATGCCGCATCGCTGTCATTTTCAAAAAAGCTCGCAAGGGCAACCTGAAAAAACAAGTTGCATCATATATCCTAGATTCATGTCCATGCGAGCATAAAAAAATAAATAAAAAAAAATCATCAACATCAATTTCGATTAGACAAAGTATACGAGGTTAAGGTGAGATTGCCAATTTAGATTGAAAAATTGGCATGAATCGACGAGGCACAATAACATTGATCTGATTCCGCAATGGAGCATAATAATAATAATTATATGTTAAAAAATGAAGACACGGTGTCTTACATCAATTGACCAGGCAGAAGATTCGAGGAAAAATTTGGCTCGTTGTGAATCGACCCCCGTGACATCTTTGAATCTTTCAATCATATCCTCGCGATTTTGATCCATGATTATAGGTAAAAATAACGAGACACTCGCAAATGAATCAACAACTGAACCGATGAGAACGGAGAGCGTATATATTTTGAAATTATCACGGCAAACTCCGAGAGCAAAAGTTGAAAATCGTTGGCAGCCGAGTCGCGAGGTGATTGCACTCGAATTAGTCGATTGTCATCGTTGCTTTTGCCAAGTCCGCAAGTTGGCCAAACTGTTTGCAAACAGTACGGTACTACGTAGTATGCATACACATTTGCAATATGTATATGGTATATTATCTATGATTTGGCAATAATTTCGAATTAGTAAAGTTATAATTTTTTATTTTCATTAAAATGTACATGTAAATATAAATTTCAGGTAAATAAAAAAAAATAGTGTTATTTATACATTGAAAAGTTTTATAAAGTATATATAAATAATATATTTATATTTTATATAGTTTAAACATGATTGATTGTTAGGATTGATTGTGTTGGTTATCAGCAGTTAACAGTTTGATAAGTGTTGTATACAATAAACGGACGATGGACAATGGACAAGGAATGTATATGGGTTGCATTACTTCAAAAGCGTGATATGACGTGTCTTGTTGTCGTAGCTGTTGGAAAACTTCCGCAACTATAAAATTTGCATAAATCACGACCACATTGATTTGCCAGCCGGATAAGCATGCAAAATGTCCCCTCCGGGACCTGTCCTGAACCCAGAATCGATTGTTTTCAATCATTAAACACATTTTTACAAATATCCAGTAATATTGTGGTACATGGGCCCTATTCTAGACATCCTAAATAAATTTTTTTTTACGTCACTCATCATCTTAAATAGTCTAAAAACAATTGTACATAAGTAACAAATGTGTCCTTAAATTATGTGACATTTTACATCATTTCAAATATAGGACCAGTAAACGTGCTAGACAGTCATTTTGACCTCTCTATCTATACAAGGGTCATCTTTCAGAACTATTAGGTACTCGATCTTTACCTATAAATATTCAAATAGTTGCACCCGAAAATCCTAATAGTAAAATATAGCGTCTCCAGAAAAAAACAAAGAATCGAACGTCTGTTTTTCAGTTTTTCCAATATTGTCCATTTTACCCACTCGAAATATCACACTTTTGACATAATGCACCACGCGAGCGAGGAGTCATTGATCGGCTCGACAGTACAGAGCCGCGCCTCGCTTGATCCAGAGCCTCGGATTGACGTCGCTCTTGAGATTGACCGAGGCTACGTAATTGTCCCTGCTCGGCTCCACATTGCCGAGCGCACGACCGGCGCTATGGTCGAGGTTGTGCAACAGCGGCGAGACGTAGAGCGGACAACGGAAGAAGCCAGGAGTAGCGGGCGGCCCTTGCGAGCTGCTGCTCTTGAGGCTCACCGGCTCGAAGCTCACCAGGGGCATCTCGTTGAAGAGCAGCTTGGGCCTCGGATTGGTCAGCGACTTGGTCTGCTCGTTCCACTTGGCGCCGACGAGCTGCAGACCGTAGAGGCAGACGGCGTTCGTGGGAAGCTGCAGCGAGTCGTCTATCGGCACCGAGTCATCCGTCGCAGGGGGGCACTTGGCCTCGAGCACGCTGCACTCGAGGCCCACCTCGTCCAGGCCGCATCTCTGCTCGCGGGCGTACGACCAGCGGACGATGGCCAGCAGCTTCCTGCAGGACATGAGGCCGGCGCACCAGTAGTGGCGCGGGTGCTGGCCACGCTCGATCCAGCCCTCGAGGAACTTGACCCGCTCGCAGAGCTCGCCGAGGAACTGGAAGAGCGTCTTGTTGGTGCGCAGCGTCAAGTGGAGCCGCTGCCAGCTCGAGGGCACGCCGCCCCGCAGCAGCTCCGCGCTCAGCTCCTCGAGGCGCCGCGACCAGCAGCTGCTGCCGTCCGCCGCGTGACCGCTGTGGGCCTCGCTCAGCTCCTCCAGGCAGCGCCTCATCGCGTCGAGGCAGTCGTTCAAGGCCGCCACCTCCTCGCGGAGAAAGCGATTAAGCGGCTCGTCCGAACCCGATTGATTGTAGCGGCTCTCGAGCCTCTCGAGGCTCAAGCTCTTCGGCAGCAGGCTGAGACTCTCGAGGCAGATGGACTTGAGCCGGTGGCTCCTGGCCTCCAGCTGCTCGCTCGTCATCGTCGTCGACGCGCAGCAGCACGACGTCTCGTTCAGCGAGGCGAGCGATCCCAAAAAGTCACCGACCCTCAGCGAGTTCTTGGCCAGGGTGCAGTTGCGATCGAGGCCAAAGTCCTCGGGCGACGTCTGCGCCGGCACGTTGTTGCGTATGTGTCTCAGGTAGTCCCTAAACTCGATGCGCTTGGGCAGTCGGTAGGCCGGCCGGCCCGTGTCGAAGTCGTAATTCGAGTCCTGCACCAGCTTGAAGTTGCAGTAGTCGAGCGCGAGACTGTCCAGATAGAGCTTGTCCCAGGGGTCGAGCATCTTGGCGCCGTAGCCGCACTCGCTGAGAAAGTAGCCCAGGGCCTTGAAGGGCAGCTTGTCCGACTGGCCCACCCAGCTCCTCAGCTGGTAGACGGCCGAGTGCAGGTCGGCCTCGTCGAACTCGTACAGGCGATTCCAGCTCTGCAGGCCGTAATTGGCGCGCTCGCGCAGCACCGCGTGCAGCAGACAGAAGCCGTAGAGGAGCTTGCCGAAGGCCCGGTCCTTGCCGGGGCAGCCCTCGAAGAAGTCCCGGTCCTTGATGGGCTCGGACCTGTAGCTCCAGGCGAGGCTTTGACGGACGTCGTGGGGCGCGTCGAAGGCCACTTTGATGCTGGCCTGCAGCAGACCGATCGGAAAGTCCTCGGTGGCGCGCGAGCTCATCCACAGACGGAAGCCGAGCTGGCTCGTGCTCGGGTCCAGCTGCTCGCACAGCGTTTCGAGCCGCTGGTGCATCCAGTCGAGGGCCAGATGGCAATTGTGCAGAAAGACCCACTCGCCGTCGCGGCGGGCCATCTCGATGAGGAGCTCGGCCTTGGGGCCTTGGCGGGGGCCCATCGACAGCGAGTGCAGCTTCGACGAGTAGCCGAGCAGCTTGGCGAAGCGCGTAACGACGGCGAAGGGCGACGTGTACGACGGCAGTATGAAGATGAGCGGCACGAGGCAGCTCGACTCGGCGTAGGGTCGCGCCACGTTGCACGGCACGAAGTTGCCGGCGGCCCCGCCGCTCGACGGGCCCATCACCGACTCGACGAACTCGGTGACCTTGAAGATTATCCGATCCGGGCAGAGTATCCGGACGAGTATGAGCTTCTGGAAGGGCGTCAGACGGTGGTCCCAGGGCTGCGGCATCGGGCACTCGTCCGCCTCGAGCGAGTTGCAGTACCTGCGCCACCTGATGGCGCTGTTGCTCAGGCTGTTGGCGAGATTCTGGAAGACGGCCAGCTGCGAGCTGACCAGCTGGAGCTCGCGCCACGAGGCCTCCGAGAGCCAAGCCGGTGCCGGATTGGGAGCAGCAGCCGAATTCGAGCCGTCCTCCTCCTTCTCGGAAGCACGAGCAGCAGCAGCCCCGCCGATGCTCATGAAGACCCGAAACTCCTGCTCGGTCAGCTGCTCCGTGTCCACGAGGGTCTTGGCGCACAGCACGAACGAGTAGACGAGCCTGTGGCGCTCCAGCAGAGCGCCGTGCACGCTCTGGTACAGATTCTGGATGGAGGACATCTTGAGGTAGTCGATGCGCTTCCTGTGGATGACGCTGCGATTCGACGTCTCGATGGACTTGACGTAGAGCTGGGTGAACCAGCTCAGCGAGAATCTGTACCAGGATTGAGAAAGGTTAAATCTATTTTTGAAGTGAAACTTCTTTAGTCGCGTTGGGTATGAGGGGCGAAACTGTAAAATTAATTAAACTTGATTTAAATCTTTTTTTATTTAAATGAAATTTAATGTCTCGAGTTTCTTTGAGTTGTTCATGCTCATGCATAGATCTTTTAGGCTTTTTAGGCTCTATAGTAGATTAAAATAGATCAGAGCGGACTTCTCCAAGATGTTATGGTTCTTTTGGGTTGCTCAGGCGAGATAATAAATATTAAATATTTGCCACGAATAATTTAAATGTTGATTACGAACCCTTTATCATGAAAATTACTAAATTTGCTAAGTGCGTGTAAAAGTCTTACATAAACAAGAAAAATATGAAAATAACTTGAAAATTCGACACCTGGAGAAGTTGAAAAAGATTATAACTCCCTGGAGAAACCCACTACCTCTGTTACTCAAATTGGTCCCTAAGCCACCTGAAAGAATCATAATATCCTTGAGAAGTCTGCTCTGATCCATTTAAATCTCCTGGAGCCTAAAAAGCCTAAAAGAGCTATAACGTACACGAGAAATTAACTCTTAATTATTTTCAATACCCGGAGCATGAATAACTCAAAGGCACAGGAGACACGAAATCAAGTTTAATTCAAAAATCAAAATTGACTCGTGAATTAAAATAAATTTAATTCTAAAATTCATATATCAATTGGATTTATGATTTTTTTAAATTGATCCTTTTACAACCCTGACCTGTACATGCAGTTGAGGCTCGGCAGCCAGTTGAGGGTACTGTAGAGGTCGGCGCAGTACTTGGTAAAGGCCTGGTAGCCGTCGCGGAACGCCTCGATCTCCTCCTTGGAGACGCGCGTCGCCTCCTGACGCTTGAGCAGATCCTGCGCCAGGCTCTTGGAGATGTCCAGGGTCCTGATGGCGCCCTCGTCCTCGAGGATGTTTACGGAGCCCGTGCCCGAGCCCGACGACAGCGTCCTCAGTATGTTGTCCTCCTGCTGCTTGAGTATGCGCTTGTTGTTGACGTTCTCCGCGAGGATCTTCTCGAACTTGTCCTGCAGCTCGGGCCGCTCGCGCGCGATCACGATGTCGAGCAGCCGGTCGCGTATCGCCTCCGCGGGCAGCAGAAAGTCCATCACCGTCAGCCGATTGAAGACCTGGGCGCCGAACCGGGGCCTCTGGCGCCTCGTCGTCAGGTAGAGCCGAAAGCCGGGCTCGCGCGGCACGGAGCAGCCACCGCCGTCCTTGGCCAGCAGCGGCTCGAGGCCGGCCTCCAGCTCGTCGGCCACGTTCTCCAGGAGCACGGGTACGCCCAGGCCCATGCCCTCGACGATCCGGCTCAACGAGTCCGGCTCGTTGGCCTTGACCGTCCGCAATTGGCTCGACTTCTCCATGCTCCTGATCCACTCGTTGGCCTGATTCTGCGGATCGACGAAGAGGCACCACATCGGCGACTGCTCCCACATTATGGCGTTCTGCAGGGAGAAGCGATTGTTGGCGAGGCCGCACAGCCGCCAGGCGTTGATGGTCACCTCGACGCCTAGAAAGTCGACCAGGTCGAACTCCTCGGAGAAGGGCACCTGGGCAGTCCTGAGCGAGTCCTGCCAGTCGGCCAGAGTCTTGTCGCGATAGGCGAGATCGAGCGGGGCCAGATAGCCGATCGTGGCGCACGAGAGCAGCGCGTCGCCGGGGAGATTGTCGTAGGCACGGCCGAGCTGGTCGGCCGACACGGTCCAGCGCGCCTTCTCGCCGCCCAGGCTGCCGATCAGCTCCTCGGCCTTCCTGAGCTTGAGCGTGCAGTCGGCTACTTCGCGCTCGAGCTCGAGCTTCTTGCGCAGGGTCGCCTCGAGGCTCTGCTTGAGGCCGGCCAGCTTGGCGCTCAGGTCGGCCAGGGTCTTGCGCTTGGCCGTGAGAAAGGCCTCGGTCTCGTCGCACTCGCGCTGCGCCGCGGCCAGCTTCTCCTTCTTGGGGGCGACGACCTTGGCCACCTCGTCGTAGGAGACCATGGCGCGCACCCACTTGCACAGACCCTCGGCGGCGGACGACGCCTTGGCCACGATGTGCGGCTGGAAGTTCTTGTCGGACATGTAGTTCTTCTTGATGGTGGCGACGACGGCAGGCGCGATGCTGTCCTTGTCGTAGTCCTTGAGGTTCTGCAGGAAGTTCATGTCGCCGAGGACGCGCTTGCTCGGGCCCCAGAAGTCCATGCTCTTGCGGCCGGTGACCGGGTCGACGACCCGCTCCGAGGGCACGCCCAGCATCACGCAGACCGCGGCCATCACCAGTTTCACCGTGTCCGGTGGATTCTTCATCGCCTTGACCAGGGTGATGTCGGTCGGCTTGAGGGTGTTGAGCGCGGCGAGCGCGTCCTCGAGTATGGGTATGGCCACGGCCAGCTCGGTCTCGCACTCCAGCTTGAGGGTGCTGGCGATCTCGGCCTTCTTGTTGGCCACCTCCTCGTCCCGCTTGACGAGCACCGTGGCCCGCTCGACGCTCAGGTTCTCGCTCTCGATCTCCTTCATGGTGGTCTCGGTCTGGCGCGCCGACGCCTCCAGCTGGGGCCTGAGCTTGGTCAGGGTCGTCTTCATGTGGGCGACCTCGCGCGCCGCCAGCTGCAGCTTGTCCAGGCCCGCCAGGTAGCGCTTGCGCGTGCTCTTGATCTCCAGCTGCTTGGCGGCCATCAGCTCGGCGTAGCGCTTGCAGGTGCGCAGAAAGCCCAGCGGCGCCACCGCGGGAAACTCGATGCCCGCGACGGCCTCGCGGCAGTAGGCCGCCCGCACACGGTCCATCCTCAGGTAGAGCTGTTGGCTGGCCAGCACCAGCTGACTCCTCAGCGAGTCCGGGACGTTCAAGCCGCGCAGGCAGTGGTGGGCCACCTGCTCGAGGGCCGGCTGGGGCCAGTCGTCGAGCCAGTCGATCGTGCAGCTGCTCAGCAGGCCCGGCCAGTCGCGCAGACACCTTCGGAGGCTCGGGCCCCGCGGGCTGACGCGCAGCACCAGATGAAGCCGACGCTTGCACTGCTCGAGGAAGTAGCCGTAGACCCGCCAGGCGTCCAGCTCGAGATTCCTGTCGCCCTGCTGGGCGTCGAGCCTCGCCGCCCTCACCATCTCCCGACGCTCGTCCTCGCTGAACAGCCGGGCGGCTATCTCGCCGGGTCCGTAGCTCGGCAGCAGCAGCTCGTTCACGTCGTCGCGCACTCCTCCCCCTTCGTCGGCCTTTATTTTGCGCTCGCTCACGAGGAGCACGCAGCTGTGGCGCTTCGACGTTCCGCACTCGATCATCAAGGACTTGAGCTGTTGGCGCCAGGCTTCCAGCGAGTCGAGGGCCGGCTCGAACACGCGTTGCCGCTCTATAAAGGCCGCGAGCTTGACGAGGGCCCCGGCCCCGGAGCCGCTCGTGCCCAAGGCCAGCAGATTGGCCCCGGGCGTCGCGAGCACTCGGCAGATACGGCTCGCGTGCTCGATCGCGTGGCCGGTGACGATCAGCTCGAGCTTGTCGTTGATCCCCCCGTCGCTGCTGCTGGCCTCGTTGTAGTCGGCCACGTACTGCTGGAGCTTGTTGCGCAGTTGGTCCCGCGAGCAGCCGCTCATCTCCTCGTACTTGCGCCTCGAGGGCTCGGCCTCGGCCCAATTGCCGAAGTGGAGCTCGCGAAAGCTGTCCCAGGTGAGCTCGTCGCTCTGCTTGGGCAGATGGTCGAAGGCCGCCTCGAACGGATCCTTGAAGTGGGCCTTGGCGGCCTCGCGCATCCTCTCGAACAGCCACCTCTGCTCGGCCGGGTCACGGATGCGATCGCCGAACACGCGCAGCACCTCGTGCGCCCACAGTCGCACGAAGGTGATCTTGGTCTCGACCGAGTCCTTGTGCACGAGGGCGCAGCCCTTCACGACCCGCTGCACGTCGTGCAGCGAGAAGCGATAGAGCAGTCGGGCCGGGCTCGGGCGCAGCTCCAGCCTGCAGGCCCGGTACACGTCCAGGGTGGCCTGGGCCATGCTCGTCACGCTGCCCAGCACGTCCTGCGAGAAGTTCGAGTTTCTCCTGAGGTCCGCCATGAGGCTCGTGGAGAATACGCGGCACGTGCTCTCCCTCGTCGGGGCCGACATGCCCAGCACGTTAAAGTGCCTCAAGAATCTCGGGCAGAGATTCCGATGGCTCGTCGTCGTCAGGGCCCCGGCGAACGCGACCTTGTTGGACACGGCGACTCGGCGGCCGGGCGTCTCGAGGTCGTGCCAGTAGCCGCGATCCATCAGCTGGCGCATCGACTCGAGCGTCGAGCTGGTCGACGAGGGGTCGCGATCCGCAGCCGCTTGCAGATCGTCCACCACGACGACGCAGTACTTGTTGTCCTGGGCCTGGTACTCGGTGCGTCGGATTCTCTGCAGCCTCATGAGCACGAGCTCTTGAGCCAGCTCGGCGCTCGCGATCGACTGGAAATTGAAGTAACAGCTCGTCAATTCCGACGACGAGGACGAGGTGGCCTGGGTAAAAAAGTCGCGCAGCAGGCAGGTCTTGCCCGCGGCGTACTCGCCGCACACGATGAACGGCCGTCGATACCTGACGTGCAGACTCAGGAGGTGGTTGAACTTGAGACTCTCCACGGTGGGCACGAAGACCAGGTCGCTGCTCGCCGCCCCCAGCAGCAGCTGCCGGTCGTCCTTGTCGTCCTTGATCTTTTCCATCTTCAGCAGGTCCGAGGCCAGGTGCCTCCAATTGCCCGTGCCCTTGAACACGTAGACGTTGTCGCGCAGCTGGCCCTCGCTCGGCAGCGCGATCTCGGCGCCGAACGGATGCTTGATCTCTCGGGGCTTGGGGTGCAGCTCGTTACGGTCGGCCCACAAGTCGAGCAGGAACTTTTCTAGTCGCAGCTTCGAGTCGGCGTCCAGATGGCCGGACAGGGCGAAGTTGGTGGCCATCAAGAGGGCCGCCTGCGACCAGAGCAGCGCGTGATCCTTGTCCTTGTCCTTCTGCGCTTCCCGCTTGTTGTGCTCCAGATTGTGATCCTCGACGGCGCTGCTGATGTACATAATAAAGAGATCGAGGCACGAACCGACCAGCTGCATCTCGCTCAGTTTCAGACCATTGCTGGAGCAGTGGTCGCGCACGAAGCGCAGGCTGGCCTCCAGGCACCAGTGGAACATGGCGCAGATGGCCGGGCAGTGGGCGCGCAGCTGCCGCGGCTCGTCGCGCTTGGCCAGCTCGTTGCGCGCGTAGTCGGGCCAGCTGTCGGCGAGCCCGGGAAGATGGACCAGGGCGCAGCGGGCCAGAGTCGCGGGCGAGCAGTCGCGCAGACTCGTCGTCTCGATGAACAGCCTCGTGTCGTCCGGCACGACCAGTCGCTCGTTCGTCGCGAGATGCAAGACTCGATCGGGCTCGGCCAGCATCGTCTCGATGCGGCCGAGCCAGGACTCGTGCGCGTCGCTGTCGAGTATCAGCCACTTTTGCAACGCCGACTCTTGGTCGTCGTGATCGTCGTTATCGCTATGATTGTCGGAAAATTTTCTCAACACGTCGCAGAGCACGCCGTCGGACCAGCTGGCCTCGTCCTCGTCGTAGCTGCCGATGAATCTGGCCAAGCTCAGGGCGCCCGGATTGATCACCTCGCAGGGTATCGTGGCTCGGCGACGCTCTCGATCGTCATCGTCGTCGTCATCGCCATCCGCTCGAAGAAGCGTCAAGACTTCCCGCAGCACGCGCAACAGAGTCGTCTTGCCGCTCGCAGCCTCGCCGACCAGTATCACGGACTTGCTCAGATGTATCGTCTCGTGCATCTGCACGAGCTTGAGCTCGAAGGCCGCGCGATCGAGCAGCAGCCGCTCGGCCCGGCAGACTCGCTCGAGGGCGGCGAGCAGCCGCTCGTGACTCGGACCGGCGCGAAACGCGACGCCCGTGAAGCACTTGTCGAGGATGTCGCGAAAGACGAGCAGATCCTCGCCGTGGAACTGCGAGATCCGCGTGTCGACGAGGGCGCGCAGCAGCAGGAGCCGCTCCGACTCCTCGGGATGGGAGAACTTGAGCTTTGCCGCCGTCGCGACCAAAGCCTTCGAGCTTCTCAGCTTGAGATTGTACTCGGCGGTGGAAGACGACGACATGAGCTCGTTGCACAAAGCGTTGACCTCCGACAGGACGGCGGACAATTGTCGGGCCTCGGCGAAGCCGGCCGCGTACAGCTCGACCTGGCAGATCTTGTCCTGGTCCGGCGCGAGGAAGCAGACCTGCCTGAAGTGCGACCTCAGATTGTCCGGCAGACTACCCGCATCCACGCGCCCACCTAGACCGGGATTCATGCTGTAGCTGAAGTAGCAATTGGCGTCGAAGCGCAGCTGATCGCCGTGCACGTTGATCGTGGCCTGCCTCGCGCTCTTGGCTTGACAGACGCGAAACACGTACTGAGCCAGCAGCGACAGATTCGGCAGCGAGCACTCGCCGAGGTTCTTGAAGCAGACCCAGGCATTGAGGCCGACCAGACCCTTGAAGATGGCCTCGAGATTGTCGTAGCGCTGCGCCTCGCGGCCGCCGAACAGAAAGAACGGCTGGCCGAGGATGCGCGCGAGATTCCGCTTGGCGTCGATCTTGCCGAGGCAGGCGAGGCCCACGAGGCCGGTGAAGTGGTTCTGCTGGCTGGCCTCGACCAGCGCCCGGTAGTATCTCTCGGTCAGCGGCGTAATCACAGAAACCCTCTCGCCGCTGCCGTAGTACTCGTAGCCGTAGCTCTGGCTGCTGTTGACGATGCTCACCCTGACCTCGGCCTCGTTAGCCTCCTCCTGGTTATAATAATAGTAGCGAATCTGGGCCTTCCAGTCGAAGTCCTGCTCCTCGTGGATCTTCTTCTCCAGTAGGGCGCCGCAGACCTCCTCGAGGTGCACCAGGAGCACCACGAGCGACGAGAGGGTCTCGCGGTGCTCGCGACTGAGCGTCTGGTGCCTGAGCAGCTGGTGGGCCAGCTCCCTGTAGGCCTGATACCTCTGGCGGCACTCGCGCATGCTCTCGACGACGCCGGCCGAGAAGCAGCTCTGCACCTGGGCGGTCCACATTATCTGCCAGACGCAGTGGACCACCGAGGCGGGACTGGCCGCGAGCCAGTCGAACGACAGCTCGTCGTTGAACGTCTCGATGGCGAGCTCGAGCTTGTCGCGTAGCGCCCGGCGCATCGCCCGGTCCAGCTGGCGGAGCCAATCGGCGAGGCAGTCGCCGCTCGTCGGAGCCAACTCGACGGGCTCGGGCAGATCGAGCCGCTCGCCGCTCGTGCCCGTAATAGCGACGATCTCCAAGGAGCCATCCGCGGTATCTTTGGCAAGCTTCAAGCGCGACACGTTGGGGAAGCACTTGCTTATCTGGCAGTTGCTCCTGGCCAGATTGTCGCGGCGAAACAGCAGCTCGACCATCTCCACGTCCGCCAGGAAGAACAGCCGCGAGAACTCGAGCTTGAGCCGCTTCAGGTAGTCGCGCACCTTCGAGGCTACGAGCTCGAGGGCCCGATCGGCCTGCTCGAGCTTGTCCAGCACGGCGGCCCGGCTCGCGGTCACGCGATCGAAGCTCGGCTCGGTCTGGATGCCTGCCTCGATCGTGCCGAGGATCTCGCGCAGCGACTCGTACAGGTCGAGCTCGTGCGCCAAATGCTCGCGCACGAGTCGCTCGGCGAAGATGCCGCCGAGGTACTTGCACCGGGCTTGGACGTGGTTCCAGAGCTCGATGGTCCTGAGGGCACGGGAGAGCCTCTCGTGGAACTCGCGGACCTGCGGCTCGATCGGCCCGACGAAGTAGGAAGAGCGCATCTTGGCGAGTTTGACGAGCTGCTCCTCGAGCAGGGCCTCGATGGCGTCGAGCTCGCGGAACTCGGTCAAGCCGCTTTGCTCTCGGTGGACCAGACCGAACTCGAGATGGCCGTCGCCCTGCTGCCACTGCAGCTGCATGGCCTGGAGCTCGTGCTGCAGCGCCAGCTCGTTGTTGGCGCCCCGACTGATGACCTCGTAGCTGGCAAAGTCCTCGAGCAGATCCAGGCCCATGAGCTTGGCGAGGGTCGTGCCTGCGTTCGGGGTCAGGTCGCAGCCCGCTATCTCGGACATCTCGTCCCAGTGTCGCTTGCGCAGCGCCGGATTGCACATGCAGCGCGCCAGCGGCACGTAGCGGCGAAACTCGTCCAGCTGCCTCAACGTCTGCCAGCAGAGCTTGAGCGGGGCCGGCTGCTGCATCGGGTCCGGATCGTCCGCCACCCCGCTGAACTTGAAGGGTTTGGAGGCCGTCTGGTCGGTCTTGATCTTGAGCTTGTAGACGCGATGGGACTCGGTCAGGCGTTGCGTGTAGTGCTCGGTCTGGCGCTCGATCAGCTCCGAGTCGAGGTACTCGAAGGGCCCGTCGAGCCAGACCGCGCGCTCCTTACGCCAGCGGCAGATCAACTGGACGAGCGCCGAGAACGAGCACACCGCCTCCTTGATCTCGTCGACCTTGGGGAAGCTCGTCTCCGGGAACTTGAACAGTCGCTCCTCGGCGTTGGCCTGCTCGCACCTCTCGCTTATCTCCTCGATCCTGGCCAGTATCCGTCCCAGAAAGTCACTATACTCGTGGACCCGGGCGGCGTCGTCCATCGCGTCGAGGCACGCCAACTCGGGCAGCACTGCCTCGATCTCCGCCCCGAGCCCGGCTATCTTGCGCTGCAGCTCGTCCTCCAGCTCGCCCTTCTTCGCCTCGCAGAAGATGTTGTGCTGGCTGAATACGGGCTTGATGAGCTCGAGCCAGTTGCAGGTGGTCGCGTTGAGCTCGAGATGCTCGTGGCTGAGCAGCGCCACCTCGCTGAGCGAGCCCAGCATCCGTACGGAGCCGCGAATCTTGTCCTCGAGCTCGCCCATTAGCTGCTTCGAGGCGTACGAGACGTACTCGGTGAGCTCGAACAGGGACTGGGTATCGTCGGGTATGTCGAGGGCGCGACTCTCCAGGCTCTCGAACTCGCGACAGATCTCGCGATTCAGCGACTGATGGAGATCGACGAGCTCGGCCAGCAGCGTTGAGACGAGCTCGTGGCCGTTGCGCTTGAGATCGGCGATGGCCGGGCTCTGATTCAGCACGCCCAGGCCGAAGTACTCGTTGGCCACGAGGCCGTTGACTTGCGCGAGATAAGCCTTGTACTTGTCCACCTGGCCCCGATAGAGATCGAAGTCGGCGAGCTCGCGCCTCGACTCGATCATCGAGGCGACTCGGCGCTTCGTCTCCTGCGTACAGAGCGGCTCGAGTCTGGCCGCGAGCTCCTCGAGGCGCCGCTCCAGAGGCTGGAGGGCAGCCTCGAGGACCGACTGGAGCTTGGCGTGCGACTCCTCGAGGTACCAGTCGGCCAGGCGAACTTTGACGTAGCTCGTCGTCGTGGGCTGCTGCTCGTTTGCATCAGATGCCTTGAGCCACTCGCTCAGTGGCACCAGGTCCTGGGCCAAGTTGGCCACTCCGTCGATCAAGCCGTGATACAACGCGTAAACGTCCCGGACGCTCGGCTCGATCTCCAGCCGATCGTTGCGGCAGACCAGCTGGAGCTTGAGCCGGGGACTGGAACCACCACTACCCTCGGCCAGCACCGCGACGAGCTCGTCGATGGTGGCCATCATGGCCTGGCAGATCCTCTGGGCCATGAAGCTCTCGGCGCAGTGCAGCAGCCGGGGCAGTCGCTTGTCCGCGCGCAGATAGCCCATCTGCAGCATCGAGCGCACGATCTCCTGGTAGCACTGCTTCTTGATGATCGTCGCGGATTTTTGCAGCTCGGCTTGGGTGGCGTCGCGCAGCCACGAGACCTGCACCAGTTCCTTGACTTTTTCGTAACGTTTGAGGCTCAAGAGGTTCTTGGGCAGATTGTAGTACATGACGTTGGACACGCTGCGCACGAGGCGATGCGACAGAAAGTACTTGTACAGAATTACCCGCCTGTTGGTCTCGAAGCTGCCGCTGCTGGATTCTAACGAAAGCGGAGCTGCTGCTACTTTTTCCTCTTTTTCTTCTTCTTCTTCCCTATCGGCGACGATGCTCTTGACGCTAAAGTTCTGCATCTCGTCGAAGTAGTCCTGCCTCACCTCCTTCATCAAGCCGCGCAGATAGGCGAAGTGCTTCCTCTTGTTGGTCCTGGGTATGAGCCGCATGATGTTCTGCTCCCACTCGGGCAGCAGCAGGCCCTGTACTGGCACCTGCTTGGCGAGCTTGCGCAGCTCCTCCGTGTACAACGTCTGTCTGGAGAGACGATTCACGCTCTTTTTCCATTTGGCGGCCACCGAGGCTGGCGAGGCTGCTGCTGCTGCTGTACCCGTCGCTGCTGCTGCCGATGTCGGTGTCCCGATCGAAGCAGCGGCGACGGGTCGATTCTTTACGATTTTCATCGCGTTGCTTCGGAATCTCTGCAACAGATCCGATTGCTGCTGTTGCTGCTCGTTTCTGTTGAAAAGATTATTGTTGTGCAGCTGGGGCGCCGCCTGTAAGCGCGGCATCCTCGTCCTGTCGTTGATCAATTTGTACAGCTCTTGCTTCTCGGCCATTGTCACTCGTATACGCGCGCACTTTTCTACACATCTATAACTCTGTCATAATAATACTGTACAATCCTATATACACACACAAACACACACCCGATGCCCGACTGTCGCTCGCTCGGGCCGCGACGGGCCAAATGCACTACTATCTGACAAAAACGTCCTCTCCTCTCCACTATCCATCCATTCGGAGAAATCCATCGAGTTTATCTGGTATCCTTAGCAACGCCTCGTATATCAGGCCTAAATATAGGTATCCTCTAAAGCGAGAGAGAGAGCCTTTGTACTTTTGTAGTGCCTGCCACTCTGCACATGATATACAAACTCGTGTTCGCGTGCTGTATTCGAGCATCGCGCGCGGAAAATTGAAGGATTTCTTACATGCGAGTAAACGGCTGTGTCGGTAACAACAACAACGTTTGACCATAGCGCGTGTCTCTGTCGCTATATGCTATCCTACGGCTTTCGCATTATAATAGACCTGCACATAATCGAAAACAAACTTTGTATATATATGTATATATGCTAGAGCTAGCAGACGACTCGACTTGCAGTTATAAGCTACTACCCTACCAACGAGGTCGCGCGCTTTTTTTCTGTAAATTGTTTACTCGCAGGCCAAAGCTCTGATTTATGTTCACGTGTTTGCGTCGTTGACTTGACGTGCCTACTCCAAATAGCCCTACGACTAAATTATCTTATCGATCGGATGGTACTTGGGCTGCTTCGAGTGCTGTGTTTCGAAAGTATACTTGTAAACATTTTATCGAGCATGTGAGCAGAACTGCGCAACGAAATCGACACACGACTTTGCCTAGGCTCAAGGTTGCATTAGTCCTTCACCCTTCGAAAAACAACTAAAACAATGAGTAACATTTACATTCAAGAACCGCCCACTTCGGGAAAGGTATAGGCACTGATTCTATTTCACGTACAATTTTTATCAAAAATAATGTTAAAAATTTAACCTCAATTCATTTATTCTCTCTGCTCAGGTTGTCATGAAAACATCCGTAGGAGATATAGATATTGAACTCTGGGCCAAAGAAACTCCCAAAGCGTGTAGAAATTTTATACAACTATGTATGGAAGGTTATTACGACGGTACACTGTTTCATCGCATTGTAAAGGGATTCATAGCTCAGGGAGGTGATCCCACTGGCACAGGGGAAGGCGGTGAAAGTATCTATGGAGAACCTTTCAAAGTAACAAGTTTGTTTCTCGTTAACTTTATCTTTCAGTGTTTAGTTGCATACTCAGTTTTTGAATTTTTTTTTGCAGGATGAATTTCATACGAGGTTACGCTTTGTCAGGAGAGGCTTGGTGGCTATGGCAAATGCTGGAAAGGACGATAATGGATCTCAATTTTTTTTCACTCTTGCTGCTACACCTGAATTACAAAACAAGCACACCATATTTGGAAAAGTTACTGGTGAAACTATTTATAACATGATAAAACTCGAAGATGCTCTTGTTGATGTGGTAAGTTAACATAGTTGTCATTTTGAAGGAGAAAAATTCCACTCTTAACCGTTTTGTCTTTTTTAGAATGACAGGCCTCAGTACCCACAGAAAATTATAAAGACTGAAATTTTAAATAACCCTTTTGACGATATTGTGCCAAGAACAGTTCCAAAGAAGAAAACTGATGAAGGAAAAAAGAAAAAGAAAAAGAAAGGAGTCAAGTAAATATTCATTTTTTTCAATTTATTGAAGAACTATACTTTAGTAATAATAAAAATAAATGTTACCAATATTCAACTGCTTTTTTACAGAGATTTTAAATTACTTTCTTTTGGTGAGGAAGCAGAAGAGGAAGAAGAAATGTCTATAGAATTAAGTAAAAAATTTAGTACAAAGAGTAAATCAGCTCATGATATTTTATCGGATCCAAAATTAAGTTCCGAGCCTATTCTTGCAGATGATGAGCCTGCAAGTAAAAAATTTAAAGAAAGTGATGATGTCGATGGAAGTAGTGATGAGAAAAGTGATAATGAAGATAATGTTAAACTAAAAGAAACAAAGTAATCTAAAATGTTTATTCTATTAATTTCAATATACAAATATGAATAATTAATACAAATGTAATTAATTGCTTGCAGAGACATGACAGACAGAATAAGAGAGAAATTAAAAAGCTCATCAAAAAAGACCGCTGAGGTAAAAAAAACAATACAAAAACCTGAATTGGAGAAAAATGATGAAGAATCCGAAGAAGAGTACTATTTTGGTAAAGAACGAGACGATGAACGTAAAAAAGAAATGTGAGTTATTCATATGTTTACGATAAATAAAAATTCTATTTTTTAATTCATTTTATTTAAACTTCTTTTTAGTGCCAAAATAAAGAAAGAGTATCGAGAAATCAAGCGTCAAATGAGAGATGAAGATAATAAAAAATTGGAAATTGAAAAAAAGAAAGAAGATAAAAAGAATAAAAAAGTCTCGAATTCTGAAATGGTACAAGAGTTTCATAAAACTCAAGAAGAGTATAAAGAAAGATTGTCGAAAATTCCCAAAAAAGGTTTGTATTTTCTATTGTCATATTTGCATTCAATACATACGTTCAATAAATTTGGAAATACCAACACATTTATTATCAAATTGGAATTTAGGTGTATCTAGAGAAGATTTTACCTTGGATATATTGAAAAAATTCCAAAGTAAAATAAATGAAGCAAAAGAAAAATTAGGAGAAGAAGCTAGCAGTAGTAAAGAAAAGACTGACGACGATGACGATGATTTAAATAGCGATTCTTTATTGGCTCACACGCTTCAATGCGAAGAAAAAAATCCAGTATTAGCTAAAGACGCAAGTACGAAAAATGATGATTGGTTCGAAATATACGATCCTAGAAATCCGTTGAATAAACGGAGAAGAGGTGAAAAGGAGAGATCTAAAAAAAAGTAATTATAAAATGAAATGATGAAAATTGTAAATTTTGTATATTTACATTAAATTTATTTTTTATTGAACTCTGTGTTATGAATTATTATTGAATTAATCTTCGTTTTTCCATTAAAAGTTATGATCATTGAAACTTTTTAGTTACGTCAACTTTATTCCTCGACCAATTATTTTAATTAAGTTTTCACTTGTTTCTTAAGTAACAAAGTAAAAAAGAATGGTCCAATATTTCTTATTGCTTTATTTGAATAAAATTGACTCACGACTTTAAAATGATAAAGATAAGTAACTAATTAATTAAAAAATTTTATGCGCATTAGGACGAGAAAGACAGATCAAACTCGAGCACACCACGTTGCGGGTAAAAAAACGCCAAATCCCCTCTTTCCGCTAGATTATAAGTTAAGCGATAAGCTTATTTTCATCATAATCGTGTCTGCACCTTATTTTAGTGCTTAACCAAGTGTGAATCGTTTCAGTCATTAACTACCGGTTGATCGGAAAGGTCCGACTCAATATTGTTTTTCTTTTTATTTTTTCTTAATTAAAATTCACGATCCAGTGGCTGAACTCGCGAAAAATTTTATCGCGTAAATTTTCCCGTATACGTGTTTATTGTAAACGTGAAATTAGCCTCGGACACGTCGCATCGATTTTTACAAGTGTCAATATCCCCAATAGTTTGAACGCAGTGTACACAACTAAAAAAACGAGATTGACGTTTGCTTCATTAGAACAACGAAGATGAATAAATATGAGAGGTCTAGGTCAACGATACCTCTTAGATTAGACCCGTTCGGTAAGTGGGTAGCAATTAATAATTCATAACTTTTTTTTATTGCAACGTTTGAAATAAACTTCGTTTCAATTTTGAAATTGGTTACCTACGAACAAATTTAATTTTTGATTATTAATTGTAAAACAAAAATACTGACCAATGAAAAATACTTTTTCGGTTATCTTTTAATATTTTGAAGAATTTTAGTCTTACAAAAACATATTATCATGCAAAAATTGAAATCGATAGTTTTTGTTTTGAATCAAAAAGTAAACTTTTAAATGCAAGTAGAATTAAAGATTATTAAACAATTTTTTTTTACCATCTTTTACCAATGACAATCAAAAATGCGCATTTAATTTTCAAGTCCATTGTTTCCATTCAAGTTATCGATATTCTTGAAAAGCCACCCGTGCTGATTCAAATCTTTTTAAATAAAATAATTATTTATTTTTAGTTTAAGGAGGTTCGGGAGTCTCAGCGAAATGCAGCCAAATTTTTAAAACACGTTTAAATGCTTTGAAACTTTATAATATGAATGTTAATATTAAAATACAACTTTTCACCGCAAAATTTTGTTAAAATGATGAAAAAATTTTTTGACCTTTTAACATGGTTTCTTACGAGAAATCATGAATTTTCGCTTTCAATGAGCATAAACATAATGTAAAAAAACAAAAACTAAATAGAAAAAAATACGTACATGTAGGAAATTTAATAAGGAATAATTTGACTGCAAAAAGAAGTTCATCGACCGTATAGTTATCGAGAAATAAATTGTTATGTGTAAAAATTCGTGGGTCATTTGCGCGTACCCTAACCAACAAATGAGCTAGAACAACAAAAATATGTGCTCATTCGACTCTAATGACAAATAGAGTATTGTTATAAGCCTAAAAAATCGAAAAAAACTCATCAAAATGATTGAATTATTAATAATAGCTATAATTGTGTGCCAGCTCATTGAAAAAACCTACAATTTCGTGTTATTTCGAAGTTGGCAGCGCTGAAAATTTAACATTGGAAGTATAGGAGCCCCTCGCGTCCCGCTTCGTCCCCCTCTGAGACTCCCGAACCTCCTTAAGGCCTCGACTGGTCTGCAACGCTCGATTCGTGTTGTTGAACCTCGAAAAATATCGTTCGCTACACCGACAATACATTTAATATATATAATATTGTGTTACAAAAACAAACGAGCAAAAAATTGTATGCATATCGCGCGTATGTATCAGAACTGAAACGTGCGCCGGCCTTTCAAGTGATTATTTCAATATGAATTGTTCGAAACAAAACAAATTGTTATAAAAATTTTTGCCACTGTGGTTTAATAATCTATGACGATATTTTGTCATAAATAGTTTTTGTTTTTTTATGTGAATATTTCAATAGATAAATTTATCGAATTAATTCGAAACAATTTTTACTTCAACTATGTACTCGGAATCGAAATTCGCGACGTTCTTATACTTGTCAGTTCGTATCAGTAAAATCCAGTTATAATGTTTATTCTCGTCAAAAAGATTTATTTGTTAATAAATATTATCTTGATCTCAGTCTCAGTATGAAAATATGCACTTATTCTATTTTTCAAGCGATCGAATGTACATTTAAAAACACTAACTAGTAATAAGTTTCCTATTGTGTACTTAATTCTAGCTTTTTGATTTGATAAAAATTATAAAAAAGTATATTGATTGTAAACCTTGCTTGAAACGCATACTTCACGGCAGGTGGTTTATTGCTAAGATAAGATTCAATCGGGTGAAATGTCCGAGTCATCGATTGAATCTTGCAAAATTGAAAGTATCTTGTCTACTGCGCTAGACATTTCGTCGACGGAGACACTTTATTTGTGCAGTTTAAAAGTCAACATCGTCTCGGATTTTCCCGTGAAATTTTATCGTAATTGTATTGACATCTTTGTATCTTCTACAATGGCCTAAAAATTGGTCAACGAATACTATTTTTTTAAATTTTTGATGAAATGTTTCTAAAAAGCTTCGGAAGTCTAGAAAGTAAATGGACAATTTTTCGCGTTTTTTTGCTATTATAGTCAGTGAAAATATTAAAAAACACGAAGTTGGATATCCCATAATAAAAATTAAGAAATATTAAACTTTCGATACTTTCTACATTGATTTGAGAAACCTGAGAACAATCAAAATTTATTTATTTTTTTGACATTTACGTAGAAGAAGGTATACGCCCGAGGGATTGGCAGCCACGTCGTACTGGTTTCAAAGGCCCATTAAAATTTCTCCGACTCTGCGTACTCGGAGTACTTTTACCAATTTTGTGCGTTGCCATACCAGTTTATCTAAGATTTCGATGCTTTTCCGAGCAGCTATATCCATTGGCTATTTCCGATCAGAGGCTGATCGATAGTAAGATATCAACAGTATGGTGTCAGGTGCGCTGAACTTTATTATACTCTTTCATTATATTTAAAGCTACAATGAACTGAACGAGAGAAATGCCAAACATTTTTGCCATGTCGTATCAATTTTGAAAGGTCATTCGATTCTCAGTGATATCTAAATTATTTTTATCTCGTACGTCAATTCGATGCTTCAAAAAGTATTTAACAATTTTTTACTTCATGGAATAAGTTAGAAACTGTCAAATTTCAATGTTTTGCAAAAAAATCTCGGAAAAAGTACCTTGCAAAAAAATATAGTAATAGCAAAGTATTGATGAAAGGCATGCATGAAGAGCAAACATTGAAGAGCCTATACCATTCCAAAAATGTACTTCTTTGTGGATTTGCGTCACTCTAGATAATTGTAAACTTCTGGCTATGTACCTACTATCAATAAATGAATTTTACTCGCGCGATCGATAAGAATATTCAATCACAGATAAGTGATTAAATAAATTTTTAACCGCCGCCGTTATTTGTTTCTTTTGACGGAAATATCAATTAAATACATTGTATCTGTAGTTTTAATTCAAGAGACTGCAACTATCATTGCAATTTAATTGAGAACAATTTAGCATAACGGTTTGTATAAATTGATCATTCTTCAAATTCAGAAACAAATTATCAAGGGCAACGCCACCTTCAATGCCTACCTGATGCAAAATTTGCCAAAAATCAAGAGCGACGTGACGCCCGTGTCGATGACGCGCCACCTCGTTCTCGAAGACGACATGAAGGAGTATTGGGGATTTTATCTGCTACGGGGCAGCAGCGTTACCGTGTCGACTTGTGTAAGGTATTATACAATATCATTTCGCTGAAAATAATTTACGATCGTGTTCGTTTAAAGCATGCGGCCTTACGTAAGCTAAATCCTTTTGAACTGAACGATTATTAGAGACGTGATAAAGTTTTCCCTGGTCGTAAAATTCCATTATTCGTTTAATATTACGAACTATACGTGCATGCAGGTGAATCTGGAAAATTGCCACAATTTTTTTTCTTATTTACACATTCTTGGATAGGTATGTTTTTTTTGATAAAAATAAATTTAACAATCTTCGGACGATGAACTGTCGTTAATAAAAAATGGTGAATCGTCCTAAATAAATGATTTATTTTGAATATTTTATGTCATACAACGAGTATTGGAGATGATTTTATAAGTCAGGTCCATGCTTTACTTTGATTATAAGATGTGCTAATTCTTTTTGATAAGATTAATCGATACAGGCTCGATTTATAAATTGTAATATTTTTTTCGTCTCGTGCACGAGATTTCATTGTGTCTATGAGAAATCCATAATTAGTAATAGAGTAGTCCAAAAGGCGTTAGTTTATTAGAGGCGTGGTTAAAAAAATGAATGAAAATTTTTATAAACCGATTATTAAAGAAAGAATAAAAATGGATGAATTGCATGAAATTTTGACAGATGGCCCGGCGCCTCGCTGACGATGATCCGCGGCCACAAGCATCTTCACGAGTGCGCGTTCATCGGGGACGACAGCAGCGAGGAGCTCGAGGAGCTCGTGGAACTGGCCCAAGAACAAGGCATCCTGCAAAAGTTTAACGAATCCATCGCGGTAAGTATAGTCGATCTGCTTTTAGAGGATAATTTGCAGGCGTTACCGCCCACCGTTGAGCCACTGCCGTGTTTGCGGGTAATATTTTCTCTGTTTATTCAATTATGCGAGCTGTGTATCTGCTTATGCGGCAATAGGCGCGAGCTCGTATACGAGTGTTTGCGCAAATATTGAATCGCGGAATCTGTTCTTATTTTCTCGACACGAGTAGTCGTGCTCGCATCGTTCGTAGGAGTATAGATACGAGCTGCGGATTTTTCACCCGCGCGCGCGCGACGTCGTCAGGTGACTAGGCAATTTTTTAAATGTCTATACGAGCGCAAATAAAAGCTCGTGCATCGAGTGTTGCATAGCGCATATAGAGATCGATTGAGGTAGTTTCCTCAAAAAAATGACTATCGGTAAAGGGTCTTGAAATTGTAACCACATATTATTGATAGTGCTTTTCATATGTGTGAGAAGTTTCAGGAACTTTAACCGAACCATTTCCGAAATGTAATTAATCAAAGTTCGGTACTTTAACATGGGATCCGTATGCTAGAATGTCGAAAGAACGCTATTTTGCGTGATTATAAAAAAACGCATCCATAAAATATTTTTAAAAACTAGGAGATGATTGTTCAGTATGTACTGAAACCTACCTAAAAAACTGGCAAAACTTAACCGTACAGTTTTTGGGAAAAGTTAAAGTAAGAACATTGCAAAAATAAAAATTTTAACTTTTTGACCCGAAATCCCCTTTTGAAGGTTTTTGGAGTCATTATTATAAACAAAAAAGTGCTCTTGCATCATTTTTCACGAGCTATAAACGATTCAAATTTAAACAATTTCAAACAATGAATCTTTGCGATTTTTTATCTCAATAAGCATGAACTTGACGAAAAATTTAAAAAGAACAAAAATGTCTTAAAATTTGTCAAGGAGAGCGTATGAATTTTTACAGATTATTTGCAGACATATGCCCGAATTTGTATATGTTAGGTTCTGAGGGAACTACCTTAGCGTCAATTTGTACCTCTATCGAACCTGTACTTGAAAACGAAAAAAAAAGAATCCTGGTCGATTGCTTTCAATTATTGCAGGACATTAGCGGTGTGAGCAACGAACCCGCCCTCATGAAACGAGTTCGTCAGGGCATCTCGTTTCACCACGAGCACAACGGCAGCAGCAGCAACAGCAGTAACAACCATCATCGACCGCAATTTCCGAGTCAGCACACGAGCCACGAGCTCGACGCCAAGGATATGCGCGCCATATTGACGCAACTCTTTCTCAAGACCCTCGACATGAAGCGACGCCAGAAGGAGAGCAGCAACGCCTCGACCACCCATCACCATTACGAGGGCGTTTTCAAAGAAGCCGCGAACATCGACAAACCTCCTGCCTTCGACGAGCAGGAATTCATCAGGCAGGAATTGTTATCCTTGAAAGACGAATCTGTAATTTCGAAAGACGACGCGACAACCAGTACTACGACTACAGCTAAAACGAACGAAGACGAAGGGATTACGAAAGTCGACGCTTTGCTGAAGGAATTGAAGGCGGAACCTTCGTCGGAGGAACTTTACGAGGACACGCTGAAGAAGATACAGGCACTGGGCGAGCGTGGGAAAAAAGTCCTCGACAGACTGGTGCACGAGATCAAGCGGGAGGATCCGCGGAGCGAGGAGGCCGTGCGTCGAACGGTCGACGAGGTCGCCACCAAAGAGGAGCAGCGTCGGCGAAAGAGAGAGACAATCTTATCGTCGCCTCTTGCCGCTGAATTGACGGAAGACGACCAAGACGGCGATGCGGCCATCGAAGAGGTATGCTCCCTAACGAAAATCATTTCGTCTACAAAAATTAATAAACTTCTATAAACTTCTATAAACTTTTATTAATTGATATAAATGTTCCGATTTGAGATTCTAGAAAAAGTTAATAAGAGCTAATAAATTAAAAAATTTTTTTCATTTTTTTCCAGTTGCAATAATGTCAACTTTTATAAAAAGTTATAATATGTTCCTAAAAAGTATTTCATATTTATAAAAGGTACTCAAAGATAATAAAAGTTAATTGATCTTTCTATTTAGCAATTTCAAATTCTGAAAAAATTAGAATGAACTTCAGAACCAGACATTGTATGATACTTTGGTTTTCATGCATGTGCCATGTGTGCATGTGTGTGTGGGATGAAATTTGTTGGTAGGGAACCATTATAATTTTCAAACGGAGAAAAATACTGAGATGAGAATGAGCTTATTTTGCAGGATATAAAAAAATTAATTCATAGCTTCTGTAAATTTTAACAAATTTTATCAAATTTTGCACAGTTTTCATTTTTTGTTGATAAAATTAAAAAACTCGCAGTTGTTGAATAAATACTATAAACATTTATAAACTTTAAAAACTTTTATAGCAAAAGATAATTTTCGATAGCGGCTACACAACTGCAACTACTTCGATATGTACGGGGCTCGTTTCATAAGGTCCTTAATTGGTTTCAGGGCGTGCTGCATCCCGACGGAATAGCCGAGGATCGCGGCACCGTCAACGAGACCACCCTCAACGACATGAGCAAGTCCGAGTTCTGGAGCTCGTTCAGCAGCTCGGAGGAGCGACTGCTCGAGTGCAAGGGTCTCATACTGAATCTGCCTCTGACGCCCCATCGCTTCTGCGAGGCCCGACACGAGCCGCGTCACGCCGACGCCTCCGTGGCCAACACCGTGACCTATCGCGTGCCCAGCGACGGCTACTACTTCTTCGTGTTCAGCTCGGAGAACGAGATCCAGCCGAATTATCTGCGCACCAAGTTCGAGCTGTTGAGGACCAGGTACAACGTGTCGAATCCGCTGCGCGAGTGCAGAAACAGGACGGGCCCGGGAGCCGAGTGCTCGCTGCCCATGAGTTTTTGGAGCAGCGAGCGCACCGTGCTGGAGCTGCCGGTGGGCAGCAACGACTCCCAGTGGAACGAGGAGTACATCGTCGTGTCGACCTGCGAGCCAAGGACGGCCGTCTATCTCGTCTGCACGATGGCGGTGCCGCTGCTCATACTGGCCGTCGCCTTTTATTAGCTTACTTTTACGCGTGTGTACCGAGTATGATCAAACTTACACGATTACTCCTATTTGCAAGACTGATGATATGTTTTTTTAACACTTTGCTCGACGATTCGACGCCAAATCCTGTGTCCAAATAAAACATGTTCCAAGTATTAAGGATCAAAGTAGTATGAATGTGATCATATATGTCTCCTTACTTATAAATAGATTTTTATTAGTTCAAATGTTACTCGTACGTTTTTACGATAATAGGAAGAAATCTAAGATTTTTCTTTATTTTAAAACTTCGACTTTTAGTCTGAATAATAGCTGCTCTTACGCAGTGTCTGCAAATCGAGTATTATGTTTATTATTCTAAGTAGAGTTAGGTATTTTTACTCACTTTTTAGCTAATGTAAGGTAAATTTTATATATTTGTATACAATTTAATTGAGTCGAATTAAATGTTTCAAGCAAAAGTAATTTTTTGGCAGATTTTATCAATGTTATAATATTTTGTAAATAAAACAAATAATAATTTTGAAATTTAAAATCTTTTTATTATATGCATGGCCAAGTGTGATTTTTTGCATAGACAATCCTTCATTATCACAATTGCTAGATAGATGTAGATTGGATAAAAGTATTTATAAAAATATTTTCTTTCCGGCGCGAGTATTATTTTATTTCGGTTTAACATTTTAAGGAAAGTTGGGCAAGAACGACTGTAAGAGTCTAAAACCTCCAACGATCCTTGTTATTGTTTGACTGGCACTATCTTTTAAAGTAATCTCTGGACGATTTGTAGCGCAGCTAGTTAGGGAGATTAATTTTTCATGCTTTGATTGTACCACGGAAAACCCGGACACCCTCCCCATTTAGGACGAGTAACACTTTCTTATCGGCCCGAAACACTCGACGCTGCTCTGGCGAATTGCGTGGCATAATAATGGGATGATGATGCTACGAAGATGCGAGATCTCCAATTGAGAAGATTTCATGAAAAAAGATCATTTTTTAAATGTCACCCATTATTGCAGCTCAGATTAATTGATAAGCATAAAGCAAGTTTTTTTTCTCTTGACAATAATATGAACGCAAGCCATGATTAATGCTTGTCCATTGAAATATTTTTTCTAAAAATGGTACAAATAGTTTAAAAAAAAATGAAAAATATATATATCACTTGCTAAATTTGCGAATGAAAAGCAAGTGAAATCTCTCCAATTGCTTTGTGTACTTAAAAGACCCTACAGTGTATTATGCTTATGTGATGCCACACGCGTCAAGTTAACACTAATAATGGATTTATTATGGGGCGGCTGCTCGACAGTGATAAGGGAAATTGATTTCTCCCTCTGCGCGGCTACAACACTCCGCATGCATCCGCGATTGTAGCACCACACCTCCGGGGGGCGCCATCTCTCATTCGGTATATATGCAGGGGCGCGACTTTTTACCTAATTTTTTTTATTTTTGTCGACTCCGATTGTGCATAACTTTACGTTATTTATTTAATACGAATAAATAAACTCGCTCATGTATCAAAAAAAAAAAAAATATGATTTTCATGGGACAGTGAGCAAATCACGAACGAGCATGGCCTTTGCTACATGGCAAACTTCACCCCTTAATTCCCTTATATACTTATCTTTCATCGATACGCAAGCATATTTCTGAACGTTCCACATGGCCGCATTTATATATATTGCAACTAAGTGACGATTTTCACACTCCGTTGCGATTAGGCACGCGTCCTTTATACCGGCCAATCTCAATTTCTATTTGTGGGCACGGCTCTACTCGTTCATAAAAAATCGCTACGATTAATTTTTCCAATTTCAAAGTTGAGTATCGTACTATATTTTCACGATATAATATATTCTATAAATGTGCTTTATCAATAACTCGTTATCGTCGCCAAAATGAACAAAAAACTACATAAAATCTTTCTCGAATTTGTGAAGCCACGTGCCTATGGACGAGAATTGATATCCTTTTACTATGCGTGCGGTGGTCGACAGAACGGATATTTAATAAATGTATTCATCCACACGATCGGATTTTGCGGTGACTTGGTGGGAAAAGTTACGGTATCTAATTTCAGGAAGTTTTTGTGTTTATCTGATCAGACTTTTTTCTTAGTTTAATAACAGTTTAATAACAAGCACTCATATACAGTATAATATATTGAAGGGTCATGATCGTAGTTTCAACCTGAGTTATGATTAGCAACTATTTAGTTTGAAAGATGATTCAAGTAGAAAAATGCGCAATGATTATGCGCTATTTTATCTTAATTTTAGGATTTAAATTATCAAAGTATAATTATTGAAAGACTTAATATGTTGAATGAGAGATAAATATACATCCAATCAAGTGTAGCATTCATAGTTCGAAATCAATTGGATCAAGCATAGGAAGAGCTTCGTTATAAAAAAAAAAACAGTTTGAAATCTACATACTCGAGTTTTCTCTCACGAAGATTGATCCGTAAATAGAATATAAGCGAGGATTCATGAGCGCATGCTTTTGGATGATCCCTGACACCCCTTCTCGAAAGCCATTCTTACGTACGTATAGATGGCTTCTAATTCGAATGTCACAATAAAGCAGCAACACGTGACCTGTGTGCGGTCACTTGACGACACTGAAAAGATACTTTGGGGTCGGCTTCGGCTGCAAAATCCCCCCAACCCAATATAAGCGTATATATATTATATAATATAATACGCGCTGATGTGCACTTGGTAACGCGTCGGCCTCTCTCTTTTTTTAACTTTTGCCATTGGGACTTATATCCAAGGGCGCGATTCATTCGGCGAGGGGTGAGCAATTGAGCTCGTCGCTCAAGCGGTAATTTGACTTTGATTAGCCTATGGGAAAATATGCTCTGTGCAGTCCTTATGAATAATATTTTGGCATAAGTGTGTTTGCACTAAGGGAGTCGATTGATATAATAAACGCCTTCGACAAATTCCGACTCGAATGCGTAAACATAATGACTTTAAAAATAATTCGAGCTTGATTATAATTTACTTAGAATGCAAAAAACAAGAGAAATAAATTAAAAAATCAAAAAAGATCAATTAAGCAATTTAAAGGGTCTCTTGGGCACAACATCGATTCGTTACAAGGTATAATGTAGCATCCAACAGCCAATGCGAGGCTCGCTTGGGATATCGTTTGTACTGCTGCTGTATGGGGAGCTCCACCCACGTTTGCTTCGATACTGCCCCGCCCTCGCCCGAATCGCGGATGCAATGTTCCCGAAGCCCCGGACCATCGTCCCGGGAATATTTTCGTCAGTCCGTCACCGAACGATTCGCAAGATACGCAGGCCGTTTCTCTATTTTACCTCGACGTTTAGGTTCTTTTATTATTTGACGATGATTTCTTTTTGATCTCGAGTGAGCGGTGTGTTCGTCAAAAAAAGTGAAGTGAAACCGAACTGATTCTGCTTATTTGAGAAAAAATTTTGACTAAAAGTACCAGTGAATATCTTCAAAATGGTACTTTTTATTATACTATTTAATCATTAAGCTATAATTAAATATTTTGTCTAAAAGTCTTGCATGTCTAAGGTTACTGCGATTGATCGAAACAATGCAACGCACCGGGCATATTAAATTACATTCTCGATAAGATATAAAAATATTCGTTATATTTCTCGTATCTGGCGAATTGCAGGGTCAGCGTCAAGGACTTGATATCTATTTCCGCTTTTGCTATTTTCATACACCGACGCTTAGGAATATACAACATTATATACCGTATATGACTCAATGAGCACGATGATTTATTTATTTTTTTTTTTCATTAAACAATGCGACACAATGAACCGCTGGCAACAACGACGACGCAGCCAATGCTTACGTACAGCAGCACGACGAGCTGCGGCGGTGCGTCGGAAAACGAAAATGGATCGCCGGCGGACTCGCTGCTGTCGGGCGAAGGTGAAATAATAGCCGAGGAGCTGGCCGGTGGCGACTCCCCGGAAACGAGCCGCGGCGACGACGAGGAGGAGGCCACCATGTCCGATGATTTTTATTCGCACGACACCGACGACGAGGACGATCAGCAAGGCAATCAGCAGCAGCAGCAAGGCAGAAAAAAACAGGAGCGCAGCAACTCCGTAAGCCCATTGACCCGAATAATAGCGAACGCATAGTGCCAAGTCGCGTCTTTCGTATAATGTAATAAAAGATTACTTAACCACGAGTGCATGTGTTTGGACGCAGGCCGACGGGGCATCGTCACCGAGAAGCAACGGCTTCGGCGAATCAGCGAGTCCGCGAGTCGGAAGCATCGGAGTGAGGAAGTTATTCACCAACAGCCGGGAACGCTGGAGACAGCAGAACGTCAGCGGGGCCTTTTCGGAATTAAGGAAATTGGTACCCACTCATCCTCCGGATAAAAAGTTATCGAAAAATGAAATTCTTCGAATGGCTATCAAGTGAGTTTACGACTTAGTTATGAACGTAAAATAAAATATAAAAGATCCGCGTATGGTAAATATGTGTTTTTCATTAAAAAAAGGATCGAAACAATATATCCTTTGCCATTTTAAATCAATTTGAATTACAAACTGATGATAAAACTCATCGGTCATTCGACGCGCGATACATTTTTCAACTGAACCAATTACGATGCAATTCGTATTTCGAACCAGTCATTATTCACCAACTCGATGTACGAGCTGACTTGCTATAAAGTTATCGTATAAAAGCTACGGTCGCCTATTATTTTTAAGGAAGTTTAGTGAAGAACCGCGTCCAGAACAGTGCCGTCCTTAACAAAAAGCGCCAAAATGAGATTAAGTACGACGGCAATGATTTTGAGTGTATTTTTTATCTCGCATATCGCGGTTGAAAGTGTGAGTATGGATTATGAATATTGATATAATTTTTGCTACAAAATGGTTTATTTTATTTATAAAAAATTGTATCTTTTTGTAGAAAAAAATGAACATAGAGGAGTTAAAAAAGATGTCAAAACCAATGATGAATTCTTGTCAAAAGAAAACGGGAGTGAAAACTGGTTAGTGTCGATGAAAAAAAAATCTACTTATAAATAAATCGTATAAAATCGTTGTTTGTTAATTGAATTTCAGAGGAATTGGAAGCTGCTGAAAAAGGTACTTTCCCAACAGGGAATAAGCCTCTTATGTGTTACTTTAGGTGTCTTGCAGTTATGTTCAAACTGGTAAGCTCTAATTGAAAAATACTACCAATATATTTTGATTTCATTTTTGATAAAGAATATTAAAAAATTCCGTTAATATATTGATAATTTTTATAACTAATTACTAATAGACCGACAAAGACGGAAACATATCTCTTCACCATTTGTTGCATCAAATTGACTTATTGGTAATAGATGAGATTGCAGCGGGTGTCAATGACATGTTGCAGTTCTGCTTCGAACACAGTGAGTGAAAAAATAATATTTCGAAAATTCAAATACATTTGTCGAGTATCGCGACGTATTAATAATTTCTATGAAAAATTATAGCTCCAAAATTGGAAGACTCTTGCGAATACATCTACGAACTCGTAATATGCATGCACAAACGAAATACAGAGGTAAACATTTAATAGCTACCAAACAATCATTAATGGATTCACATACTAAATAAGATGCATTTTTCAGATGAACTTCTTTGAAGGATCCTTACTGAGTTAACTTGATTAACGAGCATCATCGTCGTGAAAGATTTCAATGAAAGCTAAAAATATGCGTCAATCGTGAAATGAATTCGTCAGTATTGAAATATAAAAAACGCCCGTTTCTTACTAAACTTCGCAAGCTTTGATAAAATAAACCATAATTACTGTTCATAAGAAAATAAATTTTTTTTAAGAAAATTAGTTTTGATTATTTAATCTCTCGTATCTTATCATTCTTATAAATTTTATGAACCATCATAGGCAGAAAATATAACGTGCTCAATACGATGTTATTTTTTACCAGGTACATTCGCTTGTTGAGCAGCGTTTTGGAGTGGCAAAAATCTCAAGAAAGCAACGAAACTATTTCTAGCGCAGTCCCGGACATATTCATCAAGTCCGAGCCCTTGCATCAACCTTCGATTTTGAATCAGCAAACGACTGCCGCAGCCATTTATCAAGCCAAAGCTGCTATCGCGTGCATCAAGCAAGAGAACAACAAATCGCGCATCGTTTTTTCCACTTCCAAGTCGCAATTCTTAAATTCCCAAACCTCCACCGATAAGCATAAGAACAACTTATCCATGATATCGGTGCACAGTTTTGCCAGTGTAAAAAATTCAATGAGTCATTCGGCGATCAATGCTCAAAATGATTTGTCGAATCAATTTTTAGCTAACAATCTACCATCGTTCTCTAATAATTTAAATTCTTCGAGGGCTCTAAATAATAAAGCTGGCCTTGGTAAAGGTGGACATACCAGTGCTCAACTAAACTTAAATATCGTATCGGGCGTTCCATCGAACCTGTCTAACAGTGCGACCTCAAAAGCTCTTAAAACAGAAATAAAAAACGAAGATGAATTAATGACGCGCGTCCGATGTTCATCGCGTGAATTAACGAATGGTCAATTGATAAACGTTCGAAAAAGACTCAAGGGATCTTACAATAAAGACTCGGAAGAACCTAAATTGAAAATGTCTTGTTTGCGTTAAAATTAATATTTTTAAAAAGCAGGCCTTAAACTTTAATCTGTTTTAGAAAGACATCAGGAGTTGCAATTATTCTCATTACCAATTCATTTACTTTAAAAAAAAAAGGAGCGAAAAGCAAACAATAATATCAAGGGAACGAACGCGCTTGCTCAATCTCACGAATGATGCTACAGCTTAAACTTTAATGTATTTCAAGTGCATCAGTTGAGTATAAATTATTTTTAATAAAGTTTGATTATTCTAATCTGTAATGTATGTTTATTGTAAAATATGTAAACGACCAAAATTAAATAGGGCTTCTTGTTAATGTTATTATTACTTTGTAGAGAATTGTAAAAAATGTAAAAAATATTAACAATGGTGTCTTTTTGTTTGCGAATGAGTCGATAATAAATGTACAATCAAATTTTTTTGTAAAATATGTTTCTTATTTGACCAGCAACGATTTCAATGTTAACGTAAATATAATACACACATATTATATTACATAGACGACAATTATGCATTGTTTGTAATAAAATATAAGACAATTATTATTACATCATGTATGCATATAAGAACATGAATTCATTCACAAAATACAATAACATGAAATATTTCTTATCATTATAATTTTATTATGATTTATTATACACATCCTCGTGATATTTAATCGTGTTAATCTTGTAGATCATTAGTTAATTAGAAAAAAGAAAAAATTAATACCATAGCTGGGGCTGATGTTGTCTTTGTTTAGCTCGATATATGCACCGAACGAGACTCTTTTTCTTTACATCGAAGTAGCAGCATTTAAGCTGACAGTGCAAAAATTACCTTTGAAATACTTCATACGTCTAAGTCGTATTTAACACTTGAAATATATAATATAGAAATACGCTGATTAAATTATGAACTATTGGCACACTTGTTCACTTTCAAGTACATAAATTTTCGTACTGCAATTGACCATTATCGTTCAGTGCGACATTTTGGGCAGTTGTTATATGTTACAGGACAATTATATACGCGCTTTAGTACATATTGTTTCGGGTATTTTACGTATTCGGGTACGATTTATTATTTTGTTTGTTTTTACACGTCTCTATCATCTAAATATATATTAGAGTCTTTTCGTCGTAATTTGCAGCCAAGACCATTATGGTAAAACATTCGTTCTGTATAAGTGTTGGAATTACACCAAAGTGGAATAAGTGACGGTGCACTTGGTCTTGGCTGCAAACCACGAGGCCAAAAACTAGGTGAGATAGACTTTGTATCTGGTGCTGTTCCTTCTCTGTCTCGAGGAGAATCCGGGACCCTTGGCGGTGGCCACGGAGGCCGCCCTGAAATCCTTGTAGAGGTCCTCGATCTCGGGCGGCGGCAGCGGGGTACGGGGCCTGCCCGGCATCAGCGCCGGCTGCGCGCCGCTGAGCCTCGGCCTCGGCTCGTACTGGCTCATGGTGCGCCGGTGCTGAATCTCGACGCGACGCTGGCCGCTCGGCTTGTACTCGATGCTGCCGCGCTTGCCGATCAGCGGACTGTAGACCGAGGCCGAGGAGCAGCCGCCGCTGCTGCTGCTCGACTCGGTGCTGGGCAACCTCGAGGTCCTGACGCAGATGGAGCCGGTGCGGAACACGCCGGCGGGGGGACCACCAACACCGCTCGAGGACGAGCAGCTCGCCTCGGAGACGAGCCGCTGCCGACGCGCCGGATTCTCGTAGTCGTCCGAGTAGGTGCGACGCTGATCGCGCAGCTTGAAGGGAGCAGCTACTCTGGGTCGCGCTGCCGCCACCGCCGCCGCCAGCAAGACGTCGTCGGCGTTCACGGGCTCGAAGACCTGCTCCTTGTTGCTGCAGCTGCTGGAGCTGCGCCGCGACATCTGCGTCGGCGGCTCGGGCAGTTTGCGACGGATCGAGCCGCTCGACGACTGGAGCGAGCGCACCGAGCAGATGGACACGCGGGTGCTCGACGTGCTCGGGTTGCTGCTCGACGAGGTCGTACGATCGTTGAACTCGAGCTCTTGACTGTTGCGACGCACCTGCGCCACCACCACCGGGCCGCCCGATTCGACGACGACTTGCTTGTCCACCAACGTCGACTCTTCTTCCTCCAGCAGCTTGTATTGCTGCTGTTGACGAGTCACCGACTGCTGCGGCAACGATTGCGAAGTTTGAAGCCGTTGCTTCTGCGCTGGAGGTTGATTTGGTTGTTGCAGTTGCTGTTGCTGCTGCTGTTGTTGAGCGTTCTGAACGTGAAGAGGTTTTTCTTCTTCGCTGCTGCTTTTACTGATCCACAGCAAGCTTCGATCCGAATCGCGCCGGACTCGCTTCGGCCACTCGGTCTCGGTCTTGAAATCGTACAGCTCGCGCAAGCGCTGCTTTACACGGCTGTCGTCCGGCACTGTTGATGCATAATAAAACCAAATTTCAGTTACCTCTTTCGTCTCGACTCGCTGTAGAAAATTCTTGTTGAACTTCAAAATTTTACAAAATGCATGCCAAAAATCAATTCAACGATAGTTAGCTGTTTTCATTGAAATTATAAATTATAAAATTGATTTTAAAAATAATATGAACACTCCCGTGAAAATTAAAAAATAAGTAACCTTTTATAGGTGAGCGATCACCCGTAGTATTTAAAAAAAAATCATTTTACATTTTAAATCAGGGAAAAACTCAAGTTAATTATTTACAATTTTGTTCTATATTTACATTTGCAAACATCGATATTCAGACATTGGGGACAAATGAACATATAAACTGAAAAAGCAGATTTACTTAAATGATGAAAAAAAAAAGTTAATGCTATTTCTAATATGATATGTATAATGAATTACCTGCATGGTATCTTGTTGTTCACGAGATAAATCTGCATCTTCCATGAACATACGTACATACATTATATATACAAAGATTAAAACTTCACCGTTGATAACGATTATTAGTTTATATTAAAAAAAGTATTATCGAAAATAAGACGTGTCATGATTGGAAACAAAATGATGTTGATTGAAAGAACAGTTGATTAATTCAATAAATGAATGCCAAATATTTTGATTTACAAAAAGTTGATCATCAACCTTGTTCTTTCAGTTTACAAGGTAATATTTTCCTTGCATGCAATTATAAGAAGACAAAGTAGTTTTTTTTTTTATTAACTTTTGAAAGGTATGATTTGAAAAATTTATTGCGACAAAATTATGATTTTTTTAATATTTTATAAAATGGAAAAAACCGGGAAAAAGAACAAATTCAGAGTAAAACAATTAGTAAAATAAATCGATTCGAGGATTTTCATTTTTAATTGTAATATTGAATCGTTGAACTTTTAAAAATATTCATTCACCAGACTTAATTAATGCAAAGACTCAATTTTCAAAATGAAGGATATTTGGTAATGTTAAAATTGAAACACGTAAGTAATATATAAAATGAAAATGAGCGTGTCCATAGTTGAACTTGATAAATATTTATAAGTGTGGGTACACCTATAGGTAGATTAGCAGGTTCACAACAAAAATCGAGGAGCTTCGGATAAAAATATAAAGGAAAAAGTGGAGTAAACCGTGTGTAAGCACCTTGTGCCTCGTCTCCTCTATCCATGGAGGTGGAAGTGGTCACGTGGGTCGCCGTGGACGCCGTCGCGACCGGGCTCTTGACGGTCGTCGTCGTCATGGTCGTCGTCGTCGTCATCATCGTGGCCGTCTGCGTCGTCGACTCGAATTTTCTCACGGGCTGCCAGCCACCGAGCACGGCCACCTCCTTCTTCCTCTGCTCGTCCTTGGCGGCGGAGTCCTCCGGGGTCACGGTGTCCTCGTCCTCGGTCTCCTCCTCGACCCTCGGCGTCTGCTCGGACTCGGACATCTGGCGCTCGGACATGCGCCTCTGGGCCGGACTCGGGGTGGGATTGCGCACGTAGGTGAGCCACCGATTGGGACTGCCCGGCGGTTGGGCCGCGCCGTCGCTCGTCCGTCGCCCGATCAGCGGCGAGGGTATGTAGCGCGAGCCCGGCGTTATTCCGGTCTCGGGCATCCAGCGATAGGAGAGCATGGGCACGACGGGCCTGTTATGGTGGTGGTGCGCGTCGCCGAGATTCACGTAGCGCTCGTTCCAGCGGGAGGTCGCAGAGTCCCGCCTCGCAGCCATCATGTAGCTGACGTCGGCGCTGTGGCTGCGCTGCGACTGGCGGATCATGGCCGCGGCCCTCTGGGACTCGTCCTCGAAGCTCAGGTCCGCGCGACAGGTGCCGATGCTGTAGCGCGCGGGTACCCACTTGGCCACCGGCTCGGCTATCTCGCGGCCGGAGGCGTTGGTTCTGCGCGGCGACAGCCGCTCCACTCCCGGATTGTAGTAGATGTGTCCTGTGTTGGCCACATAGAACAATGGCATGATTTGGCTTGAAAGCGTTACGCGCACCTCTTGCCGACACAGGGTTGTAAAAGTTTGAATCAATTTTTAATTTAAATCCAGTTTAATTCACGAATCAATTTCGATTTTTGAATTAAATTAATTTTATTACCCGAATCAAATTGATTCGTGAATTAAACTTGATTTAAATCAAATTTCATGTCTCCAGTTTTGTTCAAATTGTAACGGTTGCTTGGTGTGGCAAAAACGTGCAAAATTGTCGCGGCTTTTCTTCTTGCTTGTAAAATTTTCAGTTTGTTGCTATTTATCGCTCCGCAAGCTTATAGCTATAGGTAGAGCCTTTTCGCCCTGGCCAGCCAAGCTCTTATTTCACGTCAGCGTCAACCCTTTGATGCCAAAACACTTACGTTATATTTCGTCAAGTTAAAGTCAAAATTTTAGTTAAATAAATACAGATTGTTGTTGTTGTGTTTTTATTGTTAAACGGAGTGCACGAATTATTTGGTCACCCTTAATTCAAATAGCCAAGAGTGAACTTCTCGTGTACGTTATAGTTCTTTTAGACTTTTTAGGCTCCAGAAAATTAAGATAATATAAATACTTTAAATATTCGACACCTGGAGAAGCTCAAAAGGATTCAAACTCCCTGGAGAAACCAGCTACCACTGAAGTCTGCTCCGGTCCATTTAAATCTCCTGGAGCCTAAAAAGCCTAAAAGAGCTACAACGTACACTAGAAATTCACTCTTGGTTATTTTCAATACCTGGGGCATGAATAACTCAAAGACACTGGAGACATGAAATTTGATTTAAATCATTAAAGATATAAATAAAGTTTAATTCAAAAATCAAAATTGATTCGTGAATTAAAATAATTTTAATTCATAAATCAATTAGATTTATGATTTATGGTTTTTTTAATTTATTTTTTTTACAACCCTGTTGCCGAATAAGAATTATTTTCATCAAAAATTTACAGTGATTGGGAAATCGATTAAGGTGAGAGATTTTCGCATTACCAAAAAGCATCTAATAGAATTTTTGCGACAATTTCGATGCAGGCTCACAACAAAAATTACCTTAAAAAATGTAATAAGTTCAAATCTAGAAAATCATATATGTACGAGTTTCTACGGCATTTATCTATATAGCATTCAGCGATGTTAATCATCGACTATATATTATGACAGAAAATTATCCAACAATATATAATAAATACGAGGGTGAATTATAATATCAATCGATCTACGTGATTTTCTGCCAGTTACAAAATCTTTGTCACCTTCTCTATTTCCAGCTGAGTCATTACCTCCGACGATCTTCGTTTTCGCCAGAGTGTTAATCACGTTTTCCCGGGCCGGTAGGGAGGTTCTCTTCGAGAGCGGTATCCAGCGCGACACCTCGCCGGCCTCGGTGTGCCGGCGCACCTCCACCCGCTTCTCCATGTACTTTTTCAGGCAGTCGACGTCGGCGCTGCGGCTGCGCTGATTGCGCGGCGAGCGCGACGGTCTGCGCGATTGGTTGTCGGCCGTGCCCAGAGGGCTCATTTGATCCTGCGTGTTCGACACACACATTAAATGCATTTATTTATTTTTTTTCCTCGAGGCGCGGCTAATAGCCATTACGATTAATTTTGCGGGCAAAGTAAATTATGAATTTGGTGGTGGCGGTGTTTTCTCTCGCGTACGTACCTACGTAAAGTGAAGCTTAACGTAATCTCCTATGTGTAAAATGCCGTGCTCGGGCGACGCGACGTGCAGACTCGCACCGTTGCAGCGGACGTTTATCCTCGGATTGTGCAGCTCGGAGATCTGAGTGCTGCACGCGGCGGCCGGATTGCCGCTCGCCGTTAAATAATTGCCCCAAAATTCATTACCTGTGGCGATCGGGTGAAGTTGCATTATTATTATTTAATTTTCATACACGCGTAAATGACATTTTAGCCGCTGCGCGTGTACCTGGATACGAGTTCGAATCGGCGGCGTACGTAACGACGAGCAATTTATTGGCGTCGCTGGAGCGAAATAGTTTGGTCTGTGGCTCCCTCAAGGCAAAGTGTATCCTGATATCTATGAAAAAAATAGAAAACATGAGAAATCATTCGATCGATGAAAATTTATTTAACGAGTGCGTCTACCACTGACCTCCGAGATAATCCCCGTTGGAAGCTCCGCCGCACTTTTGGTGGCGAAAGTACGAGAACATTATGTCCGATACGTACCTCAGCTTCTTGTTCATTTTGCGCAGAGCTATCTCGAAGGTCTTTAAAAAATAGATCTCCTGATCGTGCATGATTTTCCAGACATCTGCAAAACATTTCGATCATAAGCACGTATAAGCAAGCAAGGAAGTAGCAGCTCGTACCCAAGCCGAATCCCACGACGTGCAAGAAAGCCGTGGTGTTGTGCTTCTCGGCCCTCGTGTTGGCCTCGAGCAGAATCATCTCGACGGACATGAGGGTTCGCTTCATGTAATTCTCGGCGTCGAATATCACGTGTCCCGTGAGAGTGACGTACCTCTTGTTGTCCTTGGCTTTGGCCCTCTTCAGGGCCTCCTCGTAAAGCGGATGATAGTCGTGGCCGTAGAAGCGCGCCCACACGTTGCGCAGCTCGTGCTTGTCTTGCGGAATATTTTCCACGTACGTGCCGTACCTGGACAAGAGTTATCGTTCAGGACTATGTTCATTCGAGTAAGTGCAAAGAGTGTGATCCGCGGCTTACCCGTTTTCGACGCTATTTTGCGAATGCGATACGAGCACATCTTGATACTCCATGACGCGAGCTTTTTCAAACCTGATGAACACACACGATTCGTTCAACAAGACTCGTAATTTAATTTCGAAAAAAAATCAAAGTACCTCGCGCCGACCACGCTCATGATGACGCCACGGTGCTGTATCGAGTCCGGGTCGTCGCAGACGATGCCACGGTTCTCTCTCGAGCCGTCGTTGATGAATTCCGTGTGCGACGAGACGACGATCATGGCCGAGAGCTTCATCTCGTCGTAGGACAGACAGTGGGCCAGCACCAGGGGCTCCTTCTCGCGCTCCGTGCCGACGTTCTCCCAGCCGCCGTGGCCCGCGCGTCCGTCCAGCAGGCAGTAGCGATCGTCCGGCCCGTAGAACTGCATGGCGCGCGCCTCCAGCAGACGCTGCACCAGCTGCATGAGGGTCATGTCGCGGTAGAGGGCCCGCTCCACTTTGCTGCCGTACTGGCGCTTGTGCCGCAGCCAGTTGGCCATCAGTGGGAGTGTGGCCTCGTGTATCAGCGGATAAGCCGAGTTGGCGTTGAACTGCTCCGCGCATCATCCGTGGCGAGATTCGAGACGCATCGACGACGACGATGATGAAAATTGAGAAGCGTCAAGGTGTGCGTTAATTATATGGCTTTGAAATTATTGCGCACTCATGTCACGAAGCCATGAGCGTGCAGCCAAGAGCGAGAGAGAAGAGAAGAGAAGAGAAAGGGAGAGATGCAGATGCTGCGATGCGTTTGTGTACGTAATACATCGAGAGCTGTGTGCCAATGACGCGATGATCAAGCCTAGCCATGAGCTCGCATCTATGCCCTTTGGACTTTGTAATGAATTCGCAGCTCGCTGCAGCCTACAGGTATATAGCGCGCATGGCATTGTGTCGTGCATCACTGATCTCTGTGTGAGCTATACACGTGCGGCTATGCTATATGAGTAAATCTCGTGCAAATTGTAATATTCGTGTCGACTCCGCGATATTCGTGTGAAAACTTAAAAATTACCATTCCTGGCATTGTTTGTTTGTGTTAAATTTTTAACTATTTCTTTTCTTGAGAACAACTTCTAGTGGGATCCAAACTTAAATTCATACAAAAAAATGCATTTTACAGCGTTTTTTAGGCATTTTGAATTTCAACTCATCCTACTTTTAATTTTTAAATTCTGATTGCCAATAAGCCCATCGAGCTTTTTTATCCAAATCATCGAAAAAAAAAATCCTCAGAAACTGTGCTTTCAAAAGAAATGTCACTGAATGGTGTACGTCGTTACCCGAACTTTCTACACTCTTAAGAAAATTTCAACTCGATTTTTAGTATTTTAACGATTTTTTTATAAAATCCCAATATCCCAATAGGCCCCACCATAAATCATTGCCAAATTATGGGGAAAAATAGTTTTTTAGTAGCAGAATCGAGTGGTGTGTCTATTTTTAGTGTGCGTGCTTTGTAAAAAAAGTTATATACGATATAAACATGATCTTTGCCCGCACCCATTGTTGATTTTCAGTGCGTTTTAATCGAATTTTGCATTGCACATCAACAGTTTTACTTTAAATGGCACAATTTATACTGACCATTTTAGTTTTCGACATTTTGAAAAAGATAACGCAATGTGCTTTTTTTAAATGTTGAAATATTAAAATTTTAACCAAGTATAGGATCACATTTTGTGTAAAAAATATGTTCAATCAGCTTTAGCTTTAACATGTACTTTTTTAAATCACCAAAAACCCTCATCCAAATTTGATGGGCACTATTTTTTTCAGGTTTCTGAATTACTTACAAGTCCCAAAAAAAAATTTCACAGGTGTGCTGTATACAAAAAGAAATGTTTTATTTTAGTAGCAAAATAATAAAATTTCACGAGATTTACTCATATGTACGAGTATACGTACGTTGGAGTGTACGTATAAGTTCGTCGAATGAAATGATGCAATCGTTTTTTGAAATTCATATACACGGAGGACTGGTGGTGCAGCCATGCGAATCGAGCGGATCGACTCGCGACTTCGACACATCCTCTATATACGTACGAAGAAAATTCGCAGCTATATATACTGCATCTATTGGCTCGCTAATATATATCGTACATAGTATAAGCCAAGTGCAGTTTTCGGGCTTTGACTGCAGCTTTTATTCGCGACGCTTTGTCGCGCCATCGAATATTCGATATACGACTGTCAAATATTTGCGCGCAGACGAAGAAATGTGATTCGCGAGCGAGCGTACGTATATAGTAGCATCGCCTTAGAGTCGAACTGTATAGCTTTGCAGCAGACGCTTTGTACTTGATATATTGAGACAAACAAAAAAAAAAGATCGGAAGAATGTCCAAGTCGAGAAAAGTTCGAATCTCGTAGACGATTCGAGCGCTATAAAGTTCGCATCTTCACCCTCTCCCTCGGTATTTTCATACACTCTCACTTTTAAAGTCATCGATAGAAAACTAAAAGGAATCGTCTTCCCTGCTGCAGATAGAAAAATGGGGAATCCTTCTCTCGATCGATCGACATAAATCTAATCCAGCAGGAAAATTTCTTGGATTAATTTCCGTTGCAAATGATATTACCCGAGCCAATTTTATATCTATCTGTGTACCTCGATAAATATACATGTATACTTGTTGCTTATACACATACGTTAACCTTCGATTGAAACGTCCGAATTAGGATAAAGGAAAGCGCGTTAAGTATGTGCTAGGCTACACCCTTTAAAATTCACAATTCCAAAGCTGCGCATCTCTCTCTCTCTCTCTGAATCTCTTTGCCAAGGTAAATCGAGCCTCGCGCTGTTGCAATACATACCTCTAAAATGTCGATGCCTATGCCTCGATTTCTCAGGGAAAACGATCGCACGGTATTTACGGGAAAGGGCACGGGGAAGTTCTCGCTGCGCTTGATGATCTCGGTCAGTGTCGTGGGCGTCGGCATCTTCTGGTCGATGCAGGCGCGCAACAGATCCTTGGTCGCCTCGTCGAAGGGCACGCCGTTCGGCGCCCCCAGGGTGTTCTCCCAGCTGATGTCGGGCACCTCGTCGATGAGCTTCTGGCTGGCTTCCGTGAACCTGCTACGCTGCAATAACCAATGAGCCGTCATTGAAAAGGCTATATTTTATTTGATTTAACATCGTTTATTTCATGTCTTGCAAAGCTATATAGAAGCTCGAACGAGTTGGCATTATGATCACGTGCGCAAGTTGTATCGGAGGAAAAACAAAGGGATAGAAACTAGCTGATTATACCTAGCCGGTGGTAATTTTTACGCCAAGTTGTGCATTATTACGAATGCTGCTGCTGCTGCTGCTTCTCTCATTCGCATGCAAGCAGGTGTATAGGCCGCACAGGCGCCAAGAGGGAGAAGTACGAACTATCGAAGAGACAACTTTGATAATTCGTAACTTACATGCGCACACACACGCATCACAAGGGAAAACTCTCGGAGCTCGTCGTCTTTCACGAACGAGGTTAAAAGACAATTACTCGGCTCGCGCGCGCCAGGCCCCCGTGTGTGCGTGCGTGTGTATGCGAGTCGAGCTTGCACAAGTTAGCTGGCAGTAGTCACACGATCGTCGTCGCGGCGGCGGCTCTAAAAGTTGAGAATAGCGCGGGGCACGCAACAACGCGCAGCAACCCGTACCAGCTAGGAGCGAGTAGTGCACAGCATTGACCGCATACAAATCAAGCATTTCCATGTATTTAAATGAGCGCCCGAAGCTAAGTAGCTCGTGTCTCGATGTAAATAATAATAATACACAAAGCCTACAATTTGTTTGCCCGGATGGCGCTTACTGATCAAGGCGCGAGCTTGCGAAAAAAAGTCACTCGGCGATTCGATTGGATATCGTCGAAGCGTCGAGCAGAGAAAAGTATATAAGAAAGCTCTCGATGTTTCGTGTATATTGTTCCGAAAATGCGTCGTTGAGTCGTGGAATATTGATTGAATTTATTGAACAGAGAATCCGCGTATACGTTACAGGCGGGCATATCGACGAGCTATATAGCCCTGCCATCGACACACGGGGGCATCGACAACGTCATGTGTATATATTGGTATATGCTCGTCGCGCGCAGCAATTTTTTTTTTTTTTTTTTTTTTTTTAAAGCAAATAAAGAAAAAGTGAAGCGGTGGCGAGTGTGTACACTGTGCCTGGCTCGGTCCATGTCTCTGTACCGCTTGCTGCCTATATAAGCCCTATAAGCTATTAATAGCTCGCAGGCCCTGATTGGAGCAAGGCCGACAACAACACATCGGCTAGGCATCAACGTCGACGACGACGACGACGACGACGATACTATGCGCCTTTGATGATTCGCGGGCATGAAATCCGCTAAGTAGCGGAAAATTTATCCGTTCACCCTAACGGAAGAAAGCCCGCGCTGAGGGAGAGCGAGAGAGAGAGAGAAGCACATACAACGCAATATATATACAACGACGTAATATATACAAGGCGCGCGTCGCTTATCCGTTGCTCTTCGAGTCGTGTGTGTGCTTTACACGCGTTATAACAATGTAGCAGCGGAGAGCTGCTGCATGTGTAACATAAGGGCCCGATCCTATAATAGGCTTCTCGCATATATTTCCATATGCAGCAAAACAACGAGCAAAACGATAGATCGTATCGAGCTCTGGAGAGGAGAATCGTCGATTCGATTTTTCTTTCGTCGGTTTTCACACCGATGGTTATACTGCGGCCGGGCAGGGGGGGCGGGGTGGCTCGAGCTTGCAAAATTAGAATCCGAGCAAACAGTGGTTGCTCGCGAGAAGCTTAATCCGCTCTCTCTCGTCGGCGGCTCTGTTTGTTGCACACGCGATCCTTGAAATCCGAGGACAAAAATTGGTACGCGCACGAGACTCGAGGCTGGTGCAGGTATAAACAATGTGCGAGCTTGCACACACACACACACCATCACCACACACACGTGCTTTAGTTACGCGCTTTTTTTTTCTCTCTCTCTCCCTAGCTTCCCTCATTGTTTGACCTAGTTACGCAGACGACTGAAACAACAGACTCCGCGGCACATACACAATGACGTTGTCTCGCGCTCACTCACTCGGCCTACCGTTAACACACACACACACACCTATTCTAACTCTCTCTTTCTTTCTTTTTATCGCTAAATGAGATTATTCCTTTTTTTTCAATGAGCGAGAAAAGCTCCGTCCGCCAGAGAGAAGCTCCATCCGCACGGAAATGTTCTTCAAACCTTATTGACTGGACAAATGCTCGGACATTTATATGCGCGAGCGGCTCGAGCATATACCCGAGAAAGAGAGAAAATCTTCTAGCCGATTAAAGAAACATCAACAACATCCACAGCAGCTCCTGTATATTCTTCCGACAAAGTTTCGCAAGATCGAACAAAAGTTCCCTACGCGGCGCGGGGGCTTCGAATATTGCTCCCGCATCCCGCATTTACTTTCGCCCCCGCCGGCGCACTGCTCGATTTGCCGATGAGAAGTTATTATCAAGTTTTTTACGCTCGGCGATCGTTGTTGCACCGCACCACCTCATCGGATATCAGCAGCTACAAACGAGATTTACGCGTAGACCTGGGATCGCTTGCTTATTCCGAGATATGAATTTTCTCAATTATGTTCCCAAATGAAGAGGCACGCGCGCGCTCTGTTTCCGTCAATTTTTTTAATTTCGCAATTAAAATGAAAAAAAATAACACGTAAAGAGAACGGCAGGCAGTTTATTTCATAAAATGCATCGCTATGTGCGTCTGTGTTTGTCTTATAAGCGCTCAACTTTTTTATTAACAAAGTTACGTCGGTTCAATAATCGATAAACTATATCATTGAGTCTTAACATGTTCGTATATCCCAAGCATACGATATATCTTTTAATTGCGGTAAACAAATAACGAACAAATATCATATAGTCGTTCCATTTTTTTATATATACCCAAGCATACGATATTTTTCAATTGCAGTAAACAAATAACAAACAAGTATCATATAGTCGTTAAATTTTTTTTAATCGTTATTTTTTTATGAAATTCAAAGTATTGCACAATTCGTTGGAGTTTTTACTACCACCCGCGATTTTATTTTAATTGTAACGATGCAATTACCAATAATAGAATACACAAAAATTATCGTATAAAATTGTGTAAAAAATTGTGAAAATCTCATAATCGTGTACTTACCCGTCGAAAGCAACAAGCTAAAAACGACATGCTGACCTGTTGCGAGTCCGTGTACGTATAATGCCAATTGTCTCTCGGAGCGCGAAGCACACTGTTTCGACAAACGATTTCGTCGTCGCACTGATGCCTCCTCTTTGGACGATCGCTGCTGCTTCGAGATTCACTTTTATAAAACTCTCGGATCCCGAGCCGTTTACTCAACGATCGACGACAAAATTATAAATCTTAAAAATTCGGCGGCTACTTCTCCGCGGCCTTTCGGTGGTAATGTGCAAAATTTTGTACATATACCGAACGAGTGCGCGTCGCACCATTAATTAGTCTTTCGCCATGCGCTCCTCGTCTCGATGATGCGAAAGCGAGAATTGAAATTTAGCGCACATGCGCTGCTCGGCGCTTTTTGCAAGCTCTCGCGCATGCTCGCTCGCACATCCCCATGTATCATGTTGTACAATTTTTACCTCCCTTCGCACAACGAATTATCCCATACTCTTTGTAATGGTTTCTCGTTAATTATTTCTTTCCATCTCCTAACTGTCGAAACACTAATATTTCACGCGTTTATTATCACTTTACATATTTTTTTTTTAACGGATCTGATTAAAATTAAGTATCGATGTTTACTGTGTAACATTAATATTTTTTTTTCGATATTTTTCGAATAGGTAAAATTTAATTTTACCAGTGAAATTTTTATGATATTAAATACATTTGAATACGAAATACAATTAGATTTAAGATTTAAAGCTACATAAGTCTATTTCGATTCAAATTGAGAATTTAAATGCTTTTAGAAAAAATGGCCTCCCCAAATGGTTTTAAAAGATTTTTCAAACGCGGAGCCCATTTAGATGTAATCAACGATACAAACCCAATGAATTTGTATCGATGGATTGATTTATCATACAAGAAATAGTTATCATGCGAACTCGTATCGATCGAGTTCAAACAGCGTCCTGTTTTGCCGAGTAACGTTCGGCCACGAGCGTACAGTTGTCGCTCCGAGCGTCGATTTTCGACGAGATGTCACTCGTTATATACTCCCAAGTAGAATAACCGATGCAGTCTGTATCGATAAGATGAAATTCATAAATTAAAAATCGATATGGTTTAATTTTTTTTAATCGGCACAGTTTACAGGCACAAATTGGATAATTGTCGTGTAGTTAAAGATACCGCGGCCAATGTATCGATGCTGCGCACTCAATGACAATTGATATGTAAAAATTGATCGAGCATGTACTTTATCAAACGCGCTTATAGGAGCGCTTGATATAACTTTTCATTATAGTAAATTTATAGAATTGCGATCATCGCACGTTGTGTCAAGACAAACACGAAAGTAAAATGATTTCCATGATCAAAGGCGCGCACGATGGATGAATCAGAAGTACAAGGCGTTATTTTATACAAAGTGCGTAGCTGGGATTAGCCGGAGTTTGCAACTGTACAAAAGTTGGGCCGCTCGCTAGCTCGTATTAATAATCTCTCATCCATACGCTGCATAGTCCATAGGTACGATCAAGTACACGGTACATAAGCCATAATATATGCACATATATAGAGAGAGAGAGAGCAAGTCCAGCGAGAGAATCGATAGATACGAGTCGGCTCGCGATGCATATGTATATACATGTGAAACTGCATATATAGCGAGTATATACGGAGTTTGCGGCGCGCGCGAAACAGTCGGCTGCAGAAACGGATACGCGGCATCGACCTCAATCGAGCGGCGAGTCCAGCACGCGGCACCGCCGGTCACTACTACTCCGCCGTATATAGATTCTTTCCTAAACATAAAACAGGTGTGTGTGCGTGTGTGCATATATATATATGTGCATAATATACACACCTCGACGCGACCTGTGTGCTCCTTAACTGTTGCTGCTGCAGCGGCGGCGGCGGCACACGAGCCAGTCCATTCCGTAAGTGTGTTTTGTATGGCCTATAGGCTGTATATAGTTATATAGCTGCCGATCGTATAAAGGGACCCCCTATAGGCCTTTGCATATCATCAACGGTATTTAGTCGGCTGCGAGCCGTGCACCATCGACGTTAACTTTCCCGCTCTTTTTTGGTAGATATCATGACAATTCCTGTCACCGCGTCCGACTTTCAAATTTCGCGCTCGGCAACTTTGACTCTGTTTACTGGTGCTTTGTGTGAGTTTTTGTGATTCCGATGACAACTTTTCACGCTGTTCGCGAGACAAAACTATTCGTACACGGTAAGTTTAGTGCTTTCAAGTAATAATTATTTTCAATTGATTCATAAACTCGAATGATTATTTTTAAATTTTCTTTGAATTATTTATCCTTGTAATGCGGTAATTCGAAAGTTATAAGCTGTGAAAAAAGTCACGACTCAAGGATTACTTTATAGAATTACTCATTGAAAAAGTAGTCACATGCATGTCGGAGTCATTACAACCTTGCGTGAGTTTAATATGCAACAACTATGTACGATGTGCTACACACGGTACGACCTATTTTTTAATATCTTCAACTATAATGTTGCGATTATATCGAAAAAATAACTCCGAATTAAATTATTTCGCATTAGTTTTAAAATTCAGCGAGCATAAATTAGAGCGGGGAGCAATCAAATTAGTGTGTTAATGCAAAAATGCGGCCTCTCTCTCGAGAAATCATATCTCAGTCAATTTTTCGATCCTACGATTCTCAGTTTGATCTAGATAATTGTTATCTATCAGGAAATAATGGGGATCGATCGCGTCGCCCGTTTGAATATTCATACGGTTCCAGTAATTTTTCCATCGATCACAATTATTGGACGGAGAGGAGGAGAGGTGCCAACAGAAACATGCATTACATAAAACATCTTGCGTACGGCATTATAATATGGGTCGCATTTTATAACATGCTAATTTCCAGCCGCTCGGGGGAGTAATCCTCGTAAATCCCCTACTGCACTGTACGTGTGTATAAGCGTCGCTGCTGGCCCATATATTATGCAGTCGAGCTAGTGGTGGCGCTCGGCGGCGGCGGCTGCGGCGACTAGTAGATCGTCATCCATACACGTGCATACACTCACTTACACGCGAAGCTCGTCCAGACTGTCCTTTTTTTGCTGCTGCAGCAGCAGCGCAGTTACACACATGCATACAACAAGGCGCATGTACGTGTATAAAGGCTACAACAAGGAGCCTTTCTGCGCGGTTATCGAACTCTCAGTCGCCATAGTGACTGAGTCTAGTCGCAGCCGTGCGCAAATGGTAGAGAAAAAAAAAGTCCTGATGGCAACAGTTTGCTCGCAGCGGCCTTATATGCGTGTGTGTGTGTGCGTGCGAGATAGTTAATTTTAGGATTGATTCGATTGTATACAATGTTAGGCTCGCGCTCGCGTCAGAGGGGATCAGCTTTATTTTTCAGCGTGACTCAGCCGCGTCAAATACGATAAATCGAAGAAATCCTTTTAAGGACGATTATACGTATTCGGAATTCTTTCTTACGACTATTTGCCTCCGAAATGTAGACCTCTTACACATTGCATCGAAAAATGTCGGTTGTTGTTAATTTTTTATCGCCGACCAAATTGAAATGATCTCAATGGGTCGTTGTTGCTGTATTTCGTCGATACAAGCATACGAGCCTGAACTAGATCAGCTTTACTCTAAAATAAAAAAAACAGCGGAAATGACAGGGGATAAAGCATAACTTGGTATACGTGCGTCGAATTACTTTTGCTCGTGCTTATAGATGTTCAAAAATATCGTACATCGAATCGTGCGCGATCGATCCACAATACACGCGTCCGTATCTCTGCAGGTATATAGGAAAAAAAAAGAAAGAAAAATGAGACGGCAGATTTCTGTAAAGCGATGGGGCATAATGAGCAATTTATTTCGCACACGGGCTCGCCGAGTGTCCGAAATTGCGCCTATTGGGCGTGTTGGAAAATGGAAATGCCGCGCGTATACGATGCACAATCCGAAACAAAAGTCATCGCGAGCCGGTAAAATCCATATATATAGGCGCGTTTGCTAATTAGCTTGGCTCGCTCGACCTGCCGCCTCCGGCTGTATAAATATTGCAGCAGGTATATATATATATGCAACAGCTGCTTACCTATATCGGACTAATCAACAATCAACGCCTCTTCGCGCGCACGTCGATAAATCAACCCCTCGCGACGAAAATTTACTTTACGCATCGTGATACGATGTAAAAAAAGGAATGAGAAGACTTTGAGATAATTAAACGGATTATCACGGCTCAAAGAGTCAAGCTCGAGCTTCGGCGCAAGTCCGAAAGGATCGCGGAAGAGTCGAGCGATCGCGACCGGTTCATATATATTTGCGAAGGCTGGACCAGCATACACGTTGTATATCGGACGATAATATGCTCGGATCCGTACGGTCCGCTCGGTGGGTGTGTGTGTGTGTACCAGTGATGGAGTC